AGTCCGATTAACCCGTCCTTCGGAGCCTTCTCGAGTTTTCACATTCACACCTACCAGCGTAATAAAAATATATACACGTCAAAAAATATTTTAAAATGTCACATTCACGTCAAAGGAACAGTTCGCGGGAAACTATTTCAACTTGTCAATTATTTTCTATGGCGTTCAAGAAAATCAAAAGTCGCGTCTGAATATTACAAGTGTTTGAATCGCGTGCTTCCACTAAAGAGGTTGGTTATCAACTACAGGTGTAAGGCGAGGCGAGCCGGCGAGAGGCTGCTTCAACGTGAATGTACGATCATCAGCTAATATTAATGGAATATATACCTTATTTATATATAAATAGAGAATAAATTCGCTTTATATCCTTGTGATGTTTCGATGCTAATGTCAAAGTAGCCGGTTTTCCGGATGACCCGGAATTGGCAGGTGTGTCGCATTAAAAAATAGGATTAATAGGAACCGTCTAGGATACGGTGGAAATTAATAAAAATTAGGTTAAACGATTTTAAATCTTACATAAAGTTAATAAGGTAGACAATAGTGATTAAAATTTGTGTTAGAAAAATACTATATGTATGCTTTGTTTTTTTTTTTAATTTTTCAATACCTGTCAACGTCAAATTGAAAAAATATTTTCGACTGGTATATTCTAATGTATAATGTAGGTATAATTCTTCATTATTTAGGTAAATTTAGCAATTTTCTTAAACGCCTCGTCACTCATTGTACATAATTAAACAGCCAATAACACAAAACAGTGAAGTAACTTATTGCACGCAAGTCTCAGCTGAATACAAAGTTGAAAATTTCTTCCCGAATGAGGTTTTGACATCGTTGTTCACTCACTATTGTCTGTACACTCAGAGGTCATATTAGAAGATAATTTTCATCAATTAATCATCTCGTTAAAGGAAAATATAAAAATAATTATGAATACTAATATTACATTGTGGTAATTAGAAAGTCACAAATTTGGTCAAGGGTTCATCGCAATTAGAATTTAAAAAAAAAACACTTCGATTTAAGTAAGTTTTTAATATTATCTCTTAATCACTTTAAGCTAAGTATTAAAAATATCAAATTACATTGAACCAAAAAAAATGTTTTTCAAGTCGAATCACATTTTTATTACAACTGGCATATTTTTTTAAATACTAATGTTAAAAAGAAGCAAGATTCAAACGAAAAAATCGACCGAGTAATAAGTAAAGTAATTAGAAATATGTTTATTGCCTGTTTCTGAACGCTTAATGTTTTTTTTGGAACATTTTGTTTAGCTACAATTAAGATGAACATAATATTTTAATAATGTATTAAGTTAGGAATTTGTAGTTCAAATTTTACAAGCAATGATCGCGGGAAATTTCATTAAAAGTTCGATCTTTAAATGAATATGAATAAAAAGACCAAAAAATATTATAACGGTCAAAACCCCCTTGTTTAGATTTAAAAACAAAATGTATGTATATATTAGTTAAATTTTTTGGGTAAATAGTTACGACTTGACAAAAAAGATTTAAGCATTTTCTATTTATGAGTGAACATTTAGTGCTTACATAAAATCCAAAACATTTCATAACTATAATTTACAATCTGTTTAAGATGTTCGTGAAAAGTTTGATTTATTATATATAAGAATGATTTATAAACTTCATTAATTATTTAAATTTTTTAAAGATTTCTTCAGAACAGAATATTTCGTGTTTGACATTAAATGTATATAGTATAAATATATATAGTAAAAAAATACGTACACGAGCCATTGAGCAAATATAAACGTACCTTTAATTCTACATATTTGAAAATAGTTTTTATTGCACTATATTATTAAAATAGTTTTCTGCTCCCTACTTCCCAATGAAAGTTTTTGCAAAATCGTATTTTAGAGTATTAGGTAAAGCAGAAATAAATTGGTTAACTCTGGTATTGAAAATAATTAACTCAAGTGCTTAATTAAAACGTGAATGTGGATTCAGAGAGAGTTTATTAGACATCTTTATTACACATCTAACCATTGTAATGCATTACAGTTTTAAAATAATAAATTATTAAAAAATATACCTATATTCAGAAAAACTGTACTGAAGGAAGGAGCCATTGAGAAAAAAATTAATTTTTACAAGGCAAGCTACTAGCACAACTTATTTCATTACACAATCAGCCGAAGAAAATGTGAGAGGTCATTAATAATTTAGCATAGAACAAATTCAAAGAAATCTAACTAATGTCGAAAACGAAACATATCGCAGAAATCAATCTCGATAATTAATATGTGACATATTTAATACACACTCCTCATCTATTTACTGATTTAACCAACAAAATACCCAAACCATACCACAACGAGACTAGCAATATTTTATGTACGAACCTAACTACATACATAGCATATTAATTATTAACAATTCACACTATGCACCACACACGAGATATAAAAAATATTGATGAATTTGACTGCAATACTAGTATTTACGTAAATGGCATAAGCAACAAAGTAAATTAGTGTCTCAAAGCTTTATACTGAGTAGATCATCAAATATATTTGTTTAATTTCAAGTGGAGTGTTTGACTGTGATTCTATTCGTTGGAAGGTGGAAATGAAGTAGTAAGTGGTAACGTACTATCTCAGTAACAGCTAAATCACCATTTTCTTGAAGACACTCAAATTGTAGCTCAAAGAAAATACAGACGAAAGCACACTGTTCCAATATCTTGATGTGGGAATTTCTGTTTGATGCGTGGTAGTTTCCCTGACACTCTCAAGATGGCCAGGGCGATGCTCATCTTCAAAACTTACGGTAAAACCGATCCTACCTGTTATGTCAAAGATATTTGAACGACTTCTACTTAGCAAACTATATAAAAACCAAATCGAAAAAAATGTTTTAATTGACCAACAATACGGCCATCGCCCTAAATCAAGTACTAACAATTATTTGTGTTTTTATTTTATTATTTGTGTTTTTATTTAATTCTATAAATAAAAACACAAATACATGAAACAATACTGCACTTGCGATATTTATTGATTCAAAAATGGCATTTGATAATAAGTCACTCGAAATTACTAATAAAAAAAATAGGAAAAATTGGTGTGACTAGCACATCCCTACTTGAAGCCATACTTAAAAAAATAGCACACAGATAGTTGTAATAGACCAATTCACTATCTCCATCGAAAGAGTATCATATGGTAGCCCTCAAAGTCAATATTAAGTCCATTGCAATTCCAAATTTACAATAAGAATATTATTTGAATAGGACTTAAATTATACCTGACATAATATGGTGATTGCTGGCGACACATGGATCTTTTCGTCTTTTACTTTATTAATTCCATGCGAAATATTGTAACGGTAGCTCAAGGTGTTATATTATATTAAAGTAATGGCTAAAAAATAACTTACTAGCATAAACATAAAAAAATTGTATTAGTGGCGAAAAAACAAACCCATTTTGCAAACACTCACCAATCAATATGTATAAACAGACTATAAAAAATACCTTCGACTTTGGCTAGATGATACACTTATCAAGAAAGTTCACATCATGTTATAAATATGACAAAATGAAATAAATAATATTCTTTTATCGTGGTGATTAAAACAAAACCGTTTCTACTGCTAGAAACTTTACCAAGAAATAACAACTGTATACTAAAAAAAGTAAGTATATTCATATAAAATTTAGTATCAAAATCACGTGTACACTATTGTATTGAAATTTGGAAATAAACTACAACCAACTTAGGGCCGTAACCGGTAACAATATATCCAAAATAAGATGGTCAAAAGACTATTTTATCACCACTATCGCATGCTAACAAACTTTTTTATATAATATCACCTGCCCATAATCACGGTTGCTGCAAAATAACCGAAACGCCGCTTCGGGAGTATGTAGTTAAAAATAATTATAAACGCATAGTACATTTGAAAAATGATAGTTTTATTTCAAACAGTTTATATCATAAAACTTAAATTCTTATCTCTCGCTAGCATACATACATAAGAAAACACACAATCTAAGAAACAACAAATTACAACTCAGGAATCGGGCCTTGAAGAACTATAGCAAAAAGACTTATTTGGAGGGGCATAGTTATACAATTACCTAAAGAAGTTAAAGTGGCACAGTTTATGTTAAAATTTAAACTTAAAGCGTACATACACTTTTAGTTTACTTTATACATATGCATGTACATACACAGCAAGAAATATTGTAAATATCCATCGCTCAGCAGATGCATATATTAATACAATTATATGAGAAATAACACTATGTATCTCATTTTAAATGAACTATTTTTTAAAGAGCCAAGAAGATCTTTAAACTGATCTATTAAAATTTGGAGTTGAAAACAAAACATTTAAAGATTTTTGTTCAGAAATTTAGTAATTGTTCTTGATTTTACAAGTCTATGATGAATTAATATATCAAAAGTAAATGAAAGTAGTTATACATTTACATAATTAAAAAAAATTTAAGAAGTACTTTATGTTAGGGCTAATTAGAAGTTGTAGGAACAATTTTAAAGAAATATATAAATGCAATTTACAATATGCATGTAGTTCCAATAATAAAGATGTTATTTATCAACTTTGATTCAAAAAAACAATAACTTTTGGATACCTAATTAGTGTGTAAAGGTTTTCAGAAAACATGTCATATATAAAGGGCTTTCATGTTATTAAAGAAACAAATAAAAACTCCTTAGAGAGCAGTAGAAATTTTATATTCTATATACATTAACTTATTCATCCTACTAAGTTAATTTAAGATAATAGCTACAAACAAATCTTACAATTAGTTGAAGTACTGGCTTAAAAACAAAATATTCCTATATGTAAAGGTTCAAACTATTAAGAATACTGAATATATAAGACCTTTTTGGTTATCCATGAGTTTTTATATTAGTACTGTTTAATTATACAAGTGATATTTAAGTGACAAATACTCTCATAATAAGAAATACTAACATATATAGGTTTAAATTTCTATAATTGTGGTTTTATATCCTTATTGAGTATGAGTTGAGGGTTCTGCATGTCTAGTTGTGATTGTGCGATGTCACTTAACGCTCCTTGTATTTTCTCTAAGAGTATCTCTCCTTGTCGGACCACCTGTAATGATAATGTGATGGTTTTAAAACTTGGTCTTAGACCAAACTAGTGAGGCTTGAGATGTTTTTATATATAAAGTTCACAGTTTTTCTGTAGTGTATTTAATTTCAGCTGAGTAAAATCAGGGCGAGTCACTAGTTGTATAATAAATGAAAACATGCTGCAGTTTTAAACTTTCAATGAATTATATATAATTGATAAGTTAAAACTTATAGCATCTTAAAAGTGCTGATAATTTATACTCTTGTAAATTAGTGATGTACTAAATATCTTCATAAATGCAAAGAAAAGATATCTGGTACTGTGATTATTATCTCATTAAATAGGTATCAAAGAAAATAGTTTAACAAAGAAACAAATTACACAATGTATGACCAAAATATTTGTCATACATTTGTCTCAAGTTTAGTTAAGTATAATTTTAAGATCTTTAGCAAAAATACTAAGTGATGATAACAAAAAAGTATGCCAACATTACAAATACGTAATGACACTCTACCTCCTCTAATTGTTCCGCGGCTTCTTTATTCTCAGCTTCCAAACGCTTCAGACTTTGGACCTGCAGCTCTGTTGAACTTTCCTCACTTGGTAACGACTCAATAAGAGTATCGATGTCCTTAGCACATCTAGATATCAGTGTCGCAAATAGCATTGCATAGTCTTCCTGGTTTTGTTGCTGTTGAGGCGTCTGTGAACCGCTGCGATCGAAACCCGGGAATTTGCTCGGCGATGAGAATTGTTGAAGGACTCCGATGCTGTTACAGAAGTGTTCAGCTTGCTGGAATATGAATAAACGGAATACAATACAGTAATAAATAACTATTTTCGTATATCTGTGAATTAACAAACATACCTGATTGATCGTGTCCTGCAACTGGGTCAGTCGATCTGCCATTATTGATATACAAGCAATCTACTCGGTATCAAAATGTGTAAGAAATTACTTTAATCTAGTTTAGGCTCACAAGAAAATTATAAATAAAGCCACGGAATGAGCTTAAGAAGTTTACGCTTAGTCGAAATCAGACATTTTCTAAATGTCATTGTAGGTTTGACAACTTACGAACACAAATTCGGTTACACGTACCAACTTAGTAATATAGCTTTGGTATGTCATGAAAAAAATATTAATAACAATATGTGTAATATTTAAATTAAAATTCCTTACGAAAATATTAAATAAAATATTGAAAGAATGAATAGCAAGAAAAGAAATACCTTTTTCGCTCCGAATTAAGATACTCTGTACAAAACGATGTTGAACCGTATCATAATATTCGTATTGATTTATTGCATATGACCTGCATATTATGACTGACACGCACTTATGAAACACTATGTCTATTAGGAAATAAATTATGAAAATTACAATTAAATTAACTAATATTGATACATATAGAATATTATTTAATTTTATAGTTTTAATTACATTTCATTTTAAAATGATTTACAACGTTAAATTCTTCAATTAAACAAGCCTTACTGCACGGCGCTCCTTAAACGTGGCCTAATTATAGTTTTAGGTCATTTATGTGTCGAACTATAATTAAATTAGCTGAATGTCAATATTATATTGTTATATCTCATAAACCTTAAGATTTCTCGAAGAAGATTCGTTTCTCACAATGTTTGTACTATGAAATTAAAATGTATTTTTAACGGCAATAGCAAAATCCATGATTCTAGTGAGAATGAAGGCACAGCATAATTTAAAAAATGTATTTATAGACCTGCTAATAAACTTTTTCTAATGTTTAATAGTTAGGGTATTACATTTAATTTTAAATAATATAAATAAAATGCAGGACGTAAATATGACTTTTATTGAAACACAGCAAATAGCAAACTGTAAGGCTAATGCAAAAAAATATCACAATTCAATAACACAGGTAAATATAAATAATACTGATATTATCAATAAAAAACAAATAAATTACACTAATTATACAATTATGGTGAATGAAACCATTACTTAACTTAAACTACATATAAATAAATTATTTACAATAAAACAAAAGTTTTAACAACATAGATATGACTAGACATTCAGAAACATTTGATACTGTGAATATAGTGGAACATACTACATGATACAAGATATTTAAACATTTAGAATAAAATCGTTGAATATACCATATATTGTATGACATCAGAAAACTTCTAGAAACATCTTCATTTGATGACGTCATAACTCACTTATAACTATCCGAATTATATGTAACATCGATGATAGATAAATATTCAAATGAAATTCACAACCGAATCTAAATATATACATATATATCCCTTGTTAAATTATTGTGAGTTATATAATACTGTGACTAGTATATTATATTAATAAAATGTTTAATGCCTTAGAACAATAAAACACAATTTAAAGCTAACAAGGAACACAAGTCAAGTGTCAAGTGATACACAACAATAACTGGGTAATATTTTAGCTACATACTGCTGAAGTTAAGATTTGAATTATAAGTGTCGGTATATATTCATTTATTATGTATGAAGAATGAATATATATGACTAACATATTGCTTAAGTGATATTTTACAATGATTTATATTTCATTGTCATATAATATTAATAAATGTGATATAATGATAATTTACATGATGCATCGAAAACCTTATGTTATTTATTGAGCCAAAACACCCAGTCTGTGCTTCAATCGTGAATCAGCCGGCAATGATAATGCCCATTTCCTTAAACCGACAAGTAATACCGAACTTAATACTAGAATCGCACCGCATATTGAATACTTGCTAGGTATTTCATTGAAAAACATAACTTGCCAAAAGAATGCAAACACTATGTCAGCTGAACGAGCGATAGCTACAGGACCGGCTTGCTCCATTTGTAGGGACATGGTCAGAAGTATCTGTCCCAGATAACTGAATATAGCAAGGCATAGAACTAGGAATCTCTCCGTACCACAGTTCGGCATACAAAGAACCCCAAACATGATGGAAAAAAACAATGTCTGCATCGTTGCAATAGCACCAAAATTAGTCATAATCACCGAAAAATGCAAGCCTTTAAGCACTCTCAGTAGCACATATGCATTGGCACCGAATATCGTTGAAACAAATGCTGCTATAGCTCCACGTAGGCTGTTATAGTTCTGATTGTTTTCAACCTTCGTTTCACCAAATATAAACGGTGGCCGAGTTATTAGAATAACTCCAATGAGTGTCAACATTATAGACAGGGTGTTCCAGATACCACACGGCTCCTTTAAGAATACTCTCGCAAACAAAGCTACGAACACGGGTACAGAGAACACAATGACCGACGCGTCCGCTAACGGCATGTTACGGAACGCATAGAAACTCAACATGAGCCCCACGGTACCCACGATGGAACGTAAGAACAGCAGCAAGCGTTTACCTTCAGGGAATACAGTTTGTTCGGTGTAAATTATGATCGGTACAGTCGGCAACAAAACTCCCATGAACCGAAACATTGCGAGCTGCATCGGGTCTATGTTTACCAGGCTTTTGACTATCACAGAGCATAGGGAGAAGAAGAGTGAGGAAAGCATCGCCAGCATCAAACCCAGGTAGGGGCATCTTTTGGAGAGAGGTCTTCTGTTTTCCAGCAAGTTCGGCATTGATTCATCACCACTTCCGACCGAAAGGTCCACTAGATGTTGGAGCTCCAGATGTTCCGTCATTTTTTCACACGCCTAATAAGAACAAAGTATAAAATGAATATCTACCTATAGTTATTGAAACAAAGGCAAAATTAAGCAGAAATCTCACTTTATTCGATGTTTGAAGCCAGTTAGGCGTTCCGTAAAAATCGATGTGCTAACATTAAAAAAAACATATCACAATCGAAACATCCAACTAATTAATAGGTACGATAGCAAAACGATAATTTACTCTACAAAACTTCATTCATTTTAAAACTTATTCCGAATGCCTAGGTGCTTCGATTCCGTTTTGAGCTTTCGAGACATTTTGACAGTTCTGAAGCCCTCGATTTATGATTTGACAGTCAATACAATAGAACTACTTGTACGAGTTAAATATTTCGATATTTCTTGTGATTATATTTATTAAAAATATAAACCATTTATTTTAGCTGTCCTAATATTATAATTTTATTTTTTAATAAAATAATTGTTTTTGGAAACAATGGATGTGAGCTTAAATTAAACAAAGTTTTAAGCTGAACGTCAGTCACTCCCTTTGACAAGTTGGACTTGCTATCTCTGTCGCACATGCATATTTAAGCCTTGAAGAAAAGAGATCAACTAAGCTAAGTTTTAAAACCTTGACCTAAAAATTACATAAAGTTTTACAAGTAAAAGCCAATTATTTGAGAAATACTATTTATTTGACTATATTTTATATAATTTTCTCTACATTCTCAGAGTTATTTTGCTAGTATACCAATAATTCAATGCAATATAGATTTTATTTTGGGTTGGGGTTTTTATATCTGTCTCTGTCTAACAAATCTGTGATAATGACTGTTAGTGTAATAAACCTTAAAAACTATATTTTACCAAATAATTCTGTCATATATTACTTTTACTCGTGACATCTAAAGTTAGTGTGGTCATTTATACATGTAAAGCTTAAGTTCAATTACATATTCCGTATATTGAAAATATGTTGCGTCACATCTACTGTCTCTTTTCATCGTGTGCCATGGACGTTCGGATGACATTATGCCCCACTAGAACGCCCGCTGGCTGGCTGTAATCATTTAAAATTATAAAGCTATGTCTGTCTTTGTTGCGTACGTATATTTCAAGAAGGGACGAAAATGTGTCGTGTTATTTGACAAAATGTAAATTTCGATCAAATCAGTGACAGAAGAGAAAATATCGATTAGAAGTGCTTAAAAAAATATAACCGAGTGATTAACATAGGAAGTATATATGTGAGTGGTGAACAACAAGGACGAATACAGCTGGATAGCTGCCTTTCAAAATGGCTGCCGCTATTAAAACACAAAAGTACAACTTTGAGAAGATATGCCGCGCTTGCTTGCAGATAAAGAAAGATATGAGACCATTGTTCGAGCAGCTCACGGCTACCATGTTGATGGGCATATCAAAAGTGCAGGTGAGATGACAGACATATTTGTGACAATAACATCGTTGGAATGTTGTTAGCTCTTTCGCACCCTCCCGTTCATATAACGCACCAGTCTTGATGACCCTCCAGTCATCTTTGTTTAGAAGTCATGGGAAACATCCGATGTAAGACATTCTCCAACGTAATTTGGGGAATTCGTTTGAGAAATTCTGGCCGTCCTTTTCTATTTTGGTTACAGAAATGTAAGAGCGGCTTTGGCGATACAATTATATTTACGATATAGGTACATACATACTGCTTGCGAATATTTTTGTTATTTATTTTATATTCGACGAAATACATGCTAATGTAAAATATTTACAAAGTTTTTGTTTTGCTTGCGACTTTTATCAATGCCAGCGAAGTTCTTCGAAGTTCGAACCATAGAATATAAGATAACTTAATTTTTCAATTTGTTATGATTTCTATGCATTAATTTCTATAGCTTTTTGACTCTTTAAAAGCAAATGTCTGATATATATTTCTTGCGAATTGTATATTTTACCTGAAATCTATATTAAATCTAAACATAGAATATGTTTTTATTAACGTAATAATTATTGTATGACGCAATATAATTACGTACGAGAGTTTAATACTACGTAAAAAAATATTCAAATTACCTCCTTGTACCTACGTAATTAGTTGAAGGTGCCGAAATAATTGACCATTTGTCTATACTGTTTTAAAATTATTAATTAACTCACAATACATATATCTTTTGTTACTTAAATATGAATATTTTATTAATATTAAGAAATTAAATTCATTTTTATTTTTATATAAACTTAATTCCTTGAGCTAATATGTTAAATTCTAAGGGAACTTGGGAATTGACTAACGTGTTGATTTTTATGTTTTTTTACAATTAAAGAAATATTTATCTAAAAATATTTATAAAGAACAAGAGAGATTACGTTATTTAACATTAAATCATACTTATTTAGTTTTATATGTATCTAATATCATGATTTCTTTGCAATTGCGATTTGTCTTATTTTGCGATGGACCAAAAACTCTTTGTATAATGAAAGATCAGCTTCAGAAATATATGCAATACAATACTTACGTCCAATTTATCAATAAATCGTTCAATTAAATATTAGCATACATTAACCTACACATGACTGCTCTTTTGTCTTATGTATAAATATATTTACATAAGTACACAAATGAATGTTTCTCCGTCATGTATATATATTGTTTAATATATATACTACTATTTTAATATTGATATGGATAAAAAAAGGTTCTTAACAACAGAGTATCACTCGTGGGGATTAAACAGATGATTAGAAGTATATTATACACTTCACGTATTAATAGACGCTATATACCCTATATAGGCATTACAAGTATATTATTTCTATCTATAAAGTCCACTTAACTTGGATTTTCCATATTTCATATAGAACTATGTTTTATATGTATATATCTTGACCCAGGTGTCGGTGGGGGACGGTCTTCCGTCCCAGCTGTGTCTACAATGCGTGCATCAGATATCAAGGTGTCACGCCTTCAAGGATCTGGTGGAGAGGAACGACGTGCTGCTCCGGGAACAGGCGAAAGCTATGGCTGAAGAGACGCTCAAGGTAAATAGAAAATGTTTAGAACACCTGGCAGATATTGAGACCATATGTGTAGGAAATACTTAGAACACCTGGTAGATATTGAGACCATATGTGTAGGAGATGCTTAGAACACCTGGCAGATGTTGAGACCATATGTGTAGGAGATGCTTAGAACACCTGGCAGATGTTGAGACCATATGTGTAGGAGATGCTTAGAACACCTGGTAGATGCTTAGACCATATGTGTAGGAGATGCTTAGAACACCTGGTAGATGTTGAGACCATATGTATAGGAGATGCTTAGAACACCTGGCAGATGTTGAGACCATATGTGTAGGAGATGCTTAGAACACCTGGTAGATGTTGAGACCATATGTATAGGAGATGCTTAGAACACCTGGCAGATGTTGAGACCATATGTGTAGGAGATGCTTAGAACACCTGGTAGATGTTGAGACCATATGTGTAGGAGATGCTTAGAACACCTGGTAGATGCTTAGACCATATGTGTAGGAAATGTTTAGAACACCTGGCAGATGTTGAGACCATATGTGTAGGAGATGCTTAGAACACCTGGTAGATGTTGAGACCAAATGTGTAGGAGATGCTTAGAACACCTGGTAGATGTTGAGACCATATGTGTAGGAGATGCTTAGAACACCTGGTAGATGCTTAGACCATATGTGTAGGAAATGTTTAGAACACCTGGCAGATGTTGAGACCATATGTGTAGGAGATGCTTAGAACACCTGGCAGATGTTGAGACCATATGTGTAGGAGATGCTTAGAACACCTGGCAGATGTTGAGACCATATGTATAGGAGATGCTTAGAACACCTGGCAGATGTTGAGACCATATGTGTAGGAGATGCTTAGAACACCTGGTAGATGTTGAGACCATATGTGTAGGAGATGCTTAGAACACCTGGTAGATGCTTAGACCATATGTGTAGGAAATGTTTAGAACACCTGGCAGATGTTGAGACCATATGTGTAGGAGATGCTTAGAACACCTGGTAGATGTTGAGACCATATGTGTAGGAGATGCTTAGAACACCTGGTAGATGTTGAGACCATATGTGTAGGAGATGCTTAGAACACCTGGTAGATGCTTAGACCATATGTGTAGGAAATGTTTAGAACACCTGGCAGATGTTGAGACCATATGTGTAGGAGATGCTTAGAACACCTGGTAGATGTTGAGACCATATGTATAGGAGATGCTTAGAACACCTGGCAGATGTTGAGACCATATGTGTAGGAGATGCTTAGAACACCTGGTAGATGTTGAGACCATATGTGTAGGAGATGCTTAGAACACCTGGTAGATGCTTAGACCATATGTGTAGGAAATGTTTAGAACACCTGGCAGATGTTGAGACCATATGTGTAGGAGATGCTTAGAACACCTGGTAGATGTTGAGACCATATGTGTAGGAGATGCTTAGAACACCTGGTAGATGTTGAGACCATATGTGTAGGAGATGCTTAGAACACCTGGTAGATGCTTAGACCATATGTGTAGGAAATGTTTAGAACACCTGGCAGATGTTGAGACCATATGTGTAGGAGATGCTTAGAACACCTGGCAGATGTTGAGACCATATGTGTAGGAGATGCTTAGAACACCTGGCAGATGTTGAGACCATATGTGTAGGAGATGCATAGAACACCTGGTAGATGTTGAGACCATATGTGTAGGAGATGCTTAGAACACCTGGTAGATGTTGAGACCATATGTGTAGGAGATGCTTAGAACACCTGGTAGATGCTTAGACCATATGTGTAGGAGATGCAAAGAACACCTGGTAGATGCTTAGACCATATGTGTACGAAGTGTTTAGAACACCTGGCAGATGTTGAGACCATATGTGTAGGAGATGCATAGAACACCTGGTAGATGCTTAGACCATATGTGTAGGAAATGTTTAGAACACCTGGCAGATGTTGAGACCATATGTGTAGGAGATGCTTAGAACACCTGGCAAATGTTGAGACCATATGTGTAGGAGATGCTTAGAACACCTGGCAGATGTTGAGACCATATGTGTAGGAGATGCATAGAACACCTGGTAGATGTTGAGACCATATGTGTAGGAGATGCTTAGAACACCTGGTAGATGTTGAGACCATATGTGTAGGAGATGCTTAGAACACCTGGTAGATGCTTAGACCATATGTGTAGGAAATGTTTAGAACACCTGGCAGATGTTGAGACCATATGTGTAGGAGATGCTTAGAACACCTGGCAGATGTTGAGACCATATGTGTAGGAGATGCTTAGAACACCTGGCAGATGTTGAGACCATATGTGTAGGAGATGCTTAGAACACCTGGTAGATGCTTAGACCATATGTGTAGGAGATGCTTAGAACACCTGGTAGATGTTGAGACCATATGTGTAGGAGATGCTTAGAACACCTGGTAGATGCTTAGACCATATGTGTAGGAGATGCTTAGAACACCTGGTAGATGTTGAGACCATATGTGTAGGAGATGCTTAGAACACCTGGTAGATGCTTAGACCATATGTGTAGGAAATGTTTAGAACACCTGGCAGATGTTGAGACCATATGTGTAGGAGATGCTTAGAACACCTGGCAGATGTTGAGACCATATGTGTAGGAGATGCTTAGAACACCTGGCAGATGTTGAGACCATATGTGTAGGAGATGCTTAGAACACCTGGTAGATGCTTAGACCATATGTGTAGGAGATGCTTAGAACACCTGGTAGATGTTGAGACCATATGTGTAGGAGATGCTTAGAACACCTGGTAGATGTTGAGACCATATGTGTAGGAGATGCTTAGAACACCTGGTAGATGCTTAGACCATATGTGTAGGAAATGTTTAGAACACCTGGCAGATGTTGAGACCATATGTGTAGGAGATGCTTAGAACACCTGGCAGATGTTGAGACCATATGTGTAGGAGATGCTTAGAACACCTGGTAGATGTTGAGACCATATGTGTAGGAGATGCTTAGAACACCTGGCAGATGTTGAGACCATATGTGTAGGAGATGCTTAGAACACCTGGTAGATGCTTAGACCATATGTGTAGGAGATGCTTAGAACACCTGGTAGATGTTGAGACCACATGTGTAGGAGATGCAAAGAACACCTGGTAGATGCTTAGACCATATGTGTAGGAGATGCTTAGAACACCTGGTAGATGTTGAGACCATATGTGTAGGAGATGCTTAGAACACCTGGTAGATGTTGAGACCATATGTGTAGGAGATGCTTAGAACACCTGGTAGATGCTTAGACCATATGTGTAGGAAATGTTTAGAACACCTGGCAGATGTTGAGACCATATGTGTAGGAGATGCTTAGAACACCTGGCAGATGTTGAGACCATATGTGTAGGAGATGCTTAGAACACCTGGTAGATGTTGAGACCATATGTGTAGGAGATGCTTAGAACACCTGGCAGATGTTGAGACCATATGTGTAGGAGATGCTTAGAACACCTGGTAGATGCTTAGACCATATGTGTAGGAGATGCTTAGAACACCTGGTAGATGTTGAGACCACATGTGTAGGAGATGCAAAGAACACCTGGTAGATGCTTAGACCATATGTGTACGAAGTGTTTAGAACACCTGGCAGATGTTGAGACCATATGTGTAGGAGATGCATAGAACACCTGGTAGATGCTTAGACCATATGTGTAGGAAGTGTTTAGAACACCTGGCAAATGTTGAGACTATATGTGTAGGAGATGCTTAGAACACCTGGTAGATGTTGAGACCATATGTGTAGGAAATGCTTAGAACACCTGGCAGATGTTGAGACCATATGTGTAGGAGATGCTTAGAACACCTGGTAGGTGCTTAGACCATATGTGTAGGAAATGTTTAGAACACCTGGCAGATGTTGAGACCATATGTGTAGGAGATGCATAGAACACCTGGTAGATGCTTAGACCATATGTGTAGGAAGTGTTTAGAACACCTGGCAGATGTTGAGACCATATGTGTAGGAGATGCATAGAACACCTGGTAGATGCTTAGACCATATGTGTAGGAAGTGTTTAGAACACCTGGTAGATGCTTAGACTATATGTGTAGGAGATGCTTAGAACACCTGGCAGATGTTGAGACCATATGTGTAGGAGATGCTTAGAACACCTGGTAGATGCTTAGACCATATGTGTAGGAGATGCTTAGAACACCTGGTAGATGTTGAGACCATATGTGTAGGAGATGCTTAGAACACCTGGTAGATGTTGAGACCATATGTGTAGGAGATGCTTAGAACACCTGGTAGATGCTTAGACCATATGTGTAGGAAATGTTTAGAACACCTGGCAGATGTTGAGACCATATGTGTAGGAGATGCTTAGAACACCTGGCAGATGTTGAGACCATATGTGTAGGAGATGCTTAGAACACCTGGCAGATGTTGAGACCATATGTGTAGGAGATGCTTAGAACACCTGGTAGATGCTTAGACCATATGTGTAGGAGATGCTTAGAACACCTGGTAGATGTTGAGACCATATGTGTAGGAGATGCTTAGAACACCTGGCAGATGTTGAGACCATATGTGTAGGAGATGCTTAGAACACCTGGCAGATGTTGAGACCATATGTGTAGGAGATGCTTAGAACACCTGGTAGATGCTTAGACCATATGTGTAGGAGATGCTTAGAACACCTGGTAGATGTTGAGACCATATGTGTAGGAGATGCTTAGAACACCTGGTAGATGTTGAGACCATATGTGTAGGAGATGCTTAGAACACCTGGTAGATGTTGAGACCATATGTGTAGGAGATGCTTAGAACACCTGGTAGATGTTGAGACCATATGTGTAGGAGATGCATAGAACACCTGGTAGATGCTTAGACCATATGTGTACGAAGTGTTTAGAACACCTGGCAGATGTTGAGACCATATGTGTAGGAGATGCATAGAACACCTGGTAGATGCTTAGACCATATGTGTAGGAAGTGTTTAGAACACCTGGCAAATGTTGAGACTATATGTGTAGGAGATGCTTAGAACACCTGGTAGATGTTGAGACCATATGTGTAGGAAATGCTTAGAACACCTGGCAGATGTTGAGACCATATGTGTAGGAGATGCTTAGAACACCTGGTAGATGTTGAGACCATATGTGTAGGAGATGCTTAGAACACCTGGTAGATGCTTAGACCATATGTGTAGGAAATGTTTAGAACACCTGGCAGATGTTGAGACCATATGTGTAGGAGATGCATAGAACACGTGGTAGATGCTTAGACCATATGTGTAGGAAGTGTTTAGAACACCTGGCAAATGTTGAGACCATATGTGTAGGAGATGCATAGAACACCTGGTAGATGCTTAGACCATATGTGTAGGAAGTGTTTAGAACACCTGGCAAATGTTGAGACTATATGTGTAGGAGATGCTTAGAACACCTGGTAGATGCTTAGACCATATGTGTAGGAAGTGTTTAGAACACCTGGCAAATGTTGAGACTATATGTGTAGGAGATGCTTAGAACACCTGGTAGATGTTGAGACCATATGTGTAGGAGATGCTTAGAACACCTGGTAGATGTTGAGACCATATGTGTAGGAGATGCTTAGAACACCTGGTAGATGTTGAGACCATATGTGTAGGAGATGCATAGAACACCTGGTAGATGCTTAGACCATATGTGTACGAAGTGTTTAGAACACCTGGCAGATGTTGAGACCATATGTGTAGGAGATGCATAGAACACCTGGTAGATGCTTAGACCATATGTGTAGGAAGTGTTTAGAACACCTGGCAAATGTTGAGACTATATGTGTAGGAGATGCTTAGAACACCTGGTAGATGTTGAGACCATATGTGTAGGAAATGCTTAGAACACCTGGCAGATGTTGAGACCATATGTGTAGGAGATGCTTAGAACACCTGGTAGGTGCTTAGACCATATGTGTAGGAAATGTTTAGAACACCTGGCAGATGTCGAGACCATATGTGTAGGAGATGCTTAGAACACCTGGCAGATGTTGAGACCATATGTGTAGGAGATGCTTAGAACACCTGGTAGATGCTTAGACCATATGTGTAGGAGATGCTTAGAACACCTGGTAGATGTTGAGACCATATGTGTAGGAGATGCTTAGAACACCTGGTAGATGTTGAGACCATATGTGTAGGAGATGCTTAGAACACCTGGCAGATGTTGAGACCATATGTGTAGGAGATGCTTAGAACACCTGGTAGATGTTGAGACCATATGTGTAGGAGATGCATAGAACACCTGGTAGATGCTTAGACCATATGTGTAGGAAATGTTTAGAACACCTGGCAGATGTTGAGACCATATGTGTAGGAGATGCTTAGAACACCTGGTAGATGCTTAGACCATATGTGTAGGAAATGTTTAGAACACCTGGCAGATGTTGAGACCATATGTGTAGGAGATGCTTAGAACACCTGGTAGATGTTGAGACCATATGTGTAGGAGATGCTTAGAACACCTGGTAGATGTTGAGACCATATGTGTAGGAGATGCTTAGAACACCTGGTAGATGCTTAGACCATATGTGTAGGAGATGCTTAGAACACCTGGCAGATGTTGAGACCATATGTGTAGGAAATCTTTAGAACACCTGGTAGATGTTGAGACCATATGTGTAGGAGATGCTTAGAACACCTGGTAGATGTTGAGACCATATGTGTAGGAGATGCTGAGAACACCTGGCAGATGTTGAGACCATATGTGTAGGAAATCTTTAGAACACCTGGTAGATGTTGAGACCATATGTGTAGGAGATGCTTAGAACACCTGGTAGATGTTGAGACCATATGTGTAGGAGATGCTGAGAACACCTGGCAGATGTTGAGACCATATGTGTAGGAGATGCTTAGAACACCTGGTAGATGTTGAGACCATATGTGTAGGAGATGCTTAGAACACCTGGCAGATGTTGAGACCATATGTGTAGGAAATCTTTAGAACACCTGGTAGATGTTGAGACCATATGTGTAGGAGATGCTTAGAACACCTGGTAGATGTTGAGACCATATGTGTAGGAGATGCTTAGAACACCTGGCAGATGTTGAGACCATATGTGTAGGAAATCTTTAGAACACCTGGCAGATGTTGAGACCATATGTGTAGGAGATGCTTAGAACACCTGGTAGATGCTTAGACCATATGTGTACGAAGTGTTTAGAACACCTGGCAGATGTTGAGACCATATGTGTAGGAGATGCATAGAACACCTGGTAGATGCTTAGACCATATGTGTAGGAAGTGTTTAGAACACCTGGCAGATGTTGAGACTATATGTGTAGGAGATGCTTAGAACACCTGGTAGATGTTGAGACCATATGTGTAGGAAATGCTTAGAACACCTGGCAGATGTTGAGACCATATGTGTAGGAGATGCTTAGAACACCTGGTAGGTGCTTAGACCATATGTGTAGGAAATGTTTAGAACACCTGGCAGATGTTGAGACCATATGTGTAGGAGATGCATAGAACACCTGGTAGATGCTTAGACCATATGTGTAGGAAGTGTTTAGAACACCTGGCAAATGTTGAGACTATATGTGTAGGAGATGCTTAGAACACCTGGCAGATGTTGAGACCATATGTTAAGGAGATGCTTAGAACACCTGGTAGATGTTGAGACCATATGTGTAGGAAATGCTTAGAACACCTGGCAGATGTTGAGACCATATGTGTAGGAGATGCTTAGAACACCTTGTAGGTGCTTAGACCATATGTGTAGGAAATGTTTAGAACACCTGGCAGATGTTGAGACCATATGTGTAGGAGATGCATAGAACACCTGGTAGATGCTTAGACCATATGTGTAGGAAGTGTTTAGAACACCTGGCAAATGTTGAGACTATATGTGTAGGAGATGCTTAGAACACCTGGTAGATGTTGAGACCATATGTGTAGGAGATGCTTAGAACACCTGGCAGATGTTGAGACCATATGTGTAGGAGATGCTTAGAACACCTGGTAGATGTTGAGACCATATGTGTAGGAGATGCTTAGAACACCTGGTAGATGTTGAGACCATATGTGTAGGAGATGCTTAGAACACCTGGTAGATGTTGAGACCATATGTGTAGGAGATGCTTAGAACACCTGGCAGATGTTGAGACCATATGTGTAGGAGATGCTTAGAACACCTGGTAGATGTTGAGACCATATGTGTAGGAGATGCTTAGAACACCTGGCAGATGTTGAGACCATATGTGTAGGAGATGCTTAGAACACCTGGTAGATGTTGAGACCATATGTGTAGGAGATGCTTAGAACACCTGGTAGATGTTGAGACCATATGTGTAGGAGATGCTTAGAACACCTGGCAGATGTTGAGACCATATGTGTAGGAGATGCTTAGAACACCTGGCAGATGTTGAGACCATATGTGTAGGAGATGCATAGAACACCTGGTAGATGTTGAGACCATATGTGTAGGAGATGCTTAGAACACCTGGTAGATGTTGAGACCATATGTGTAGGAGATGCTTAGAACACCTGGTAGATGTTGAGACCATATGTGTAGGAGATGCTTAGAACACCTGGTAGATGTTGAGACCATATGTGTAGGAGATGCTTAGAACACCTGGCAGATGTTGAGACCATATGTGTAGGAGATGCTTAGAACACCTGGCAGATGTTGAGACCATATGTGTAGGAGATGCTTAGAACACCTGGCAGATGTTGAGACCATATGTGTAGGAGATGCTTAGAACACCTGGTAGATGTTGAGACCATATGTGTAGGAGATGCTTAGAACACCTGGTAGATGTTGAGACCATATGTGTAGGAGATGCTTAGAACACCTGGTAGATGTTGAGACCATATGTGTAGGAGATGCTTAGAACACCTGGTAGATGCTTAGACCATATGTGTAGGAGATGCTTAGAACACCTGGTAGATGTTGAGACCATATGTGTAGGAGATGCTTAGAACACCTGGTAGATGCTTAGACCATATGTGTAGGAGATGCTTAGAACACCTGGTAGATGTTGAGACCATATGTATAGGAGATGCTTAGAACACCTGGTAGATGTTGAGACCATATGTGTAGGAGATGCTTAGAACACCTGGTAGATGTTGAGACCATATGTGTAGGAGATGCTTAGAACACCTGGTAGATGCTTAGACCATATGTGTAGGAGATGCTTAGAACACCTGGTAGATGTTGAGACCATATGTGTAGGAGATGCTTAGAACACCTGGTAGATGTTGAGACCATATGTGTAGGAAACGTTTAGAACACAGAGGTCTTATTTATGTTTATCATCAATTGGATTGGATTTAATATTACGAAAAAGTTTTTTTTGGTATTATTATTATTAAAATTAAATCTTGTATAATTGAAACGAACGTGTTTCAAACCCGCATCAAACGCGATCTTTTTTCTTTGTATTAGAATGAATGTCTATATAGATAAGATCAAACGCGATCTTTTTTCTTTGTATTAGAATGAATGTCTATATAGATAAGATTTTTCTTTATAGAAGGACGAGGTGCTCGCAGACACGAGCCAGTACATCCAGTTCATAGAAGTTCCGAGTCTGAACAACACCGCTAGTCAACTGTTGGACAGCTTCTTCCCTGAAACGTCCAACGACACCAACGTGACGCAGGAGATCTTGAATAAGGACGACTTCGATGTTGATAAGGTGATAAGAAATGTTTGTTGGACAGTGAATTAATGACCAAAAAATTAAAGATAGACCAGTGTGCTTTAGACCACACGGCTGAAGTAAAACTTCTTTCGCTCCATCTACATATATCTAATATGTATATGTTTATATATATACAGGGTGACTGGTGAATTACTATCAATATTTAAGGAGAATACTCGGTACATGATTCTCATTCGAATTATGTAAAAAAAAATAGGCTCTTAATTTTTGACAAAATTTCCGTATCCTATTTATTTATAGTGTTGACACGTTCCAAGTGTTCCAAGTGTGGACGCGTGCGGCGGCGTGCTGATACAACACCCCGCCGCCGCACGCGTATGTGTGTGTGTGTGTGTGTATACCTAATCTGTAGGGTGTTCACACGATGCGTAATTAATTACATAACTTTTGGTTAACTTTACTTAGAAGTTTATTAATATTTATGTTATATTAATTTTTATTTTGTCATATATGATCGTCAAATATCACGTCCTCAAATATCGATAGTAATTCACCAGTCACCCTGTATAATACAATTATTGCGCTAGAATTATTGAGAGATGCAAATAAATAAATAAATTATAAATGTTTAATAGTTATTTATATTAATTTTAGTTTGTATTGATTTGAATATTTTTAGTGATTTTTATGCATGAATTTAATGAATTATTTAATTTTAATTTTATTAAGTACTTGTTTGTTTTTTGTGGTTTTTAATTTGTTTAAATTTTTACTTATTATTATTATTTAGATCTTTCTCGCTATAATTATATATTAATATATTTTTAAAACATTGTAATCGTTGTGGCCACTTTAAAAAGCTACACATGTAACCTATTTCCATTTAATTGTTTTATATTCGGCACTTAAACATGTAGTAGCTGCTAGTGGTCCTTAAAATAAATAAATAAATAAATACAGACACGTATATACAAATACATATATTAACTTTCGTTCGCTTTGCGCGATCACACTTTTCGTAACGATTTCGTCACACATTCACCAGCTTATTCCCAAGTCAAGCGGGCTTAAAGAAGTTTGACTTCAAAAATTAAGGCATCTTAAGACATTTATTCTGGATTAAAATTCAAATTTAACTAATTTTCACTTACAGTTATCGTCGATAACACTTAGATTTTTTCACATTGAATGGAAGAATTTATTTAAAATAAATTTTCAGCTAGAACCTTCTACAGCCGTGGCCAAGACGGATGAGGCTTTGAATTCAGACGAAGAAAACTACCTCCAGATGGTGGTCTTCCAAGCTACTTCATCAGTGGCTCCGTTCAGACACGTGTGTAACCTGTGCCAGAAGGAGTTCAAATACGCCAAGTGGCTCAAGATGCACATGCTGTCTCACTCTAACTGGATCAAAGCTAACTGCAAGAAGCCGCCCATGTGTCACATATGTGAGAGGACGTTTAAGGTTAGATTGGATATATATATATATATATATATATATATTGCCTAGTTTGTATTGCCTAAAATAAATATAATGAGATTTTGTCAATTATCATGGGGACGTGTGGTAGTTTGTTCCTCTTTCAAAAAACTCTTTAACGGATTTTGACGAATTTATAGTTACGTAGCGTAATCAAAATGAGATATAGGTCATAATTTATTTTGATCACCATAACTCTTCTTGGGACACACTTATAAGAACAAGATCAGTCAGTCTACATAAAGTCACGGGCAATAACTAGCATACTCAAAATAATTTACGCTCACAAATTTGGGAGTGAACTTTAAACATTTGTATAATATGAATAAAATATCAAATTTCAGGGTCCAGGGATGTTGAAAATGCACATGAGGACCCACGAGCAGCGACCTCCAAAACAGCCGACGTGTTCCGTATGTCAGAGGACCTTCCCCACAAAGACCTTACTGTATAGACACAGGCAAACACACTTCGAACAGAAAACACATCAATGTACGGTGTGCGAGAAACGATTCTTCAGTGGGTATGCACTGAGATCGCATATGGCTCGACATAGAGGCGAACGACCGTATATATGCTCTATATGCCTCAAGAGTTTCTACAATCCAACCGATTTGAAGGTAAGATATGATATGTGATGGACATTTAGCATTTTAGCGTATACCAAAAACTATAAAGACTAAATATTCATAATGTTTATTAGAGTACAGAATATATCTATTTGTAAATGGAGGGCGTAGAGAGTGTACCGCATTTGAGTTTATCGAACTTCCTGTCTTCTTCATCAGCTGTTCTAAAAGCTTCTTCGAAGGCTTCTTTGCTTCGTTTAGATAGATATATAGGGAATGTTATTTGGAAGCGTATCTTGAGGTTGCCTTTGACCTTGTTCGGGCAGGCCGGTATAGGTAGACCTTCATCTTCGATCACCTTCTCATACGTAGGGTCAATGACATCAGTTATTTTGATTCTTAATACTCGTTCGTCCAGCGTGTTCACTATTATCATAATCCCACATAAAGCTTCCTTCAATGTTATCGTTCTAGACATCATTAAGTCACTTAACCCGCTTCTTATAAAGTTCTCGTGAGGTCTATCTTCTGTTATAAATATCACGTCAGCGGGAATTCTGGTCGGTCCTTGATCTCCTTCTTCCTTGAACTTGATTTCCGTGCCAGGGTATATCCCCGGCTTGATCGGTATTGATAGAACTTTTTCTCTAAGTCTTAACTCAGAGCAGGTTTCATCAGTGAATACTAAGCGTTGTATCTTCATTTTTTTAAGTCCTCCTTTGAATACTTCTTCCAGGGTTAATGCTAACGGTCGTACGATAGTTTGATCTTTTTCTTTATATCCTTTTCCTAATGGTGATTCGAACATAGGTGGTGGGTTTTCGTAATAGTCTAATAGGTCGGCGTATGGGTTGCTACTGCCGAAGAATTCATGGTATGTCCTTACTGGATCTCCGTGGTATGTGTATGGATGTATGTAGTCTTCTGGTCCGGGAACACCTTTCTTCAAACCTTCCTCTCCGTACTGATCGTACACTGCTCTATGTTTATGATCCACAAGTACCTCATAAGCCTCTCCTATGAGAGCGAATATCCGTTTCATGTTCTCATCATTGTCATATCTTTCCGGGTTATATTTTAAAGCGAGTCGTCTATACGCTTTCTTCACTTCGCTCTGTTTGCAAGATCGTTTCAATCCCAGTATGCCGTAATAATCGAAACCCATGTTTTACGTGTCTATGTTGTATTATAAAAATTATATTTATATGTTGATAGGAAAATTTTTATAAACTGACGTTTGTTAATGACACTGAAATATTAAGTCAATAGTATCCAAAGAGGTTTAATATTAATAAATATTTCTGTTATTTTCGTCCCAGGTTCATTTTCGCCTGCACACAGGAGAAAAGCCTCTCAAGTGTTCTGAATGTAACAAAACGTTCCGACGTCATTCGACTCTGTGCCAGCACATGAAGAAGCACAGAGGTATAAGGAACCATGTGTGTAATATATGTAGCAAGGCCTTCTACGAGGTGTCAAAATTGAACGCTCACATGAGAGTTCATACAGGTAAGAAAACAACATTTAAAAGTTCCATACATATATAACGTGTAACATAATTAACGCACACCCTGAAAGTAGTTTGATCAGAATCGGATACTGGATCGATTTTGATAGTTTTTTATGTAGGTCTTTTTTTTTTTCTCAAATTTAGATAGAACTAAGTAAATTATAGTCACCTACACACAGTTATCTAAACACTTCATAGAAACAAAAATTAATGGAAACGAAAATGGATCGTAAGTCAGGGTATTAAGATTTTTAAAATGAAATATTGAATTAGTAATCATCATTCAATTAAAGAAAACTGATACTTATTTCAAGGCTAAAATAGTATTTAATAATAACTACGCACGCAACACCATAGCGACAACCGGCACACAGCAAGGTCACTACAGTGCATAAAAGAAAGCCGCGTAATACAAAAATTATTCCTTTCTCCTTCTTTCTTCGGCTTAATAACATTACAATAGAGCGAGACGGCAGGCATAATTCCGGGAATCAGAGTAATAATAACTAAACATCGAAGTCAACAAAATGTGTTTTGGGTTAGTTACGCCGCGTCCACCTTATCGAAAAGAGGTCAAGTGTAAAGTGCAAATAAAATCTTAGTCGCGCATTTCACTGTGTCGTTTCGATACACTAACATTCAATACATCAAGTACCTACGCACGTGTCCATTGACCTCCTAGATCAGCTGATTTGACGCGACTCGACTTTTTTTTGTGGGGGCGAATTAAATCGCTAGTTTATAACACAGAGATAACAAGTGCCGAGGAACTAAAAAATAAGATAATAACCGCCTTTGTAAAAGTGAAAAGTGACATTGCAGTATTATCTAAAATAAAACCACAATTGCGAAAACGGTCATTAAAGTGCATAAAACAAGGCGGTGGACATTTTGAAAATGTTTTAAAACGACAACGCTGTGCGAGTGCAAATTAAACTGTAAGTTTGTTTATGATCTTTAAATTATTGTAAATATTTTGATACACACCATTTAAACAGGCCGACTGTGTTTAACTTTGTCGTAGGTATTGTGGTGTCTATTCAAATCACGCGTTATCAGCTGTTTAATAATTCCTATTTACAAATTTAATTTAACAAATCAGTAATTATAAAATATTGGCTTCACATTAAAAAGACAATTCAATGTCAACAATCTAAAGCTTGAAAAGTGTGATGGAAAGAAAAATCATAATGTATGTAGTTATTTCGTGTACTTATTATTACCTACTTCTTATTATTGTCGGACGGCACTCGGAGAGAGGGGCGCGGGCGCGGCGAGTACAGAGTGTCGCTGAATAGCGGACCATATTATTTGCACGAAATTGGGATAACTAATTTCACAAATAAAAAATTCAAACGCACATATAAATAATATTTGGTGTATGCATTGCGTTTATATCATTATATACGCATTGGGGTATTTGAGGGTGTGCGTTAATTACGTTACACGTTGTATATATAAGAATAATAAGTACATTCAAATTGAACCTGTTTCCAAAATTATGATATATATCGTTAGGGATGGTGCAAATCCACATAATTACCATTCGATAATTCCGAGTATCTACATTGAAAGCAAATTGACAGAAGAAAGTTTAAGCTGAAATATTTTCTATATTAACTACCTTTAAGCTAAGCTCCAATCACACAGTAGTACGGGTTGCCGAGCAGTAACATATTACCAATAGCAGCCCAACTATCAGTTTTACCCGACATTACCTGCATTTAGAAGAAATTGGTTCTATTAAGCCTTGATAATATTTCCAGACACATATTTATATTTACGATTGGTGATTTTGTAAAACTATGAAAATATTTTATATTTTTTCACAATAAGTAATAAATCAAACACTAAATATTTACTAATTGTGAAAGAATTTTCTCAAAAGTAGTTAATATATAAAATATTTCATTTCAAACTTTCTTCTGATAATTTTCTTCCTATGCAGTTATACGGATATGCACCATCCCCTATAATATATCATATCATACTCATATCATGATCATATCATTCCAGGCGAGCGTCCGTTCGAGTGTCAGTTCTGTTCCCGTAAGTTCGCCCAACAGTCAGCCTTGATCTACCACAAGCGGACCCACACGGGAGAGAAGCCGTACGCGTGTAAAGCTTGCCCGGCGAGATTCACTACCTCCTCGTCTAGAAATAACCATATGCTGACACATACAGGCAACAAGAAGTACGGGACATATATACATATACCACTTAGTATATAAGATAGATATTTTGATCAAAATCGGTCCAGCCAATTCAATGAAGACATGTATGTATTGTAAATAATGTTGTGGGACATATAATATGTGCTCATATTGGTTGTAGCACATACAAAAAGAGTATTTAGACATCACTGACCTACGGTGAAGGAAAAAATCGTGGGGAAACCTGGACTTATAGTTTCACAATTATTAGCTTGAAATCACCAACACGTCTTGAGCAAGCGTGGTGATTCATGCTCAAACCTTCTCTATGTGACAAAGAGGCCTTGCTCAGCTGTGGGCGCTGATAGGCTGATGACGACGGCGACATACAAATATATAGACGGATTTTATTTATATATACAATCAAGATATTTCAAATAAATTACAATAGCGTCAGTTGAGCAGATTAAGTCCAGATTTCCTCACGATGTTTTCCTTCATCTGTCAGCGGTACTTATTACTCTTAGACAGTACATATGACTGAAAAATCACATTGGCACTTACACGAGAGCACAGTATATAAAGTTCTATGCAATTGCTTTTTTTTAAAAAAAGAAACACTACCAGTACACATGCAACATTTACACAAAAATACAGTCAAAAGTACAAAAAAAAAAACAAAACTATTTAATAAAAAACAACACATAAATTAAAAGTGAAATACTTACAATTTTATAGAGTAATATTTATGCAAAGTATGTTTGAATTTTGAAAATGAATCATGAAACATGTCCAAATCTGTTATCTCTATATTTAGGAAATTGTATATTTATAATTCCCAATTAATATATATCAATCATGATAGGTTCGTGTGTCCAGTGTGTTTCAAAGGCTGTACCTCTCGTTCCGAGCTCCGCGTCCACTCGACCAAACACACCGGTGAGAAGTTGTTCGCGTGTGAGATATGCTCCCAGAGGTTCAGTTCACCATCCTACCTCGCGGTACACAGACGGACACACACGGGGGAGAAGAAATATCAATGTACTGAATGTGGAAAAGGTTAATATTATAGATTTATAAGGTTTTTTGCCATTCCTAGTCCATTTTGTCCTATTCTTAGTCTAATTCGATATAAATATGAGTATTTTTGCTCATTTCTGTAATGTATTAATATTTGTAATTAAAATGCTTGAATATTACTAGAAATGTTTCAGTATTATAATATTATATCGATGTCAGGTTTCGTGGAATGCACGTCATACAAGAAACATATGAAGACTCACGCGAAGGACAAACCTCAGAGCGAAGAGACGAAGACACAGAACAATCAAGAGGAAGTAGCCAAGATACAGGAAACTAACTTGGAGACTGTCGACGAAAATAAGAAAGACGACAAAGAGGTTACAACGGAAGCGGAAATAAATCAGGACGGACAAATAGTCATACAAGACGCCGGTGCACAAAAGAGATTTAAATGCGGGCTCTGCGTCAAAAGCTACACGTACTTGCACAGTCTTAAGAAGCACATGTTGAGTCACGTACAGATGTGCGTGTTCAGTCCGGACGGCTCGGAGAGGATGTACGCGTTCAAACAGCAACAGCAACAGCAGGAGTTGCAGCAACAGCAACAACAACAGCAACAGGTGCAGCAGGTGGTGGTCGGAGGGGTGGGGGGCGTGCAGCAGCTGGCGGTGCCCGTACACCAACACGTGCAGCCGCTCGTGCCTCAGGTACACACACACAGACACATATAAGTGTTACATGGTTATTTGTATCAAAATATGTATCACTAGTAGCGCCATCTCTGTTGCTAATTGGTAACAATTCTTATGAACCTAATATTATGTCTGTTCGCGATATTCACTTGTTCCATTAGAAAATACAATATGTACAAAAAGTAATTTAAATCGTGATAAGAATTAATATTTTAATACAATAAAGAATGAATGAAGATAATAGCTTTAATAGAAATATATACTAGTGACCATACTCTTCTCGGACACAAGAATATAAATCGTATATTATACAATATGTAATGAAACTTATTGTTTATATTTACACAGAACAATCAACAGTATCCAGTTATATCATCGGTTCAACTTCAACAGACGCATCAACAAGTTAATACTGTGAGTACAAACTGACTGATACTGTTTATATATACATATGTATAGTACTAGTTTTTGCCCGAGATTTCGTCTGCGTTAGTTTCAGAATTAACAATGTATATATGACCGGACGAACTCTATTCCTCCTTAAGAAAGTAGATAAAAGATTTTCAATTTGATCAAATTATTATTTTTTCAATCAGATCAAAAGTATTTTATATCCTTTTCCTTATTCTAATCTATCTTTCCACCAATTTTCATCATAATCCCTACATCCGTTCTTGTGTTATAAATAGAGTAAGTAACACTATTTTTTTTTATATATTATATATTTTTCATAATATTAATATTTTCAGCAACCACAACTGCAAGTTCAAACTATTCAGATACATCCCCAACATCAACCAATACAAATACATGTGAGTATTATATTCATTGAAATTAATTGGCGTTTTAAATATAGACAAATGATAACCAAAGACAAACTCATGTCAAGAAAAGATCAAAATTGTCTATTACCTAATATTTAACTTAATAAACTTCAGCATATTTGATATACATATATGTATATAAATTTGTGAGCAAATATTTCTCTATAAAGAATTTTCTTTTAATTTCAAGTGATTATACTATACTTATATTAATAACTAAATACATTTTATTATAAGGCGGTCGGCGTTCAACAAGAACAACTTCACGTTGCCACAAGCAGTTGTCAAACAATGGTGCCCAATATACTACAGGTAACATATACATTAGTTATATGTATAATATATGTTTTAAATATTGTTTTATAAGATATGTTATTGTGATTTGGATGACACAATAAGTTAAAAGATTAATGGTTTCTCTGTAAGAAGAGATTTTAAGAGTCTAATAAATATGATCCATTTTACAAGTTCTCTTCTTGGTAATACTTTCGTTATACAACTTAAAATAAATATGTGGTATATATTATATATATTGAATTTATTATTTATATGTATATTTATTCAGTTGCAGCCAGGTGCTGTTGTTTCCGGCTTGGGCCAAGAACTGGGTGGTGTGCATCGCATCATATTACAGCCACCTCACGCTCATCCCCACGCCTTATATACTATACATCACTAGTATATAAACATTATATAGTTTATATACATATATAATAATTAATTGTACCTACGCTTCTGACTTAATATTGTTATTTAATTAGTTCTTGTCACCACTCTCACAATTAATGTTTGTAAGCAGACTTAAAACCAAGTGATCCTTTATTAGTTAGGTGTATTTATATGTTAGTGTACATTAAAAATAGTTATTATTGTTTGTTATTATTTCAAGAATAATAAATATATTTTACAATTTCTGTCTATTTTTTATTCTCATACAGTCATTGGACATTACAATCCTAAAATATTACTTTTAATTGCATTTGCTTAGAAGATTGTTTTAGCCTCAAGGAACATAGTGAACTGGGGAATTAATAACAAGAAAGTTACTTCAACTGATTGTGACTAGTACAAGTCAAGAAGTAATGAAAAATAAATAATGATTTATTAATCAAAATATACATATTTGTATATAACATTAGGGACTAACTCTTTCACTCAAGAAGCCATAAATAACCAGATATTGGAAACTATTAAGTATTGTTTTGCTTTTTCTATTGAACAGAATTAAGTATCCTAGGTCTGTCTCGTGGTTCTGAGCTATCTCTCAACCAATTTTCAACCATATCCATACAGCCATTCTCGAGTTAAAACCACTTTATATATATAAAGATTACATACATTTATACTAGAATATTGTATGAAGTTTATGTTTAAATGAAATAATAAAACAGTGTTATGTATTAAAATTAATTTAATTAATATCTTAAGTAGTACAAGAAATTATAATGTTTAAACTACAGCAAATCATTATGGTAACCTATCGTGAACATGAAACCATAATTTATGTATATAGAATAGAATTACAAACAAAAGATATGAAGATACATAAATAATACTTAGAATATTTAACTTCTCTTAATGCTACATCAATATCTGTTACTAACATCTATCTTTTATGTAATCACACATTCAAATGGATCATACCTGAAAACAAATGTTCCTATGTTAAATGTTAAGGAAATTATATCAGTGTAATATATAATTAGTAATCAGAATTGAATTATAAAGACAGACAGAGCGGTGATATAATATTAGTATGTTTAAACTTATAAACAATAACCTAACTTACACTAACTGATAATTAACATAGCAAGTCAAAAATCAATATATTAATCTCCTCCGTTTATAAGATTTTCTCTAAAATATGTTTGTTATTTAAGTCCGCACATATCGTTAGAAACAATCTTATACAAGCACCATCACTTCTATCAAACAAATCACGCCTTACATCATTATTGTATGGAGAGAGCAGGTAGGAACTTACAATAAATAGTGATGATAGTGACTTTGATCTCAATAAATGTTAATGTTAATTAAATAAAAATACATTTTTGTTCCTCATTATGTATGAAAGTTACCCTTAATGTAGGAGCCTTCGTACATTTTAGCATTTTTTTAAAAATGCTCTATAGTTTGGTGATGTTAGTCTTTAAAACAAAATTCAATAGCTGTATTAGATATATAAGTTATGTATTAGTAGAAAAGCTAGTTTGAAATTGTGGTTACTTATGTTATAAAAACGTTTAGAAAAAAAGTATATGAATCCTGCCCGCTCTCCCCTACAACTAAAATTAGCAATATTATTATATACTAAGAAAATTACATTTGTCAATCACATTTCTTTAAACTTCTGTAATTAGTCGAGAGTAAGTAAAGTCCAAAATAAGAGTTCAAAATGTGAAAACAAATTAATTCGAAAAAACAAAAACCTGCGATAAATTATATGAATGGTTTAAGTTAAGTGATGTTGATAACTTCCTTCAAGTTAAATTACTTTACATGTCTTTTTAATGCTAATTGTACCAACACATCATGTGTTAATAAAACACTATGGTCTTTACAATAAGGAATTATGTATGAGAATTTTCAGTGTTCAAAATAACCTGAAAAAAATGAATAGTCACCAGAAATCGTCAATAATGTAGTTATACATTTTAGATAATAAATTGAAACCCAATGTATCCAACATCACAGTCAATTAATTATGACGAAATACAAATAAAAAAACTTTTATGACAAACCATTCATGGCTGCAGTCGCAAGACTTAAATCAAATATAAAAATATCGAAATAATCAAAAATTTCAATCTCTCTCTAACAAATTTTCATATTATTTAAGTGTTTCCATAAAGTTTGCACTATTGTAAGGGACTAGCCCAATGTGTGTTCATTGTTAATTGAAAATGTCACTAAACAATCATTTTAATAATATCTAATGTCATGTTGAGTGGTGGTTTCTCAGAGTTCTAGTTTTTGTGTTATGAACATGTTAAACACTGGGTACTCTGTCACTGTTTGTTTCCGAGCACCTGATGTATGGTGGGTGTGATGTGAGGCCGGCTGGCAGCTGGACATCTATGAAGTAACGATGCCTGCGAGCCTCCTTGGCTGAGATCCGACGGATAGGATCATACACTAACATCTTCTGAAGCAGATCCATACCCGCTTCATCCAGATTCTGAACCTACAGACAAATAAAACATTTTTATCCATACTACAAACTATTTAATAGGAAAGACATACATATATCATACTTCATTACTTTAGTATTATAAAACTATATGAAATTCGCCATGTATGTATAGTGCTAAGATAACAAGACTGAATAACAGACACTCATGTATTATATAAATCTACCTACATTATACTTGATATCATATCATATTAAGAATCCCAAGCAAGTATAAGTAATACACAATTATTTAGTCTCAACAATATTTATATGATGTAAAAAGCTCACAAAAATAACATAGCAATCTATGAGGTTACACCAGTAGGACATTTAATAGTTTGAAATTATAACTTACATGGTTATGAAGATTGAAGCTCGTCCAATTGGGGAATGTTGGTTTGTAGTCGGGTAGAGATGAGACGCCAGGCCAAATCTCTTCAGTAGGTGTTCTCAACATTCTATCAACAAAACGCGTGTTATACTAAGTATATTAAATAAAACATTTAACTAACATATAGAAAATACCTACCTGAAGATTCTGAACAGCTGATCAATTTCTGAATCACCTTGAAACAATGGTTTCTTGGATGACATCTCGGAAAATATACATCCAACTGACCACATATCTATCGGGCAAGAATATCTGGGAATTAAAGATAAATTGTACATTATATTACACTATTTAGGAGTTATATATTGAATGGTCCTATGTAGCAATTTTTTTGCTTTAAACACTTCATAATACTATATCCTACAACATCCATTAAAAAAATGAGTATGTATTTGTTGGTGGAAAGACTTAGTTTTGATTGCAGTAAAAAACCACTTATGGTTTTTTGACATATAAGGGCTTATATAATGCATATTATATAAAATAAATATATATAAAAAACTAGTAGGCTTACAAATAAGTTAATCAAGCTTAAATGACATACATATATGTCATAGTTGCTATGCAAAGTTTCAAATGCATAAGTTGTCGCATATACAAGATACATTGAAATCAATCTTAAAACACCTCTACTGAAAAATTGACATATTGCATATTGGCCATTATACATAGGAGCCATCAATATAACATGTATGCACGGCTACAATACTCACCGTTGACTGCCGAGCAGTACTTCAGGAGCCCTATACCAAAGTGTCACCACTTCATGAGTGTAAACACGTACTGGGACGCCAAATGCTCGACCCAAACCAAAATCGGCAACCTGAAGAACCAATTTGTTAATATGACAAATAAACCTATTTAATAGATTTTATTAAACATACCTTTTAAATATTTTTATTTTAGCAACACATTATACAAGATATAAATCTATCTTGTAACTTTTAATTAAAATAAAAGAGGAACTTAATTATTAACTTCTATGTTTAAAGTAGATTCAGTCAATATTACCTTAATAATCCCAGTCTTATCAATGAGTAAGTTCTGAGGTTTTAGATCTCTGTGAAGGATTCTGCGTTGGTGACAGTACAGTATAGCATTGTTGATCTGATACAGGTAGCTCTTGACCGTCTCCGGCTCCATAAACTAGTTCAAATACAACAAAGCAACAATAGTTAGTAATATGTTTAAATAACTTTAATTAATAAACACATATATTTGTATAATTGTGAATGTGAAATCATTTTTGTCAGTTTAAACCTTTTCAATATCTGTTTATAAGATCACACTTGTGTGAAGACCTTGTTGAAAGAAACTGCTAGCAACAGAATGATATATAAAACTTGTCATAATAACCTTGCCCGAGCCGAGGGAATCCATAAATTTCTTCAGATCCATGGATAAGAACTCAAAGATCAAATACAGACGAGCTTCCTCCATTAAAACGTCTTCTAATTTGACAATGTTAGGATGATATAGTTCTTTGAGAAGTGATATTTCCCTAAAAATTAAAAGTCCGTAAAAGTTTTGTGTCTGCACGTTTTTTACATTTATATATATAATAGTAATGGTTAAAGTACGATTGTATTATATTTTCAATAAATATCGCTGGATTTGTTGCTTAGGAAACAAAGGCTCGTAAATTTTTACAAACCGTATGGCTGTCGACGGAATGCCTTCTTCCTCGGATTCCAACCTTATTTTCTTCATTGCCACGTATTGACCTGTTACTTTGTTTTTGCCCTTATAAACCACGCCATAGGTTCCTTCACCTATTTTTTCTATTTTAACGAAATCATCCATTTTGTATGGCGGTATTTTGCTTGATTTATTAAACGCGATTATCGAGAACAGCGGGTAGGGCCGCGTGTTTAACAATACTCTTTCCGCGTTAATTACTTGTATATAATTCAAAACTTTCCCTCGCTAGTTATCTTATTACTGTATTTAATTCCTAATATCCAATCTATAAGTTATAACAGGCCCAACGATCTCAACAACATTTAACGACTTTCAAACGAAGTTTTTAAATTTTACAAATGACATTTTGTGTCATAGCCACAAGTTTTTCTTTTATCTATGGCCATGAATGTTAATTCTGGATATTATTTTTTGTTTTTAAATTATTATTTATGTTTATACTGATTACAAATTTAAATAAAGGTTAACCATTATTTAAAAACTAAAAACAGTTGCCTTTTTAATAAATACGTTCAAAAATATGTGTACCAATGAGTATCAGTACATATTCCGTTTCAGTATCTATGGTTTGAATTCAATAAAAACCTTTTTATTTTTATATCTAATATTAAACCAATTATAAACGTTAAATTGAGACTAAGATTTTTTTCACATAATATAATGCAGTCATTAATTTTTATTTTTATTTTTTTATTTTATTTTATTTAGGCACACAAACAGAATATTATCACGATTACATATGAGTTATCCGCTGGATGCGGGTGGCACAAGACCGGTCGTCGTGGAGATCCTTGGGGGAGGCCTATGTCCTGCAGTGGACGTCTTTTGGCTGATGATGATGATATGAGTTACAGACTAAAAAATATTTTTAGCATGACTACATTCCTAATTATGTGTACACGGCATAATCATTACAAAAAATAGTAGTAAAAGATACATTAGTTACATTCAATTATAATGAAAAAATGAAATCAAATTAAAAAATTAAACTCAATTAAAAAAAATTATTATATTAAAAAACAAAATTAAATTAAATTATATTAAATTAAATCAAAATAATAAATAAATTGTCAAAAAGTTATTGGAGAGTAAATGATTAATGTAGTTCAAAACGTATAATAACCAACAAATTTTAAAAGAATCTATCTTCTTTTGAGGTCTGACTAGTTTATATAATATCATGAATGTGCCAACTTTGTTGTGGATTTTTATTATTTCTTAAATTTTACTATCATAATATACAATGAATCGTATATGTATTAAATATATAACTGAAATTATATTTTCAGAGTATAAACATTCTAATCTTACATAAAAATAAAATTACATCCACAAACATAATAAAAATGTATTCAAAATATTGATCTACTAATTAAGTTTTTTAAGATATAAAAGGTCTTTTTTATTATATATATGATCTTTACCTTAATATTTAAGTAAAATTTTAAAATGTTAATTCATATTTTTTTAAGTTTTTCGTAATTTAATATATTTCGGTGTTTTATTTCAATTTAAATATAAAAAAATACTGATATACTGCACATGATATTTAGTTCACAGGGATATTTTTTGTAAAATAATAATAATAATCTTATATTAAAAAAAGAAAACAATCTTATAATGCTATCCATTTAGAGATTTAAATCGTTTCCACGTTCCATTGCATTAAACTGCTGATCGAAGCAGAATGGTCACGTATATGGTGTTAAAACTGATTATCGTATTGAGAATGCGTGCCTTAGCATCGTCTTTATCAGATAAATGATAAAACATGACCCTATAATATCAGCTGTTGTCCATAACTTAGTGTTACAGATGTGAAAGTGGTCGAAAATGATGTGGTTACTCTTGTTAGCGTGTGTGGTGCGGATTCATGGCGTAAGTTATAATTCATGTGCTGTTGAAATAGTTATATAAAACAATTTCAGAGTTTATATTGTATTTATGTGAAAAATATTCTTGCATTAATGTTTTCGTAATCATATTAGAAACAATTAGGATAACGTTCATATAAAAAGACGTATAAATCAAGCATTGGATATATTTAGATAGAAATGATATTTTTTTTTAACAAGCAATATTTTCCAGATATCTTCACAGCATTTAAACTCTGACGATTGCTGTCCTTGCTCTCCAGAAAATAATATACTCGGTAGTAACGCTTTGAACAAGGATCATGTCTCTGGGAATTGTCCTTGTAGATATGCGGATTCTGAACCCGCTTCATCTATATTTAGACCAAGTTTCAAAACAGCCACTAGTACCAGGTGAGAAATTCTACAATATTTTTGTTTTTATTGTAAGTCTATATAAAATACTAATGATTTGAACATTTATTAATAGGCCAGTCGATGAGAAGGAGGAACCAAAGCCTCTTTTAAATCCAGAAGTCGGCCTCGCGTCTTCAGTCTTAGAAACTTTACGTGAAGTCACTGATCAAGAATATAAAGATGCTCTGGCAAGGGATGCTGCGAGGAGTGCTTTGAGGTCAATAGAAGGGAATGACGAGGCAGATGAAGCTGGCGATGAAAGCAAAAATGTTGTTAAGATCATATTAGGTCCTAGACATAACACGGATATGGACACCATGTCTGAAGCGTCACATAACCACGAAACCCGCTGCATACACCCAGCTCTAGGACAAGAAAACGTATTTGAACAATACCCGGAACAACCTCAAAGAAAATTATATAAACACTTCATCCTTAGCAAGCCAGTTGTAGGTCTACAAAAAAATATTTTTGACATGGACAATAGCCCCAGCGAAATTCAAGAAAGTGTAGTGACAGCTAGACCCAGTGTATTGGATAATATAAAGATTAAGACGGATCTATTGAAATCAAAGTTATTTTTAAACAATGAGGGATCGAACCAAAGACTCGAACCTAAAATATCCTTTGATAAGGTATTTTATAAGCCAGTAATAAAATTACCCGACTTCAACTTGGCTTCTTCTTTGGACCATTTCAAGAAATCGAAGTTATTCGATTCTTACAAGTCCCCCTCACCTGCCGTGATGAAAGACAATACTTTATATAAGAGCGTCAATCAAAATGGAAACAGTGATCTTATATCACCTCAGCAACTATCGCAAAATAGAAAATTTGAGATCAATGAAAAGTCTTTACCACAATATACTTCACTTGCATCCAAAGAAGCTCGCAAATCTCCAAAAAGTACCAAGTCTTTTAATGGTGATGACATTAATACGGATAATTCAATATTGAAACCAGTATTAGCATTGCGTGACGATTGTGACCCATCAAGATCCTGGTTACAAACACAAACTACAACTGAAAAAAGTGAATGTCTTGACGTCAATAGTCTGCCATCAAATGTTCCAGAAGAAAAAAGTACTGAAATTTTAACAACAATTCCAAACCATTCTGAACTAATTGAAGATGAAAACGACGCGATGAAACAGGGTGACGGTAAAGTAAGCGAAAACTGTGAACCAAATGTAAACAGTGACCGAAATGAAGAACGTAACGTTGTTGATGAAGATAATGAAACTGATTTAAGAGCTAGTACCACTCAGACGACTGATGATATGATGAACGAGTTGTTAATGAATGGGGACAGAGACGAAAGAAAAGAAGATAATTCCGAAAATGAATGCATCGTATCTGAAAACACTAGGAATAAGGAAAATTCTATTGGTGGCGAAGTTTTAAATGACTCGATGGAAGAAAATAAAGAAGATAAGCAATCGATGGATGATTCTCAATCCACTGCCAATACAGATAGGAAAATGAACGCTATATCTAGTATACCAGAATTAAAAGAAGGCATAAGAAACAATCTCAAAGAATTAAGAAAAGCAAATGAGAAATGGCAAGAAAAGATGAAATTTAATGTTCATGATACTTTGAACAGAGTTAATATAAGAAATAATATTGCTAAATCACCAAGTACACAGACGGATTCCCAGAATGATAACGATTTACAAAATACATCTGACATATTGCAGGAATTTGATGGTGATAGTGAACCACATGCATCAAATAATTGTCTAACACCTGCTGAAGATTTTGGAATGAAAGAAATTAAGGATCATCCAGTAACTAATAGTATAAAAGAAAAAGATGCTACCGAATATATAGAAAGCGAACCACAAAACTTAAACGAAGATGTTCCTAAAATTGATAATGTTGATGAAACTAATGAATGTAAAGTCCACCAAGAAAAGTCTAGTAATCCAGATACAAAATTAGACTCAGTAAACAACGAAGAAAGCGAAATGGAAGTTCAGGCAAGTGAATCAAAGCAAAGGAATGCTAAAATAGATCTAGATAATTTAAGGTATATGAAACAGGATATAAATGACGAACCCAACAATTTAAATAATGAAAGAAGTTCCTTTTTACAAGCTAATAACTTTTTTGATGATGTTAAGTCAAAACTTTCTAATGTGTTTGGGAAAACAAACGAGAACATTTTGAGTGGACATGTATCGAATGCAGGAAACGTAGATAGAACTGATTCAAGAGGATTTATAAAAGATCGTGTTATAGACTTCACCAAACCGCTTCTTAATTTAGATAAAAGTACCGATTTATTTAAGAATGCACCGGATGATACAGAAACGAGAAGCCACAGTATTAAGTCATTTAATTCAAATCTACAACCCTTCAAAGCTAGAGTGGCAATCCCAGAATCCCTTGATATAAAACCAAGTTTAACACTAGCTGGAAACACAAAAGAAATGAGCCCAAAATTGTATAATTCACAAAGAATACTTCCGAAAACATACACTTCTCGTATGTATACGCAGAATTCGGATGAAAGGACAGGAGATGAGCGTCTATTTTACAAAGAATCAGATGTCAGTAGCCTGAATTCAGAATCAACAATATTATCACCTAAAACATTAAAAAATACCTTACAATTACCTACATCCAAAAATCTTTTGTCGGGGAACTTAAAAGGCCGTACAAATGGAGCACTGAAGAATATACATGAAACTTTGGGTAGTTCTCTGAGGTCCATGCCATTCAATCATGATGATTTACTTGAAACGATGGCCAGTAGGAGAAACGAACTCAACGAAAGACTTAAATCCTTAAACTATGACTTAAATGATAGACTGTCGTCACTCCTGCCTTCATTTAGAGTCCAACCTTTAACGCAAAGCAGAACAAATTCCAAAACCAGGACGAATGCTAGAAATAAACAAGCTTTGGATAATTTGAGAAATTTACCTTTCACCAATAACGTCTCATCGAGATCTAAATTGAACACATTATCAAGAAAAAGTAATGCTGATTCCTTGGCATTTAAACCTTTGAAGAAATCAGTTAATGTGAGAGATCGCCTAGCGGACTTCAAAATACCAAGACTACGCGAAGAACAAAATTTAAAAAGACCCACATCTACTAAGGCTGTATTCACATCACCAGGGGAATCTAGATCTTCGCACACCGCAAGCAGAACTATGAAACCTGGATATAGGAAGGAAAGCAATTTTGTTTCCTTGACTCCATCTACTCCTCCTAAAACATCGCTTCCAAGGTTAAAATCTGCTAAAATCTCTGATAAACAACCTTCTACTCTATCTAATATGGAGAAAAGACCGATTATTTCAAAACTGAAGTCTGGTGAACCATTTACTTTGGGAAGCGAAAACATAATGTCTAGAGCACCCTTTCAGCGTATGTCAGTTTCTGACAAGTCAGCCTTAGACACTACATCAAGTGATTCAGATACACGATCTTTTCACAAAACCTCGAAACAAGATACCGGAAAAAATATAGCCATCTCAAAATTGAAAGAAGTTTTAAAAGCGAGAAGTTTTAATAACGATTTACAAAAACCAAAAGTTACATCCAATGATGACGTCATTCCAGCAGCGACCGAAGTTGAGGATCAGAAAACAGGAATTATGAGACAAAATGTACAATATAAATGTAAGATGGTCTGTACGAAAGATAATTAAAAAGATATGAACGAAATAAATGAAATGTTAACACGCTCTATATGTAAATAACTTGTAATATAAGTAGAAATGTTAGTAAATATATTAAATAAAGTGTCAGAAACCAGAATAAAATTTATGATTTGACTAATTTTATTAAAATTATAATCGTTTGTGAGTTTTTTATATCATTCCATCTGATATCTGACATCTGATCATCATATTTACTAAAATATAAACTAAAATATTATGTCATTGAAATACTAAGAAATTAATTAACAGGAAGCGAAGTTAAAAATGCATTAAGGAGTCATAAACTAACGTTTCAATCTTCTCATTAAAAATCTAACGATAATTTATCCTATAAATATATTTTTATTCAAGTACTAGAAGACCTGGCGAACTTCGTGTCGCCCTATAATCAAGAAATATCTATTACGTTTTTTCATTTATATTTATGGAGTTTACCTGTAAGCCATAAATCTCCGTGTTTTGAAGTGCGACAGAATGATTGACATATTAGTTAGTTGTCAAATCTAATGTCAAAAAAAACGTTTGTATGGGAAATAGAAAAGGGCTGTTTTTATAATTTTCCCAGTAATGAATCAATTTTTTTCAGCTTTTATACCTTCCCTGAACCTCCACGAACATTTCAAGACTAAGATAAGATAAATCCGTTCAGCTGTTCTCGAGTTTTAGCGAGACTAAGGAACAGCAATCCATTTTTATATATATAGAAGATGTGACGTTCTTAAATGAACCAAATAAATAAAATACTTTTTAAAAGAGATTACAACCGACTTGACTTCAATTAAATAATTGATTAAAATATTGAAGCCCTATAAATAATATTCAATAATATTTCAATATAAGTATAGATGATTTGTTAGAAATCTAATATCAGTCAGAAAAACTCCACTTAAAAATAATTAGCAATCTGTTAATGCGTCATCACAATACTTACCATACCGTTCCCGTTTTTATTCAATAGCCTACGATAATACTGTAATATGGAATGGCAGACCGCAGACCCTGGTTAAAGCTGGTTAATATTGCCAGGAAGAAGAATAATATAATGTGGAAAGATTTATGAATGAAAAACTGCTCACTTACCGTTCGTAGTGTGTTTATACTAACTTGAACTAAGCACACAGATCATATATAAGAGAATCCAAATTATGTCCATATATAGTAAAGTGTCTTAGAGAAACGATTTTAGAAGTTCCAGTTATTTGAAGACCGGTAACAAAATATCAGATGACCTCATTTAAAAATAAAATAAAGCGAAATTAAATTAAACCTCATTAATATTCTTATTCACTTTTATTTATTATAATAAAGTAATAGTTTTGTAAACAATTATTTTATTATTAATTCTAAAATAATAATACATATTAATACATTTTACGAATCTAGAGTACGAGGTGTCGGATTTACTGTTCAAGTATTCTACAGACTCTAAAGAAGCTAACTAGTCAGCATCTATTACGTAGATAATATTTGGCTTATTAGTAAATTATATATAATAATACGATATTGTTTTTGTTTAATATGTCTGCTGAAGATAAAGCAGTCATTACATGAAAACAATTGAATCCAGATTAAACAAGAACAGATTTTAAATTAAATGACAGTTATTTGACTGCAATCTTTCAACTTCATTTCCTCGCCATCAGATGCTATAAACACTCTGTCTAAGAAATATTAACACTAATAATGATCTGTTATAAAAAATAAGATATAATCTTTTAATATCGTAAAATAAAAATTATTTAAAAAAGCATTAGTTTAAGGAAGCAATCGTTCAAAGTTATAAAAAAAATTGCTATAGTGATAACCTATTTTATGGAATGTAAAAGATGTTAACGATATAAAATGTATTAAGAGTTGAGATTTTAAAAGTATTATATCATTTGAGCTAGGAGTATTAGCTATGAACGATCTACTAAGCAGTTGACCTTTAGTTTAAATTGCTTTCAATTTGACAAGAATCGTGACAAGGGCGACGATTACTCTCTTCATCCCTAAGATAGTATAAAGTTGTTTAAATTATGATCTCGTTGAAAGTATTTGCTATTTTTAATTTAATTAATAGTGTGTTAGCTGGTAAGTTTAATATATTATAATTTATAACATTTTCAAAGATAATATGCATTGACAGTGACGTTTTAGACAGCGAATACCTATTTAATAACAGGCCTCAAACAGATTATGTTCTATGTAATAGAAATTTTAATTATTTAACGCAACCAATACTAAAGTGTATTAAAATCAAGATATTCTTTTCGTCGTTTCGTGCAAATTCTACTTAAAAACTATCAGCTTGTTATAAGAATAATATATAATTAAAATAAAAAATAAAGACATTCATTTGTATATATATAACATAATACAAATATATTTATTTCATCGTCCGGCGACTTCCCTATTAATTAAGATTTATATTATAATCAGTAGATACTTCTGTTTTGTGTCTAATTACAGGCTGGTAAAGTATTTTCATATTATAACGGTTATATTTTGAATATAATCAATTTGTTTTGTTAATTTGTTATAATTTTTAATTATAAAAATTAAATTATAACCGTATTATATAAATTATACATAAATCGTTAATTGAATAGTAGAAGAATCTTAACGCATAAAAACGCAGTTCATTTTCAATATAAAAGATATTGCATCATATCCTATCATTTTTGTGTTACACAAAAACTTATTCTATTTACTTGTTTGGTGAAGTGATTTTTCACATAAGTTATGATTCTTCGTTATAGGAAGCCAGTTCAGATATTTACTAAACCCATTTATTGCACTACCCTCCTCCAGTCTTTCGTTTATGTCATGAACACACTGTTCATCTTCCGCTCATTATATTTTCTGTTTTATCTCGATGTGTAAACTACTTTCGAAGAAGTGTATATTGAAATCCTTTAAGACATTGTCGATTGATTTCTTATGATGAAATAAAAATATAGAAATCAGTTTTATGTTTTCATACTAGCCAGAAACTATCATTTAATTATGAAGTCTTTAAACTTGTCATTACTTTAAAGGTGAATAAATTTAAGACATTTCTGGGTCCCTCGAAGTGTGAAGAATTCATGTATGGGCATACTTATATAATTGGTCATTATTTTGCTATTCTTGGAAGAGTGTAACAAAATTAAATAAAATTCCTTAACTTTTATGTTTAGTGTTAGACAGACCGTGCGCCGTCAGACCTACTCCTAAGGAGTCCGTGGTGTGTGTGTGCAACTCCACTTACTGTGATGAAATCAAGAGGGAGATTCCCACCAGAGATAACTTCGTCATATACACGTCGTCGAAGGTATATTAGTTACATATCCTGGAATTATTTATAAATATTTCTTCTTAATAGGTTCTTTGAACACTAAAATTACATTTTAACTTCGTGATTCTCAACAAATATTTAATCCTATTTCAGAGTGGCTCCCGCTTTAAGAAATCTTTTGGAAAATTGCAACCTATAAGTAAGTACCCCGTGCCATATGTATTTATTAAATGTAAATGAGTTTAAAGTTGTATACACGTTATATCTTTATGCTCACAGATTTACTGGATTCCTCACGATGTTTAGAAATCGATCCGACGACAAAATATCAGACAGTCGAGGGTTTCGGTGGAGCCGTCACTGACGCCGCTTCAATGAACTGGAAGAGTCTGTCCGATAATTTACAGGAGAAGCTCGTAAAGTAAAATGCTGTTGAATTGTCTTCCTGCTCATAATAATAATTGTTTGGAGAGTGTAATGTTCCCTTGTTCCAGTTCCTACTTCAGTGAAGACGGTCTTCAATATAATATGCTCCGAGTACCAATCGGAGGATCAGATTTCTCCACCCACGCGTATGCTTACAACGAGCTACCGGAGAACGACACCTTCCTTACTAACTTCACTCTTGCTCCCGAAGACATCATGTATAAAGTAAAATGACAAATATCTTCTTGCTAAATGACGGACATAAAATATGAATTTTGGCTTTAAATTAATTGAGTTTCTTATGTTACTTCTAGATTCCAATGATTAAAAGAATTATGGAAGTATCCCGAACACCAGTACACATCGTGGCCACGACCTGGTCCCCACCTCCTTGGATGAAGACAGGACACAGTTTTGTTGGCTTTAGCAGATTAAAGCAAGAGTATTTTCAGACCTACGCTGATTACCACTTGAAGTAAGAACGACAAATATTACCTCACACGTCATAAGCCTTTACTACAAGGAGATTAAACTCTGTTACATTAATGTATTGATATAGTCTATTACTATTGTAGATTTCTTCAAAAGTACAATGAATCTGGGATACCGATATGGGGTCTTACAACCACTAACGAACCCATCAATGGAGTATTCAATATCGTCAACTTCAACTCTCTCGGCTGGACCGTCACTAAAATGGTTTCTAATAAGACAATATAATAAATATGCATTCTAATGGAGTCATAGTAATTTGACTGTTAATTTCAGGCCGAGTGGATCGTCAATAACTTTGGTCCAACAATCCGTAACTCGTCTTTTAAAGATGTTAAAATAATGGTTGGAGACGATCAGCGGTTCACCATACCTTACTGGTTTAACGAAGTACGTATTGCTTATTTACAAAAATAAAATATGAAATTAATCTATGTGTTTCAAACTGAATTTATAACTTGTGAGTCCCAAGAATAGAAATTTTTATAGTAATTAGCGAAAGGGAGAACTTTAACAGTATTTAGCTTTTTCCACAAATGTGGTCTTCTGTAATTTGTATCAGATTAAAGATTACTCTAGAACTATTTTATATTTTACTGAAACACATTTTTTAAACTTGATTTTGATGTTTTATTTAAATGAAAGGAAGTTTTTCGGATGCTACGTATTTTTTGGGGAGAAGACAGGGTCTATCAGCTAGTCTAGTTACTTGTCATTTACCGCCAACGATTTCTTTAGTTTCTGGTCTACCGCTCTGTATTCTCGCACAAATGCTTACTAGCAAATAACAAGAGTAAATGACCGATACATTCATCTCGTCTGCCAGTGATCAGGGTTGCTGAAAGGAACTGAAACGTCGGGGTTATGTAGATATAAAATAACAAAAACCCCTTAGCTTCCGAAAAGCTTCCTTTCATCTAAATGAGTAAACGCGAAAATCTTACATATTTGTATGATTTCTGTTTTCAAGATGGTGGAAATTTCTCCCGAATCTCTGAAGTACGTGGACGGTGTCGCCGTACATTACTATACAGACACGGTTGTTTCCCCGGCTACGTTTGAAGCAGTTACTAAAACCCATCCGGAGAAATTTATTCTTGCAACTGAAGCCTGCGAAGGTAACTATAATGGCGATATTAGTCTTATATACATATTAGAAGAAAAACAAGCATTTGATATTGTGAGCTCTTTTTTAAGACAGTTATTAAATATTCTGGAAAGAACCTTTTTTTTTGGAGTAATAATTTTATAGCATTGTTTGGTAACAACGGAGATTTTTCGCTGAAAATATTTTTTTATAACTGGATAAGTGTATTTTTGTTAAATATTAACAGGTGTTGACGAGAAACAGAAAAATTTTGTATTATTGGGTTCCTGGAAAAGAGCGAGGTCATACATATTGGACATACTGGAAGTAAGTCAACTAAATGACATTCATTATTGAGAAAAAATAAACTTTTTAATTGAGTCTTATGTTAATATTCTATAGGATTTGAATTACAACTTAGTTGGATGGATTGATTGGAATCTGTGTCTCGATCCTCGCGGTGGACCCAATTGGGCGAATAATTTCGTTGACTCTCCTATCATTGTGAACAAAACAAAGGATGAATTCATTAAACAGCCCATGTTTTATGCGATGGGTCATTTCTCAAAGTTTATTCCTCGGGGTTCCAGAAGAATAAAGGTCATAGAACATAAGTGCATATTTCAATTTTCTTTGAAACACGTCGCCTTCATAACGCCGAGAGGGACCATCGTTGTCGTCATTTACAACGAGTGAGTAGCCATACTTATATTATAATAATGTATTACTCCTAGTAAAGTTCATATTAATCATATAACATTATTTCCAGCGGCCGCTCGCAGTCAATATCCATCTCTGTTAAAAACAAACAGTTGAAGTTGAAACTTGAAGCTGACTCTGTGTCCACGATAGAGCTCCAGTGTGGTGAATTTATATCCTGCGAAACAATGGAAATTAATTATTAATTTATTTTATAATCAATATAACTACAGGTAAATAGAACACGTATTGTTTTCCGAAATATGAAAACTCTTCACAGGAATATTTAATATGTTTATTAAGTCTTTATTTGCCAAAATTCAAAATGTGGAAGGGAAAATTAATCGTAGATTTTGATGTATTAGGTAAGGAATCTTCATTTAAAAAAATAAATACATTGTAAGTTATTTTGAATTATACACAATCGTAAAAATATTTGACTGAACTTTTTTTGTAACTTAAATTTAATTGTATGTTATATACATTATGATTGTAAATTATTAAAGAAACATAATTAAAAAAAGAAACTGGAACGTCCATTTAAAACGAAACTTTGGATTACTTTTTTTAATGTCATTACATATATTTTAAGTTCTAAATTTAGAACCTCCATTGTACACGTTATTGCAAAAAATCTTTTCTGTCTTCTACATAACTCTAACGTGTTTGCTGAGCACAATATTTTGTTTTATTTCTAAATTATAATTTTAAATTGTGAACTAGACAAAATACTTACAAGCTGTATACCTATTATTCTTAAAGTATGTCCAAATTATAGTCAATTATAGTCAAATATGAAAACGGTGTACCATTACCTCTGTATGATCTCAGAATTACATGATGCCATATGGTGACCTAATAAGAAGACTTGATCGTTCCAGGGTACCCGCATTGTCCAAATTTAATTTGATGTGTTTTCAAGCTCTCGTTCGAATTCTGTCTTTTATATCAATCTTTTCACTGTAATCTATGTACTGCCCCAAATAAACAGAAAAGCACTAGCTAATAATGCAAGTTAAATAATTTTGAGAATACATTTTTGTATTTAAAAAAATGTTCCTGGATAATTGACAAAGAGTAGTTTAGGTTTAGGTTGATTTAAAGATTGACGAAGATCTGCTTTCACATCTGAACTCCTCATTTAGTTTTTTTCATGTAGTTAGATCTCTGTCTTTAGGGTTTTGTTCTCGCCCATCCCGACAAGCATATGGTGCGTCAAACATAACTAATGTTACAATAGCTTACACACAAGTTTGATAAAAAAAAACAAAAATTTACTTGCAGAATCAGCATTGCTTTCCAGTGTCACTTAATATTAAGTGTTTCTGGTGAATATAAAACTGTCATTGGTTCAGTACAATTAAGAATTAATTATTGACAGAACTTTGAACATAATCTCTCTCAGATTCTGTATACCCTTTATCTAAACAAGATATTTTCTATTTATAAATTCCTATTAATCCGACTTAAATCATGAAATATAATATTTTCATATTCCTGTACTTAATAATAGTCGAATAAAAAAAATGTGTTTAATTTTAATACTGAAATATTTCTATATAAAAATATTTTAAGTCATTCGCTCTCAAAAGTGAAATTTTATTTTACTAACTAATGATCGCTGTGGTCGATCCAGTAAGTATATGAACTTTGAGTTCATTTGGCTTCAGTTTGACACGAAGCGTGACATACGAGCGACGGGTCGACACTTACACTGAATAATATTGAGCGTGTATTAAATTAAAATGTTTTTATTGATAGGATTTGCTATTTTCGCTTTAAGTAATAGTGTTTTAGCTGGTAAGTTTAACTATCGGATCTTTTCAAACAAAATAACATTGTACGTGATGCTACAGAGACATTAAAAACAATTGGACCCTTATCATCTCCGGTTACTTTAAACGCTTAAGAATACATTTATCTTGGATACAAACAGTTGAAGAATAAGCAGTAAACAATAAAATTAACTTTAAAATAAGAACATTTGACATAAGCAGGTTAATGATAAGTTTACAATTATCAATAAATCGGTTTCAAGTCTGAATAAGGTCTGAAAAATATATACATATATAGAAAAACACACAATTAATAACTCAATGTTATCGAGAGGACCTATGTGTTCAAATAAATAATTTTAAATATATTGTCACAATATTAAATATGAGTATTTTCAGCCCACTAAGTATCATATGTTTTATAAACAGTTATTCAATACACTTTCATAGTATGTTTCAAATTCTCATGATGGAAAGCACGGTCGTAATATTTAACAATATTGTGAAATAAATTAAAGCATCGATATCTGTAACGCGAAATTATCACAAAAGTAAGAACAACAATGATCTTACGACGTCTAAATGAGGTTATAATTTAAGAGGCCCATATAAAAAATAAAAGAAATGTGAATCTACTATGATATATCACTGAAATGGTAAAAAGGTACAGGCTCCAAACTGAGTACATATTCCTTTTATTCTAGTTTTGATTGACTTTCTTCGAAATTTCCATGTTCTATTTTATTTAAATAATAAAGATGTATTAATTAACTTCATGACGGTTCTCTGGCTTGTGAACATCAATCACTATCATCGTCATCTTATTACCTCTCTCAGCTACACTTTATTATTTCCTATACGTAACCCAGTATCCAATTCTCTCGTTGCTGTAATTTACACGAACGGTCACTGTCCGTCAACGACAAGATATAAAAAAATTTCAAAATATATGTTTGTATATATAAAATGGACCTTTTTGTACTTACACTATTTACTTTTTAGGACAATCAATCGTAAAGCGGTGATCAATTTTATCCGAGTTAGCAGACGAATCTCTTAAACAAGTAGAAAGTTGATTAGAATTTATTATACTAGTGTGAATAATTTTGCAAAATAACATGTTCTAAGATATGTAAAAAGGAAAAGTATATTTGATTCAATTTATTGCCATACACCTATCAACAGGAAACAGATTGATGTTACACAATTTTCTTGTATTCTCTCCGCTTCCTTCATTTCTAACTTGCAAAAAATACTCTTATTAAAACAGCAGTTTTGCAACCATATTGTATTTATACACGAAAAATGAAAAGTTTTTTATGCTTTGACTGTTTTCTTAATAGTGTTTTAATGTCTAAATTTATAGTACCGTAGGACTTCTCCCTCTCTATATCTTAATAGGTGCATAAAAATCTTGCAGAAGTATGTATTGCAAGTATAGAAGCATCTCAATAAAGTAATACAATGAGCACTGTCACAGAAACATTATTTTGTTTTTATTTACATTTATTATAATGTTAGACAGACCGTGCGCCGTCAGACCTACTCCTAAGGAGTCCGTGGTGTGTGTGTGCAACGCGACTTACTGTGATGAAATCAAAAGGGAGATTCCCGGCAAAAATAACTACGTCATATATACGTCGTCAAAGGTATTATTGTTACATATACAGGAATTATTAATAAATATTACTTCTTAATAGGTTCTTTGAACACTAAAATTACATTTTAACTTCGTTATTCTCAACAAATATTTAATCCTATTTCAGAGTGGCTCCCGCTTTAAGAAATCTTTTGGAAAACTGCAAGCTATAGGTAAGAACCATATATATTTGTTTAATTTCAATTCCTTAATAGAAGTATACAAATTACTTGTTTCATGCTCACAGATTTACTGGATTCCTCGAGATGTTTGGAAATCGATCCAACGACAAAATATCAGACAGTCGAGGGTTTCGGTGGAGCCGTCACTGACGCCGCTTCAATGAACTGGAAGAGTCTGTCAGATAACTTACAGGAGAAGCTCATAAAGTAAAATACTGTTCATTTGTCTGCCTGCTCATAATAAACATTGTTTATAGAGTCTAAAGTTCCTTTGTTCCAGTTCCTACTTCAGTGAAGACGGTCTTCAATACAATATGCTCCGAGTACCAATCGGAGGATCAGACTTCTCTACACACGCGTATGCTTACAACGAGTTACCAGAGAACGACACCTTCCTTACTAACTACACTCTTGCTCCCGAAGACATCATGTATAAAGTAAATTGACAAATATCTTTTTCCCAAATGACGCACATAAAATGTGATATTTGGCTTTAAGGTAGTTGAGTTTCTTATGTTTCTTCTAGATTCCAATGATTAAAAGAATTATGGAAGTATCCCGAACACCAGTACACATCGTGGCCACGACCTGGTCCCCACCTCCTTGGATGAAGACAGGACACAGTTTTTATGGCTTCAGTAGATTGAAACCAGAATATTTTCAGACCTACGCTGATTACCACTTGAAGTAACAACAATAAATATCTGTTAATTCACAACTTCGAGGAGATTATACTCTGTTACATTAATGTATTGATATAGACCATTACTGTTGTAGATTTCTTCAAAAATACAATGAATCTGGGATTCCGATATGGGGTCTTACAACCACTAACGAACCCATCAATGGAGTATTTGATTTATGCAGATTCAACTCTCTCGGTTGGACAGTCACAAAAATGGTTCTAAAAAATATATTACAACTAATTTAATTAATAATGAACTTCTCACATACTTACTTTCCACTTTACTGTTAATTCCAGGCAGAGTGGATCGTCAACAACTTTGGTCCAACAATCCGAAACTCCTCTTTTAAAGATGTTAAAATAATGGTTGGAGACGATCAGCGGTTCACCATACCTTACTGGTTTAACGGGGTACGTAGGGCTTCTAAATAAAAGTGATACATAAAAATTCATTTTAGGTATCCCTTTATTACACCAATTTAATTACAAAATCGAATATAAACATGATTTATTAACACGACTCTGATGTACGACCTAAATTATAATTTAATAACTTTCTCTTTGTATCAGAAAGCTTTGTCTATAAAATAGGCATAGAATTTGTATTTTAGTTTTCGATTTTATTCCCTAGAAGTATCTTTTAACTTTCCATCGCATTCAAGTCTTAAGTTATATGTCTTTTTTCCAGATGGCGGCATATCGTCCTGAGTCTTTGAAGTACGTGGATGGCGTCGCCGTACATTACTATACAGACAAGTTCATTTCTCCGATTGCGTTTGAAGCGGTCACCAAGATTCATCCAGAGAAATTTGTTCTTTCCACTGAAGCCTGTGAAGGTAGATACAATATCGTGGTACAGGTCTAGTTTATACTACACCTACGTAATTATACTCGCAAATACTAGAATAGAAATAAACGTGTCATTATTGGATACTATATCAAATTTTTGAGATATTGCTTGTACAGATATGAAGATTGAAATTAAGTTGTATGAATTGACAAATGCAATCTTTTTTCGTTCTTCTGTTGTAGGCACTTTACCATGGCAGAAAAATAAGGTCCTGTTGGGATCATGGCAACGAGCGAAGACATATGTTTTAGATATATTGGAAGTAAGTTAGTTTAATAATATTATATTCAAAAAAAATATACAACGGTAAAGTATGATCTAAAATATTGTACTTAAACTTATTACTATTAATTACCAAGGAAACCTCCTGTTCAGCTTATAATATGTATAAATGCGAAAGTTTGTGATAATGTATAAATATGTCGATTGGCGATAGATGCGCTATGTATGTATGGATTTACGTGTATGTAGATGTGTTAATGCGACTATATATGGATTTGTGTATGTGTTTGTATGTATGAAAAGGTATATGAATGAACCAGAAAAAGACAGCACATTTCTCCTATATTCCTAATAGATAGTTACCTATAGTAGTCAGTTGTGGCATAGTGGTTAACAGACCCGCCTCTCATGCTCGAGGGCGCGGGTTCGATACTGGCCCGGGCTGATGTGATTTTTCCGAGTCATACGTACTTTCTAAGAGTATTTAGGCATCACTGATTAATGCATTCCCAAAAAGAGGGTTGATGTCAGGCAGGCGACGGTCGTAAAAACTATTCACAACATGTAAGGCAGACCCTGGCTAAAGCTGGGAAATTGCCAGGTAGAAGAAGAAGATTCCCTATAATTACCTCGTTATCAAGTTATAAGAAATGTCTTTTAAATTATGTCACATGACTCAGACTACTGCTGGTTGGTTATATTGTTTGACTCACTTTGTACATTTCTGAATCTTATTCGGAAATCCACCTTTTACTCGGGGGCAAAAACAAGTTTAAAATATTATTGAGATCTGTTTCAGGACTTGAATTATAACTTAATTGGATGGATTGATTGGAACTTGTGTCTCGACCCTCGCGGTGGACCAAACTGGGCAAATAACTTTGCTGATGCTGCTATCATTGTGAACAAAACAAATGACGAATTCATTAAACAGCCCATGTTCTACGCGATGGGACATTTCTCAAAGTTTATTCCTCGTGGTTCCAGAAGAATAAAGGTCATAGAACATAAGTGTATATTTCAATTTTCTTTGAAACACGTCGCCTTCATCACGCCGAGAGGGACCATCGTTGTCGTCATTTACAATGAGTGAGCAGCCATACGTATATTATAATAAGTCTTACTCTTAATTAACATATAACACTGTTTCCAGCGGCCGCTCGCAAACAATATCCATCTCTATTAAAAACAAACAGTTGAAGTTGAAACTTGAAGCTGACTCCGTGTCTACGATAGAGCTCCAGTGTGGTGAATTTATATCTTGCGAAACAATGGAAATTAATCATTAATTTGTAATATTGATAATAAAGTGTTATTGAATATGTATATTCAATAACAGCAAGGAAAACCGAACAGGAAATTTCAGTTTTATACCATTTTCCACAATATAAAACAAGCTTGTAACACTAAATATCAATAATAATTTATTACTATTAATATTCTTAATTGAATGTCAATATCTAGGAAAAATGCAGGATAAAATAAGTAAAGTAAATATAAAAACAGAAAAAGTTAAAGGCTGTCCTATTAACTAGTTGCGATCACTAAGAGATAACTTACGAGATTATATTTAGGTGGTGTAACAACTTAGAAAAAACAACAAATACAAATTTAATGTATATTGATAAATTCGAATCTCTTGAGATTAACTTCGAAGAGACGTTTTTTTATGCAAAAGAGACCAAACCACCAAACTGCCTACCTGATGGAGGTAGTAACCATCGCCCATGGACATACGTAATATATTTATCATATCCGTAACGTATTTTGCGGATATGTTGCCGCCTTTGATTAGGGAAGAGGGGGAAGAAAGAGTAGGGAAAGGAAGATGGAGGGAAAAGGGCAATCGGCTCTTTCATTCATACGACAAAACGCAGCTATTAAAGACTACTTCACGCCGATCTTCTGTGAGAGGGTGGTACTTCCCCGGTCGAGCCAGCCCATGTTCGAGCTACAGTTACTTGCCCACAGTAACTACTTACTTATAAAGCTACTATAAGTTTGATACGAATTTCAATAGGGAAAAATAGTTTTTCTCAATAAAAGTTCAAAAGTAGCGAAAATCAACTATTACTTTAAGTTACTCAAAATCATATAATTATCACACGAAATACCTATGGTCGTTATCAATACAACACAATACACAACACGACTTATTAAAAATGTTTCAAAATAATCAGCTGAAGTTTGCTCCAAGTCATATTCTATTTACTATTTTTAACATAATATTTAGGAAATAAAAGAAAACCTTAGTGTAAATAAATTTTAATTTTTTAGAAATAATCATGTAATGGACTTCATGTAATTCTTTTTATAATGACATGTACCTATTATATAAAAATAAGATAGTACAAATTCTCAAACCCTGCTTTAACCTGGTCAGAATTATGTCGCGAACTAATGAAATTATTACGTGGCCATTGGTCCTTAACTTGTTCGGAATTTTGAATAAATCTAACTTTTTGAAATCTAATTAAAATATTTTTATTAAGACTAAAAAAGTTTATTGTTGTGGAATTGTGCTACAACCCCGCAAGTAAGACTCTTTCAATAGTTCGTAGAAATACCATTTAAAATAAATCTGCTAAATAATATTGCCACGTTAAAAAAAAGAAAACACATTTCTATTTCTACTGACTCGTCAAAACTCACAAATACCGACACAACAAGTGAAAATATAAATCATATGCAATCAGTTAACAAAACTTACCAAATTTCCATTTTTCATCTTCCATTACTTTAAAAACAGAAATTTGATAACAATCTTTCTTTATTACTATTCAGGTTTAAGGACCTTCTTAAAATAAAACCAAAGAACTTAAGAAAACATTCAATATTTGAGTAGAATCCAGACTTCCAGTAAGCAGTAAGCATTCTAAAAAGTAAAACTATCATATCCAAAATATTTTGGTCTTATGAATTATGAATCAAGTTTGACTTGAAGAACACTGACCTGTAAAAAAAACTAAGACACATACCTATATATATGTATATAAGAAAACTATTTATAAAAAATTCTTGGCCGTGACTTCTGATATCAGATACTACGTAGTTGAAGATAGTATCATATTAAATCATCCACATACACTTCTACCTTCAACAGTTTATTCTAAACTTCACGTAGGCTACAATACTTATTTGTTACGATGTCTGTATTGATTGTGCTCTGTATTCTGTTGTCTACACGTGGTATTCTTACTGGTAAGAATATATAATTATTTATTATTTTATTTTAATACCGAAAACGAGGTTATCTACCTGACCCATGGCTCATGTTTTTTCTGTGACCCGTTTTGTTTTTGTCTTCCAACTTTTAATTGAGATAGAGTATAAAGTAAGACCAAAATATTTTTCTCATTATATCATAATTAGAATTTTATGTTATAGATTAGTGAGACAATAAAAATCTTAAAGAATTAACATCGTACAGTCGTTAAAGAATTGGAGAATTTAAATAACTTTATATGTAGCTCAGAAAGATTGAAAGGTCTGGATCGGGGTCTGCTTCTCAAAAGTTCGTTTTAAAAGGAGTTTTTTTTTTCATCTAAAAACTGTTGTCTCATATATTCTATTATTAAAATATGTTATATCTCATAATTATTGCAATAAATTTCTGTTAAAACTTGATAGAACCCCTCTTGAATTTTTACATTTGTTAAAATATACTATTAAAAAAATCTATTGTCCTAAAGTGTTCATAATCGCCAATTTTGAATATTTGGATATTACAAAAATCGTCAGAAATGAAATATTGTGAATATTTCAATAACCTTAAGAACTTCACTGTATCTTATGCAATAAAACAAACATGCATTTTAGTTAATTATTATGTTTGAGACAGTTCAAAACTTCTTGTTTTTCGATATGTACCTAAAACAATTAGGTACTTAGTAAAATTTTATACTGCCAACAATATTTAACTTTGGTAGATAGCATAGATATACATTTAATTATGATGTAATGTGATGTCATAGATTAAATGGTATAAAATAATCTTTTAATTTACATATTTTTTGACAATTTAATTCTCAGTTTCCTTGAAGACTCTAGGTTAAATGAATTAAATTTATAGAGAGTTACAATATATACATGTTTGTACCTAAACTTTTATAACTAATTAAAGTTCTATGATATTAAATCAAATACATATTTAATGTTTTCGAGCTTAGTGTGACTAATAAAAATGTACGAAATAAACCAGTCTAAGATTCTATACCGATTTCATTTTTAAATCACAATTTTTAGCTAAAATTTAATTTTTCCTTACTATCCACATACCTAATAGTTTAATTATCTTTCAACTAACCAGTAATCTCTAAGTTATAAAAATCGAATGTACTTAATTATTTAAAAAACAGCGACAAAAGCACTTATCCCAAGTCAGCTGTCTCGATGAAGGACTAGGCCTTGGTCTAACGAACTCACCCTAGGTCTCATAAAACTATATCATATGACTCATTACATTAGATGCAGAAACAAATAGTTTTGTTATCTAAAGTTAGTATAGTAAGTCTTGGTAGTAACATCATCATATTGAGATAGCTTGCCAACCTTTATATTTACAAACATTTGATAAACTAAAATCAAGGATTCTGTTTCAATAACCTCTAGTTACAGAGTAAACATGTTGATAACGTTCAATGTTCAATAGATTCTCTCGCCTATTATATTTTCAATACAATCTTTTTCAGAGTCAAATATTTTTATTTCACATCTTCAATAAATACGAAAATATTTAAACCTTCTGTCGTCATATCGATTATTCTTGAACAAAAACAAATTAATAGTAGATAGGTTCATACGAGTTTAAATATTAAATTATATTTAATGTAACTCTATAAAAAACATACTGTATCTAAAAGAGATAGGTATATAGTTTTGTAAAAGACCAAAATTTTATATAAAGATACTGTAAAATATATATATTTTTCACCTAACAAATTCGCTTTGAATTTTTATACTTATAACATATCCAATGATTATTGCGTCATCAAGTTTAACGAAATAAAATTCGCAGTAATCAGTTTACTCGATTTCTAGAAAGACCTACATATTAATATTCATACAAATGCATACACATACATAACATAATATGAACATGGTTAATAATTCTGAATTCCCTGGTTTAGGTAACAGCTTACAAAAATCTATGGAGCGTTGGTTACTTGGTTTAAATTGTAAAACGTGTCTTTCATAAACTTAAATATTGTTTAGAAAGTAAATCATAAACATGATATATGAATAGTTAATTTCTTTGTTAAAATGTATCTTATATCTAATATTTATAAGGTCAATAGTTAATTATAATAACTAATATTTTCTGAGACCATTTATTATAATGTTAGACAGACCGTGCGCCGTCAGAACTATCCCTAAGGAGTCCGTGGTGTGTGTGTGCAACGCGACTTACTGTGATGAAATCAAGAGGGAGATTCCTAAAGAGGATTTCTATGTCATATATACATCGTCACAGGTATTTGCTCAATAAAGAATATAAATAACTCCTGAGAAATACTTTTGCAATTAGTTTTTCGTGTTATTTTACTTTTTGTATAACATAATAATTCTTTTTCTCTATTCAGAGTGGTCTACGGTTCCATAAATCTTATGGAAAGTGGAAAAACTGTAAGTTCATCTACGATTAATTAAATTACCTTTAATATATAGAATATTAAAAGGGAATATGATTTCAGCTGCTTCACATTACCCAACGTTGGAAATTGATCCAACGATAAAATATCAGACGATCGAGGGTTTTGGGGGATCGGTGACAGATGCTGCTAGCATCACCTGGAGAAGTTTATCAGAGAAGTCACAAAGAAAACTTATAAAGTATGTAAATGATACATTTCTAATAAATACTTTTCAAATAACTACCGTCCATAAACTAAAAGTTAGTTTAAGTGTTGTGTTTATAGCGTCATGTATTTTGTTACAGAGCGTATTTCAGTAAAAATGGATTGGAATATAATATGGTTAGGACCCCGATAGGAGCATCAGACTTTTCAACGCACGCGTACGCTTACAACGACTTTCCCGAGAACGACACTCTTCTCACAAATTTCACCCTCACTCCTGAAGATATTATGTACAAAGTAAATAGTTATTGGTAGCAGGAATTCTTGGAGAATTAGATAAATGTAAATAAATGTAATCTTAATTGTAGATTCCAATGATAAAAGCTATAATGAAGACGTCTTTAACGCCTGTACATATCATGGCCGCGACCTGGTCTCCGCCGAAGTGGATGAAGACTCGGTACACCTACGGTGGTATAAATAGATTAAAGAAAAGCTATTACCAAACTTACGCTGATTATCATTTGAAGTAAGATCATAGTTTTTTCTTTCTTGCTCTCAACAATGTGACGTAATTAATGAAATAGAGGACACTAACCATGCTTAAAGCATCTAAATCTTCATGGTTTTATAGCTTATAGACAGAAAATTGTGGTGTTGATTTACAACTTGTAGTATTTTTATTATAATTTATCACAAAACCTGCATGCGTGCATCATATCTTTGAAGTCATCACTCGCAAGTTTTCGTTCGATCATAAAAATATTACTTTTAGTTGAAAAAAGCTAATTCCTTGTTTACGACTGGATCTTTTGACTTGAAACTGAGAAAAAAAATGTTTTCATTCTAAGAAAACAAATGAAAATTACTCTTTTAAACAGTCATACCTACGGGAATACCAAACCGGTGTTGTAAAATACATTTTGTTTCAAATAATTTGTAACCCATAATTATTGTTAATATATAAGTTCTTCTTCTAAACAAAAGTGATTCTCCTCTTTTCTCTTTGACCTCAGATACAGTACCATATTTCAAAACGAAAGCTTAAAACTATAGACGAAAAAGTAATGAGATATATTTTGTTTCATTATTAATATTCTAACATTCCTCGTAACTTAACATCTAAATCTATAATTGTAGATTTCTCCAGCGGTACAAGGAAGCAGGGGTTCCGATATGGGCTCTCACGACTACCAACGAACCTATCAACGGAGTCTTCAATCTTATAGGATTTAATTGTCTCGGCTGGGATATTAATGATATGGTAGGAAGATAGATTTTTACAAAAACTCTTTGATGGAATGAGTATGAGAGCAACTAGAAAACCGTCAGTTTGCAGTTCCGGAGAGGAATATTTCGATATGAAGGTTTTTAAAACTCTTATTATAAAATATTTTCAGGGAGAATGGATTGTAAATAATTTCGGACCGACCATCCGTAATTCAGAATTCAAAGATATTAAAATCATCGGTGCCGACGACCAGAGGTTCACGGTGCCTTACTGGATTGACATGGTACGTACACGATACAATATAAAACATACAGGAGACTGTTACGTTAATTCTCATTATTTATTGGTATTCAAACTATGCGATATACCGGAATTATCGTCACCTTACACTGTTGTATGAATTATACTCTTTAAAATCTGAATTAAGGTAAATATAACATTAGTCCTTGAAGAAAATAGCATATTTATTGGCAAGTATAAATTTATTTCAAAACAATTCCTTCATAAAACGTTTATAGTTGTTCCTTTATTAATTTCATGTTCATCTTGCAGCAGACGTAATCATGAAATAAAATTCATACAAATTTATGTTGGGCTTGGCTAGCTCTCGTTTGGGTCAGCTCCATGGATGTTCTATTATATTTTCACAAAATATAGCCATGAAACATTTTTGAATTACATTTTGTTCAATAACTAAGTATGGCTTGTTGAAACCATTTATCCCTCCAGTTAATTAAGTCGTTCATTTCTTATAGATTCAAAATCTCAAATCAAGTTAAATTTCATACGTCACCTTCAAATATCCATGAGTACAATAGCTACATATTAGTAGTTTATTTATTCTCCTTTATTGGTTAGATTCATAGATACAGTGATTTTTTGGAAGCACATTCAGTTACATACAATTTCTTTCAAACTTGAATAGGATCCGAAACCTCATGAGGTATATTATTATATCTGACTTCAACCTCTCTTTTATGTTTTTCTCATTCGAGCATTAAGAGTAAACCCAACGAATACGTCTTCAAGAATAATTATGCTCTAATATGGATCGAGCAAGATCCAGAAAATACTTAATTTTTTATTTTGAACTTAAATAAATTTCACTTGTGTGTCCCCCATACAAAATGTTATGGAACCGTATATATGGGTCATTTCAAATACTATTTCATTATACATATATATTGAAGTTGAAATTCCCATAAAGATGCAGTACACCCATCCTAAAGCTCTGGAGTACATCGATGGAATCGGAGTTCACTTCTATACTGATGAAATTATACCAGCCAGTGTCTTCGTACCTGTCTCTCGTCAATATCCTGATAAATTTATTATATCTACTGAAGCTTGCGAAGGTATTTATTTATCTACTTACAGGGTAGGACACTTTTTGATATGGTAAGCTGGAAATAGTACATAAAGTACTAGAAGTATTGTTCTCAATTATGGTTTGGATGGAGCCAAAACTATCTGTGGATGTTTCTGTACTTATCAAAGACGTTTTATTGTGAAAACCTTACATCCTAGAGTTAGTGACGTGAACTTTAACATTTATTGTACCTAAGCTGCAATGGCTCGTTCCCACGACCAGATCCAAGTTCAAAGTTATGTGCAATCTGCACCGTCCTAATAAAAACCACTCTAAATTGATGGTCACTCCATCTAGTGGGGTAGGAGACTAAGTGTTGCTGTTCCTGATGCATGCTATAGTCCCTCTCAAAAGATTTTTTTAAAATTTTACATAGAAAGGGTTGTTTTGCAATACTAATACAACAGTTCAGAACATATCTAAAACTAATTAATTTTAATTCTCAACCTGTTCCATTTATTACATCTAAAACCTAACTGACGCAGACAAAGTTGCAAGCAAAAACCAGAAAATGTGTAGTAAAGCTCAAAAACCGGGAAATTGCCAGGTAGAAGATATAGGATATACTATTTAATTATAATATTTGCAGGTAGTCAGCACAGACAAAGACACAGAGTATTACTAGGTTCCTGGCATCGAGCCAATTCATATATAACAGATATTATAGAGGTGAGTGAATAGACCAACTATAAAACATCATGACTTAGTATTACAAAACTTGTTTATTCATTAAGATTCAGTTGAAATGTTTATCTATCCAAATCTGCCTTGTTAGGAGAATTATAACCTTTTGTACACATCTATACAGTTAAAATTAAGTCTTAAATCTGTCTAAACTTTAGTTTACATAAAAATCGAAAATATATTAATTGAGATCTATTTTAGGATTTGAATTATAACTTAACTGGATGGATTGATTGGAATCTGTGTCTCGACCCTCGCGGTGGACCAAACTGGGCAAATAACTTTGCTGATGCTGCTATCATTGTGAACAAAACAAATGACGAATTCATTAAACAGCCCATGTTCTATGCGATGGGACATTTCTCAAAGTTTATTCCTCGGGGTTCCAGAAGAATAAAGATTGTTGGAAATGAATCAACGTCTAAATTGCCTTTAAACCATGTTGCCTTCGTAACACCAAGAGAAACAATCGTTATTGTACTTCATAACGAGTAAGTATTTGTAATAATTTAAATATTCAATAACATTTAATTTCTTAGAATTATTACTATGAGGACACTAAATTAAAAAGATATTCAGAGTTTGCACTCTTAAATTATAAGTAGATATACATATTCTATTTGTCTTTAACCCAAATTAAACACCTCGAACAAACTTTAGATATATTTCTTTAGCAATCAAAAAGGAAAAACCAATTTCGTGACATTTTCGAAAAAGATATCTTATTACACACAGCTTGAGATAAAACTTAATTATTTTTTATTAGTTTCTTCGCTTACAAGTATCATTAGCTACAGCACTTTCAAGTACAACAAAGCGATACGAAATAAAAGTATTGTCGACGAACAATAAATTTTTGATAAATATAAAAATTGAGAAATGATTATAAAATTGTAATTTTTTTTATCCACACCAGCAATATGTATATAGTGAAATAATCTAGAGAATTGACCAGACCTGCCAAATTCAGTTATACTTAAAACTCCTAATTATAATTATAAGATTTATAATTTCAAAACTGTATATCTCTAAATTTTTGTTATTTAATAATTTTTTTTTTTTTTTTTTACAGAGAAGACGCTATTACAATTTCATTAAAAATTGGAAAACGACGAACAATATTGGAATTAAATCCTCATTCGATTACAACAATTGAAATCCTGAATCAAAAAGATTATTTATAAATAAAATTTTATTTAGGAGACTTTTATTTTAGCTTAAACAAATATTTAAAGATATTGCATTTATAAATAGATTTGTTTTCAATGGATCTAATAAAAGATTTAATTTTGTAACCTGGACATGCATTGTACATTGCTTTTAAGATAGTGCTGAATTTATATGTAAACCAAAAGTAATTACATTATGGTATTTTATTACTAAATAAATAAATTTTATTTAAGGGTAGAATACATTTTTTATATCACAATGATTATCGTTTTTCATTTGTGTAAAACTAGTAAATACGACATAATTTTTGACTTTGACATTGACATTTTAATTTTTAAATAACTTATAACCAAGTAAATCCTTTAATAAACAACTATTTCTAAATTCATTTCGCTTTTTACATAAATAACTGTGACCTACATCTTTGTCTATCATTATGTCAAACATCAAGGACGATCCAGCGATCCTAGCTCATCAGAATTTCTTGAAAAAGGACTACGAAGCTGCGTTACAGAATTTGAACGAATTGGAAAGTTATGTCAGCCACAAAAGTATCTTACTTAAAAGAGTACAGCATAACAAAGCCGTAGTGGAATTTATTAAGAGTGACATGAAAGATATAAATACTTTTAAGAAAACTATATCCAAACTAACAGGGACGACTTTCCCTGAAGTAGACACAATAGACACCAGCTTGCCTTGTTTATTATACAATTACGCTGTTCTTCTGTATCATTCACGGTATTTCTATCAATGTACTATTGTTCTAGAGAAGTTATTAACTTGTAAGAACATAAAGGACAATAAGCTTCATCATCAAATTATATTATTGTTAATGGAGGCCACCTTGTGCAGACGCACTTTTGATAAGACTTTAGAAGTTGCTAAGCATCACGGAGAAGCTTTGAAAACTAATAATAATGTGAAGGATTTATTTGAAAGACTAGAAGCTCGTGCACAAATATATCTGGGACAAAAGACAAACCTTAAACCTGACTCCATTGAAAATGCTTTCATAGTTGCACAACAGAAATATGTTAACGGGGAAGTCAATAACTCAGCGGAAACCCTGGGATTGTACAAGACTATAGAGTTTAATTACGACATCAAAACTCAAGGAGAGGAGATATGGGCAGCTATCAATAATAATCTGGGTGTTATTTATTTGTCTATCAAGAAACCATATTTAGCATCGAAGTACTTCCAGCATGCTGTTAAAGAACATTTCAGAGCCATGGTGAATGAGGACAGTGAAATGTTAATAGCATGTAAAGATCGACCACTCTATGTTTATAACTTAGGTCTGGCATTGCTAGCTGCAAATAATACTGAAGGGTCATTTGAGTGTTTGGTTGAGGCAGCTCGGCATTACCCCAACAACCCTCGTATTTGGTTGAGACTAGCTGAATGTTGTGTCAAGAAATGTTGCAGTGACGAAATTCAGCCCTTCACTGTTAAAAAGATAGGAAGCGGACCACACACAAGGATTTTGTTATCAAAGGAAAATAAGGCCAAGTATTCATCGTCTGGTGAATCATTTGCTATACCGTCGCTATCACTAGAGTTTGCAGCTTTGTGTCTACGAAATGCAATAACCCTGCTGCCCGACAAAGATTCGCAGCCTGAAGCCAGCACAACATTAATACAAGCACCTCCAGGACCTCCTATCAATTGGAAACAGAGATGTGACCTGAAAAACTCAATTCTAGTCTTGCAAAGTTATATTTTTCTTCATTTACAAGATCCTCTGTCAGCTCTCATGAGTGCCAATGAACTTTTGAACCAAACCGATGCCACCAACTGTCAGAAGGCTTGGGCTCATATATATGCAGCGGAGGCCTTGATCAATCTAGACAAAATCACAGAGGCTGTAGAACACTTGCATCCACCGATGATACACGAGCTTGTGTCGAACCTGCCTTACCAGATGAGAGACATGATAGCGGTGTCAGTGTGGGCCAAGGCAGCAGTTTGTCACATACTGAGGGGAGATCTGATTACAGCAAGAAAAATATTATTACAAATAAATTCACCCAAAGTTCTACCGCTTCAAATGTATTTAGAAATCTGCACGGGGAACATTGAGAACTGCCATACCATTTTAAGGAAAATTCGTATTTCTAATTTCTCATGACTAAGGAAATAATATTTATTTTTTCAAACCTGTATATTTTTTTCATTTGCGAAGTGGACTTCAAGCTTGTTTTGTTTTATTTCCTATTACAATATTTTCTAAATAAGTTTTTATAACTTTCTCAGTTACTTTCTAACTATTTTTTGTTCTCTACTGGTTATATATTTTATTTTATAGGTATACATTGTTAGTTTATTAAGAAATACTTAAAAAATGCTAAGTCTAAAGAAGTGATAACTTATGGCTTTAAGCACCAATTTTTTTAAATAAAAGCAATATTAAATGTTTAAGAAGAAAAATAAGTAATAAATTAGTAATATATAAAAAATTATACATTTACATAAATAACATATGTGCTTTATATACAAAAACATTGTATTGACCAAAAATCAATGTACAACTATTTACAAAAAATAATAAATATTAATAATGAAAACAAAATTATATAATCTGTATTACTATACATATTACGAATTAATAGTAGTCTTTAATATTGTTATGATTTCTGAATACACCAATAATTAAAATTGTACTGCAACATAGCAATATATATTTTGTTAAGCTTTATCAAAATTTAATATTAAAAGTATGTTAATGAATTACTGTAATTTTATTTAATTTCAAGTTGGGTGAAATTGTACGTCAAAAAAGTATAATGACAAGTTGACACATACCATAGCCTATAGGTCGATACTTTATATCAATACTAAAACAAAAGTTACCCCGAGAAATCAGAAGACAGAAGTCAAGTGAATAATGTTGAAGTTATAGATAAGATTATTATTGTAGGTGATGTTATTTAGAATAGATTTTGTTTAAAGTTATAAATTCTCTTCTCGTGTATGAATGTTAATAATTCGGATATATAATTTTAACACATTACTTTAAAAATTGACTCTATCCGAATATACACAGCTAAAGCAACAAATTTTGCTTGAAGTAAGTAAAAGTGATGACCATGCCCATTTATTGAATAAATTAAAACAATATTATAAAGATGATGTATACTCAGATAGGAGATTTGAAAAAATATTAACAATGAGTCAATTACTGAGAATATTGGAGATACGAGATGTACTATCAGAGGAATATGAGGATATGAGAGGATAAATACTACCTTTAAAGGAAATAGCTAGACGTTTAAACAATAATGAGCTGTTAAAAAGAATAAACAGCTATGAAACTAACCATATAGAAAGAGAATATATTAATTACTACTGTGAGTACACTAAATAATATATCAAAATTTTCATTCTACATAGTGAGTAATTACATTAAAACTGTAATTTCCCCTTATAATTTTCAATCAGACATCCTTACATTGATTTTCATTTCTTTTTTACTAAATCTTCTTCCATTATGTTGTGTAAAGCCAACAATGTTATTAGTTTTTAGATAAAATATAATGAATGACTACATAACATGAATTTTTAATAAAAATTTGATTTGTTTGAGTAATAATAAGGAAGTTATGTAAAATTTTTTTTTTTCTCCACAGCTATAGATAATACAGACAATACAAAGAATGATTTTAAAGAAGCTTATAATTATGCCCACCCCTACGCTAATATTAGCATAACTAAAAGAAATAGAATTAATAACCAAATTGTGGAAGGAATTTTGAGTTTTTGGCGAGCGCTTGGACGAAATCTTAATATACCAGAAGGCAAAATAGATGACATTGATCTGAAACATCAATATGTGGCTGATAAGGTTTTGGAGTTACTGGATATACAGGGTGACTGGTGAATTACTATCGATACTTGAGGACGTGATATTTGACGATCATATATGACAAAATAAACATTAATATAACATAAATATTAATAAACTTCTAAGTAAAGTTAACCAAAAGTTATGTAATTAATTACGCATCATGTGAACACCCTACAGATTAGGTATACACACACACACACGCGTGCGGCGGCGTGGTGTTGTATCAGCACGCCGCCGCACGCGTCCACACTTGGAACACTTGGAACGTGTCCACACTTTATTTATTTATACGGAAATTTGGTCAAAAATTACTTATTTTTTTTACATAATTCGAATGAGAATCATGTACCGAGTATTCTCCTTAAATATTGATGGTAATTCACCAGTCACCCTGTATATATGAAGAAAAAAAATTCAGTTACAACTGAAAACTCAATTTTAATTTTGTCCGATATTGTACACAAATACATTCTAATTTTAAAGAAATTGTTTTTGATTTAAAATCTTTACAATAAGATTTACATTTTTATTCATAAATCCATTTCAATTGTTCATGTCACATGTTTTTCTGTGTTTCTACTGGTTTAAACTAGTTTTTAATGTAAAATTTTTAATTCATAATTCTTAAATGTATTTCTTTTTACATATAGTTTCTTATTACTTACTATTATTTAATTCCTAGCTTAATAATCTCAAAAGGATTAAATATCATTTGCAATGTTGATGGTTACATATAACATCTTATGAATGGTATGTTACATTTCATAAATAACTAGATTTTTAAGGCAATGAGTTTTGATTATTTTAGTTTTACTAATTACTGTATTGTTTATATTGTGGTTTATGAATACAAATGTTGAACCTTTTCTTAAATTCTCTACATATTTTAGTAGATATCTCATTATCACCTTGGTCTGATTATCACTTCAATATTCCAAAAATTCATAAACAAAGATGTTTATTAGGTGCATTTAAATTAAAATATTTATCTCTTCCTTATAAAGTCATTTATTGATAAATTTTTCTATGCAATCAACACATCTTTCAAACAGAGCATGCCACCGTTCTTGCTGTCGGAGTTCTCTTTTTCGTAGTCGTATGTGTTCAGATGTAAGTTCTGAGAAGAGTTTTCTCCAACGATTATCGCTGGCCTCGAATGGATCCACATGAGATGGTCCCGCAGGGCTGCCTTTGGATTTACGTGATCGTTGAAAAACATTACGATGGTTATTAACGTGACCAGAACGAGGCGAAGACATCCTCCTCTCATCAGTTTCAATAGATTCATCGGAACTCCTGTCTGAAGACTCATCGGATGATGTGAAATAATCGCTGTTGCTTCCGTCTGACACTAAAAATAAGTTCACTTTAACAAAGAGTAATCATTTTTCATATAAAATAAATTTTTAAAGAGTTTCAATTCTGGGATTAAAATTTAAGAAAGAACCAATTTATATGAACAATACATATTATATAGTTTGTTTATGTGAGTATGTTCAATACTGTTATAAATATATTTTTAATGGATTTGTTTAACAAATTGAGAACTATTATAATTATTCTTCTTAGTTGTTAAGATATACCTACTAGTCTCAGCATGAAATGTCTGTGAATTCTGCTCCGTTGATATGAATTGCATTGTTGTTGGTGCGGTACCTTCTGCCTGAGGTAAACTATCCATATACTGTATCTGTAACATTATTAAACAACTTATAATAAAGACAGATAATAATGATATTAAAAAATCACAAAAAAATTTCAGTTTGTATAAAATTAAGGCTTATTAGAAAAGCAGATATGCAGGTATAAGTTACAGATTTAAAGGAAGTTACATTTATATCTAAAGTTCATAATTAAAAGAGATGTAAAATGTAAAATTATAACTTGAATATGATAATAAGCTTACCTCCACCCCTACACCTGTTTTACCATCCACCATAGGGGCTCCTTGATCCACAACATTAAGAACTCTCTTTTCTAAGTCATTTAATGCCAATTTAGGTCGCAGATGTTCAGGTAAACCGGCATATTTTAATATTTTTGTTCTTTTTCTTTTGGTATTATTTTTGAAATCACTCCAAACCTAATGAAAAATAAAATTTTTGTTTAGTAATAATGATAATTTTATCAATATTTAAAAAAAATAAGTAATAGAACTTGTGGTAATTTACTAAATCATAGTATAGTGTTTTATCATTATTCAGAATAAATTCTTAAATTATAGGAGGAACTAAACCAAACAAAAATGATCTTACTTTCTTCCACTTTTCAATAGGCCGTCTATCACCTGTTGGATCCTTATTTAGAGAATTTGTTAACATTTGCCATTTCTTTATAGATTCTAGCCTGCCCTCAAGCCCATTTTGGCTCTTACTAAGATCTCCGTACCTAAAGAAAAAAAGATATAATTGGAGAAGAAACAATGTCAAAGAACATTATATATTATAATGTTGTAACTAATACCTTTCCATAAAATCAACAATTACTTTAAACTGTGTCGTACTAGTTTTCATTTTAATGTCACTTTAATTTCTATGATAAAAAGAAGACAGTAAAGAAATATGATTAAATCATAAACTTCATGAATATAACATTTTAGTATGGGGGTATATATAAACATTAAAAATTAACAATACAATCACTTCCAGTGTTTCCACATTGAGGGGAAATTAGGAAATTTAGGGGAAATTAGGTTCAAGAGGGGAAAGACTATAAAAGGTCAAATTGGGGGAAATCAAAGATAATTGAGGGTTTTGAGGAGGAGACGTAAAATATTATTTTGTGCAAAAATGTATGCGGTGACAGCGTTAACTGATTTGGAATAAAAAATAAGTATACAACTCCATTTTTTGTTTTTATTATATTTCTGGTCAGTCTGTAAATAAAACACAAATACGATAAATAAACGATAAATTTTAGGTGTGGCGTGTGGTGTCAAAACTACAACAAAATAATTTTTGAGGGGGAAAAAGTCCGTAGAAGGGGAAATCTGAATTAAAGTGTGGGAAAAAGAAATCGTTCTAGTGGAAACACTGCCGAGAAGTTTTTCTATAAATGAATAGTAATGACGAGAAGAAGCGTCTAAATCACGCGAGTTGAAGAACTACATGGTCATGGACAAATTCTTGGACTTTATCTGTGTCAAACCTCGGCAATGCCAATATATATGACGACATATACAAATTAAATATTAAGTAGAAAAAATTAAGAGACTTGAAACATGTCCAGAAGACCTTTACTACTTATTGCTATGTTAGTGGTAATAGTATACTTCTCTTTGATAGTGTTTATGTTACGACCGCTCAATGGATCGAGAGGTTATTATGGTAATAATATAATAAATCACTTCGGTTTGCGGGAAGCGAGGATTAATTGGTGTAAGAATCTGCGTTGGCGTTCACCGCCGTCTCCAAACGTAGTTGCTTTAGTTTCATATCCAGGGAGCGGTAATACGTGGTTGAGATACCTCTTACAACAAGCAACAGGTAGTACATAACAACATACAATTAATTATATGAATCATTCTTTAATATCAATAATATGTTAAAGGTGTAGTGACTGGTTCTATATACATGGACTATGGCTTACGAATGCATGGATTTCCCGCTGAGAATGTTACTGATGGATCCGTACTCGTTGTTAAAACACATGAGGCTCCTCCTTTAGAGTCAGATAAATTTAAATCGGCAATCCTACTCATAAGAAACCCTAGGGATGCTATATTGGTAAAGTGAAATATTTCGTCATACAAATTTATTGCATATGTATGTGGCTATATTAAGTTAATTATCTTAAAAGTACAATACACTACATCCAACGTCCTGGCTGAAGCTTGCCTTTTATGTTTTAATTTGCTTACTTACTAATTTCAATTCTTTATTATTCTCATAGATGTAAAATTTTCATCATCAACAAGAACATTTATTAGGTAAAATGTATAGATTTTATAATAGAAATTTCCTTATTTCCACTTGTTTCAGTCTACTTATTTAATGTTATAAGAACTACTTTGTTTTATTTTATCTTATTACTTATGTTATTGTGTTTATTTTGTGTTGTTGTATTCCAGCGCTCTGTGTTGCCGCTTCTAACAGATTGCTTCTGCTCTTAGATGATTCTCATAGGTAAAATGTTCATTCACACTTATATTATACATTTTAGAGATTTATAGTAATATGTAGATATGTGACTATTGATTTTGAATTATTTCATCAATGTCAATTATTTCAGGCTGACTTCAACAGACTTCATAAGGGGCATGTAGGAACAGCTCCAAAGTCTGCCTTCAAAAAGAATAAATATAAAAAATCTGGTAATAAAACAACACTCTATATTAGATTACTACTTACAGTATATAAAGGTCATTTTTAATCCAAACTTATTTAATAATAGTAAATGCCTTCTAATATTATAAATGTGCAAGTAACTCTGTCTGTCTGTCTGTCTGTTACACTTTCACGCCTAAACCACTGAACTGATTTTAATGAAATTTGATACAGAGTTGACCTTGAGAAAGAACATATCATAGTTTTTATCCCAGACTTTTGAAAAGTTCTCTTGGAAACGCGATATAACTAAACTCCACGCGGGCGAAGCTGCGGACGTAAAGCTAGTATTATATAAATTATAATTTTCCTTCCAGACTGGTCTACATATGTTTTCCATCAGTTGTCAGTGTGGGAGTCGTTACACAATCTCTGGCTGACAAACTTCTCGGGTCCGGTGCATGTTTTGTTCTATGAGCTGCTTGTTCAAGACACTCGCAACAATCTCAGTGGAGTTCTGGACTTTATAAACTTTACTTATACAGAGGTTGGTAGTGTGTGTATGAATTACTAATGTTCAGAAAGAATAAGAAATGTAAATAACAATTTAATTCTTGTTTTTTTAAACTGCCATATACTTTATAAACAGTTTATATATCAATGTAAAATTATTATAATGGATATATTCTCAAATTCATATATAGTTATTATTTTATTAATTTTACAGAAGGACATGAACTGCGCTGTAATGAATCGCGAGGGCATATACAGACGGAGGAAAAAATATCAGGACTTTGAACCATTTACACATGAAATGTACGAGTCTATCAACAGAGTGTGGAGATCTGTGTTGGATAAGGTCACAGAATACAAAAAGAAACATAACATGACACAAAATAAGGATGTATCATATTTAATAGATTAAAACATGACATGACATGACGTCTCAATAAGTTGACTCTCATACCAAAGATTACAAAGACTTAATAGAGCTTAATCAATAATCCACTGTTAAATATTTGTTACCTATTCTTATAAATAATTGTCTAATCTGAATGTTTTCACTGTGCGAGTATGTGCGAAGTTATACATAAGCCAGTCTGTATTTAATAACTATCTGTTACATTGGAAAGCTATTTTTATAATTATTGTCATGTTGTGCTCAGCGGTAGTTGCTTTTGCAATGCTGTTACCATTTCTCTTGATATGGTTTTTAATAACTAGATTGTAACCACCTCATACATTGCTCAATTTCTCACTTTACTAAACAACGACTTTATATTGTGTACAAATGGCCTAAAATTATTTTAAATACATATTTAAATTCATAGACACATAGAAAACATATTCAACGACTTAGATATTAAAAGTAGTTCTGTAATTTTAATGTTGATTTTAAAACACAAACCGAAGGCTTAATTAGCTGTTGTTGATTCATGATTAATTATTAAGTAATTGTCACTGTAAGTAAATTCTGTCATTTTTATGGACATTAGTGTAGTAGTGTGTAGTGTATTCAGATATTTGTTACATTGTACTTTATCAGTATAAGGCCTAATTAAATGAGTATTTTTGTTGATCACAAGTTCCTACAAGCTGTAAGTATAAGTATTTAGTTTGTACTTCAATTATTTCGAATTACCGAATTGCATTTAATGTATCAGTATTTATTTTGACGTACGTATTTATCTGACAAGTAACTTTCTTTGTGGTGAAAAATTCAATACAATAATTTATATTAACGTTCTGTATGTTTGATTTTATATACCAACGATAATGGCTGTGTGGATTTTAAAAATGTAAAATTTATAAATTACGAATTTACGGAGAATTAATTCATTTACAGTGCTTGAAAGCGTCGTAGATATTCCTATTTACAAGTATTTCACACGAAATTAAATCTCAAGATCTTTTGTTATACTACTTTGATGTTAGTTTCACATGTTTGCCCGTATTGTTTTTCGGAATTTTCATATTATGTCCCCAGTAGTTTTTCTATTGAATTCGTTAGTATTTTTTCCCATGATATAATTTCCTCCCTTAGATTTACAGTCTCCGAACTACCTACTTATCAAGAGTAGTACAACTTTAAACAAAAATAATAGCTTAAGTTTTATTTTGTTGTATGACTACTAAAATTGAGTTTTAGTACGTTTTAAGTTTAATAAGTTTCATTTTATAATTAGTTTGACTGTATGTTAAACCTTGTCATCTTTCTGTCACAAGAGTTTGTGTTGTACGTAGGTACTTAATTTTTAATGTAAATAATATTATATATGGATAAATTATATGTTTCATTGTTTGATGTTTTTATAAGTAAGTTCTAAAAATTGTCGTTCCATTCTATCGATTAACAACTCAAACAAGGATATTGGCATCAACAAGGCAACAAAGTTTTTTTAAAAATAATACCAATATTGTTTACATTTTTATACAAATGTTGCTTTGATGTTGAAAGTATTTTCTGGAAGTCTTTTTAATATTATCGACATAGGTGTATTTTTTTAACATAAGAACTTGATAAAAGCAATTTTTAAAAATTCCAGGTTTTGGATTTCGCAAGCTTTATTTCACATTTGATAAAATTGATTTTGATGGCATATTATAAATAATAAGTATTGAAAAGCGTTTAATTTTATTACCATTGAAAAATCAAATTGTAAACTAAACAAAATACTTCACTCTGAAATGTATATGGCCTCCGAAACATCTTATTACACTTGTAATAAATCATCTGTAGTTTTATTTGTTGACACTAAACATTATTAATATACTTACTGAAGTCTTCACTGAATATTTGTAATTTATTGAAATTATTTGTTTATTTACCAATATTAATACTTTGGAGATATTACTCGGGGTAAGGTCTCACATTATGGAAAGGATTCTGTTCATTGTTTATTTCCATTTTCCATAATGAAATGAAAGTCATAATTAAACTAAATATGCTTTATTTTACATAATGTCATTCATTGGTCACAAACGTGTGTTTTCTTTTAATCACTTCGACATCGGAACTCATTTCGATCTTCGATAGTGACATATTATAGTATGTATACAGTATATAATAGTAACAATTCCTTTCGTTGGACGTACGTACTTCGGTTCTCGCCTTGACTAAATCTTATCTATAAACAAAATATACATTACAACAAAACTAGTGTAAACGAGAAACTTAAAAAATAATCTTTATTTTCAAAGAATAAATAAATTCGGGAGACTTAGGTCAAGACGAGGCTGAGGGTCGCACGTTGTCGATACAACACTAATGAAGGATGGCGGGTGATGCACTAACTTTATAAATATTATAATGACGATTGTTTAGTGATGAGAGTTATACGCGTGGCGAACAAACAAACTATGAATAACGATACTAACAGTGATCCGGTACAAGCGGCGACACCTTCCCGCTTACTGACATATATATATTAATATCACAAAGGAAATAATAAAGAGTCGGCATTACGGCGGCTGATACGGTTAAAGGCAAAACCAAATGGCTTCTTGTCACGCTTGTTGTGTTCGAACAGATCTTACGTGTCTCTAGAACAGAGACGGTCATATACAGACGGTATAGTTATACTAATACATACACCAGTGGCTTGTGTCACCCGGTGGCCAGTACGAATCAATTTAACTAAGTTCAGTCTCCGACGACAAGTGACGAACAAACTTATAATTTGGACGATAATTTCATTTCTATATCATTTTATCTAAATACGATCACAACTTTGTCCTTACATCGATATATATTTATCTATCTGTGTTGATGTTTGTTTATTGTTAGCGATGTCATTTCATATGTAACATTCATAATTCATTCATGTTTATTATAATCAAGCGTCTGACTAGTGAGAGGGGGGAAGCTTACATCTGCCTCTTCTATGTACGTCTCTATCTGTCATCACAAACACCATTTTACTTATTATTTGTTGGATCGGAACTTTTCATTTATAAATCTATGTTGGATCGTTGAACAATTATTATCTCGAGGGGACGTACATGTTCACAGTTAAGGGTCGACGGTTGGGAATGACCAAATTATTCGAATGACAGAACTAGACGTTGGGGCGACCGAGGGGTGTTGGTTCATAGGGCGGAGGCCGGGGGCGAGGGCCGAGGCGGTCACCGGAGCGCCCGGCAGCGGCGACACACGCGGACCGCGCCCATGTCGCCCCACGGAGACATCTCCGAGCACGAGCCGCAGAATATACCGCCGCATCTCCTACACACGCAAACACATAATAATTTAAGAATTAGTAATATATGTATAGCTGACTGGGAAAACTGTATTCTGCCCTGGAGGACAAAAAAAGACAGATATTGGAAATTATAAAGTATTTTTTTTGGTTCAATAGTACAAAATTAAATATCCCATGTCCATTTCCTTGTTCTAAGCTCTATCTCCACTAATCTTCAACCATATCCGTACAGCAGTTCTTGAGTTATACCGTAACTAACACGAGTTTCAAGTCGTAAGTCGACGCCTCACCTACAGTGGTGTCGTCTCCTCGCCAGCCAGAAGGAGTTCCGGCAGTGTTGACAGCGGGGGGCGGCCGCGTCTGGCAGCCAGCGGACCCGCGCCTCCTCACACACCTCCAGCTCCGAGGCGCTCGAACTGCCCGAGCTGGACCCGCCCGGACCCGCGGGACCCACGCACGACACACACGACGACGACACGCCCGTGGGACTCTGTCAATATACAGAATTTAGTTTATATATGAAACATATGTATATAAAAATAAAACCCGCAGAGTTTCTTTCGCCGGTTGTTCTCAGGTCAGGGTATTTTCCTTTCCGAACCGGTGGTAGTGTCTCAAGTAACCATCAATAAGAAAGTGTAATGCGTCTATATTGAATAAAGTTATTTGAGTTTGTGTTTGAATTGAGAGACAAGTATTGAAATATGGTTACTAGATACATGTGTCAGAACATACTGACAGTGTATTTAATGTGATAAAGAGTATTACTTAACAAGAGTTTATAAGGGAAAGTATAAAAATATATAGATGAAGTGAATGTATGAGATGGCTGTCGTGAGTTATAATACATGCGACAATTAAATTATTTCTACGCCAGCTACTCGCACAAGCTGTTAACAATGTACAAAGAAAATATTTTAATAATTCGCAATAAATCTTCTATGTAGAGTAGACAAGGCTTTATAATGTTTGTAAATGATTTTAAAGGACTTCAATAATTTCAATTCAATATAATTCGTAAATAATATGTCAGAATATATATTTTATATGTTTCAAATGTGATTTAATTGTATTTAAAGGCTTTTCATTACATATAATGATAATTTATTAAGGTATTACAAGTTGTAATAGTATTTATTATTGAGGAAATCAATACGAGGTAACTGTACTGTGTGAAGGCTCTATAATAATAATTAATATTTATGAGTGAGTCAGGTGACACTAATAAAGGTTCTACTGTGGTGACAGTTTCCGGTACATTTTCACTTTAAGGAAACACCTTCCGTACATACATAGAGAGGAAGTTGACATACTTTATATATTGTACAAAGTAGAGACTATTAAACCCACACATACATGTATAATGTACATATATCGCGTCTTTAGTTACAAGGATTTCATATTAAATTGATCTATTACATTGTGTAATATTATCTATATTAAGAACAGTAATTATTTGTCATAAACTAGTTAATCTTGAAATGACTGTTATTAACTGATGATTATATGAATTGACCTTCACACTAATTGGTTTTCAATCAACAGCGACATCTATTGTGTGTGTAATGTTATTATGTTAAAAATGAAAAGGAAATTTGGTTCATCAGGGAATACATAGATTTTTAGATAAAAATTTCAACCTATATGTATATTGTTTGAAAGTAGCATTTAAATCCTTCCAGTAACCGTCGTATCAATGAATGAGAAACAATTACTTACATCCATCCATAATAAATCTAGGGTTTATAATATTAATTGGATGAATGATAACAAAAATTAAAAATTTAATAAAATACCCGACCCAATTAGAAACATGAAGAGAACCAGTCAACACAAATTCAACGAGCCCAAATTCGATGTGTTTATTAAAAGGCAGTCCAGGGTTACATCTCCTAGCTTCGAGCCCTAACGGCAGACCAGCTCAGTGGTTCTGTAAGACATTAGTGATTCAAATGTTACATTCTTATCACACCTCACAAACCACCTGATGATCTGAAGACCTGAACCGATTTCCACCAAACATAAGAACGTTCTCGATGGATATACCTTTCAAACAAAAAGTCATCATTAAAATCGGATCATCCGTTTGGGAGCTACGTTGCCTCAGACACACACGGACACGTCAAACTTATAACAACCCGTTTTTGCGTCGGGTGTTAAAAGATAAACAACCTTTTTTGTGTGATCAGTAGATATTTATAGCTGCCAACAGAATAAGACAAATTGTAAGAAGTTAATTATCACACATGTTGAAATGTTTGTAAATAAAATTTGTAAAACAACTGCTCAATGCACATTCATACTTGTGAAAACTATGTATATTGTAAAAAATAATAATATATAATTGTATTTATGGAATCAGGATAAGGAATCAGGAGCATTATCAGCGTGTTGGACGAAATCATAAAAGTCGTTTGTGTTTTGACTTGCTCTGAGCAATCAAACGTTCAACACTGATGTTTATCGTAACAACAACAGAAATTACGAGGAACAATGAGTAAAGGTGAAAGTTACAATTGGTAAACAAAGAAAGTTTTCCCCACGACCCTACGAGGCCGTACAAACATTATGTACCACGTGTGAAATGATTGGAGCATAGCTGGGAAGTGCTTTGTGAAATCTGACACCGTAAGACTATAATTTATGTTGAAGTTCAATAAATATTTATTTAAAAACCGAAATTACTGTCTTGTTTACTCAATACACCATATATTGCAAAAACTTGTAAAACTGAAATGGACTTTCAAAGTCAACAAAAGTTCCGACAAGTTACTAATGCCAGACAAACTTCTATAGCAAAGGTACCTAAATCACAATTATATACAAAATGGGACCAAGAATACATCTTTGTGGAACACGTATCTGTCTTAATATTGATAGCAAGCAACCTTCCTATCATAATAAATACATTCGCAACGCCACATATTCTAAAGTGATGCATTAACAATGCTCGATGCTCTATACAATCAAAGGCTGTAGATATCTCTGAACACACCTTAAGCGTTTCGTTATTTCCCCCACGGGTCGTATATAAGACGGCGCCACGTCACTGCTTGTATTACCTTTCGTCAACCAAACCGTTTTGACTGTAAACAAATTCTGTTAATTTATTTTAAAGACTTTATACTTTATATTTTCACTAAATAAAATTTCGTTCAATATGTTTCAATGCTTTAGATTTTTAACATGTTATCGGAGACTAAAAAAAATATATCTTCAGTGAAAGTCTTTTTATTAATTTTCTGTTTTTTTTTCTTTCTACTGTCATGGACGAATTAGATTTTTGAAGGTAGTTTACATAAGACAAAAAAATGTCATAAGTATTGATAACATAGAATTTAGCAAAGCAGGTCGATTACTTTCTAGGGTCATAGGGGGTTGAAAAAAGTTGGTAAAATATATTATTTTGTCTAATAGAAGCGTCGAACGCTAGTAGAATTTACTTGAGCTCATCTCCCACCAACATTCGTTCAAAGGTACAGAAAATTGTATCATTTCGAGATGCTATAAACATCTTTCTCTTTGATTATTGAATTCTATTTATATAAAATTTTAAAATGTTTTATTATTCTAACATATTGACAGACATTCCTTTAAATTATCTCAGAACTATATGACAACTGAACCACTAGAAGTAATATTCACAAGCTATGCTTTGTAAACATCCAAATTAAATACAATTCAAATAATAAAAGTACAAGTTACAAGGACAGAGGCACTGCCGCAAAAGAAAACGAGAGTCACCACAGAAATATATTGACAATAAAAATAGTAACAAGAAAGATTCATTAAAACATTGAAATGTAATTAAAAAATTAGACATAGCTATGGTTTAATTTGATTCATCACAAACGAAGACGTTATGAAATTAATAATTATTAATAGATACTATTATAAAGAAGTTACTAAAAAAACTATGATGATTATAATCTTTTTCACGAAATGAATACATCTTATTGCTCAGCCGCTTCACAACATAAACCAAATGAGTGTTACATCACTCTAGAAGTAATAAAACCAAAGATTATATGTATTTATAATATTTGTATAAGAAGAATCACGTTATCTGGTAACATTGATTCAATGGCAAAGTGTTTGTGTCTTATTCTCAAAATATCAGAATAGAAAGTGGTTGAAAAAAAGTTATATATGTGACAAGAAAAACTGAATGTAATAATGTATTTTCAAATAAGGTTTTCTAGGGCTATATAAGAATTATTTTGTGAATTTCTTCGAAAACTAAATTGTTATTGTTTTAAAATAATGTTTAAAAGAAATAAAAACATAAAATTATAAGATCTACATCTTATTCAAATAACTTAGGATCTTGTTATTTAACTTCTATAAAAATAAATTACTGATAGAGTTAGGACTATTGTATGCCATGCAAGCCTTACTCTAAATATTATACAATTACTACGTTTGGGTGCTTAAAACGACTACTGCGTGTTTATTGACGAGATGAGTGCAGAAAATAATATATATGTATGGAGCATGCACATATATATAAATATCATCTTTAAGAATTACTATATATACATGATGGCTATGTGTTCACCGGCTAATTCACAAAAACGTATATGTATATAGATTAATTATTTATCATAAGATAACATATTTCATAGACAAAAAGGTAATTAAGTTGAGATGTTACAATAGCAACCTATGTGAACTAGAAATTCTGAAATTAATGTTACCATGAATCATTATTCAACGTTTTATGTATCGTTATTATTATGTGTTAAATTTAAACATGATCGTGACTTGTATTATGTACTGTGAGGTTATGATATGTAACATGCGATGTATGTTAATGTATAGATATATAAAGACTACAAGTATATTATACAGTTGTTGTTCTCACCTGAGCGTGTGTGGGTCGTGTCGCGGCCGCGGGGGTTCGAGCCCCCGACGCACGTCTCAAAGCCTCGCGCGCCTCCCGTAGTTGTCCGTTTAAATCTTCCACCATTTTCTGTTATAATGTATAGATATATAATTTCATATATAAATCCTCTTAATGTTAATGTTGGAACCTTAAAGGTTTATATATTTTTTCTTGGTAAAAGTGAAATTATAGATGATGGAAAACGGTTGTGCATACCATACATGCAAATAAACCTTACTGACCCTGTCCATATTGCAACTAAATATTAATAATCAATATATATGTGTGTGTGTGTGGTTGTAACCTTATGTTGTAGTATGATCTGATGCAGCCTGGCCTGTACGGGGTCGCTGGCGGGCGGCAGTCCGTCCAGTCCGTCCAGCCCCCTCCCCCCCGCACCACACGTACACGACCACCCCCCGCGACCAGCTGACAACACCTCGAGAGACTCCTCCGCCTCGTCGGCTTCGCTGGAGCACGCGCAATACGCACCTGATACACAAAACATTGTTAGGCTTCACACTTAGTAACGTGTAAATGTTCCTATAAACAAAAACTTAGTTCATAGTGTAAACCAGCCTTTTGGCAATGGATGTATGTCCTGACAGGTCTTCCCTCCCCCTCCCCCTGCACGTCTCCGCCCTTGCCTGTGATGTGTGTGTCTGTGTGTCTGTGCGTGTGTATATACTGACCATGTGTGTGTGGCGGCGTGGCGGGGCAGAGCGTCAGCTGGCTGGAGCCGCGGACAGGCTCGCAGCACGAGTCGGACGAGCTGCACGGAGACGCGCACGCTGCACCACAGACAGGGGGAGGGAGGGGGGAGAGACATCGATATTAGATAGAGATAACACGTATGAAAAGTCGGTAAGGGTAATTTTTTTCAGTTCACGTATAATTAAACAGTTGAGTGGTATTTTGTGTCATATGCAAAAAATGTTAATCGAAAACATTAACACGTGTTGTGGATTTCCATAATAAGATTTATTTGATCAGTCATAAAGCCATTATAAACAAAAACTAAAGTATCGTAAGTGACTCACCATTAAGGTCTACCTCGAGGAAGTTGTTGGTGACGTCACTGACCCCGTTCAGCCCCTCTACTCCGTCCCCCCTGTTGTGGTTGGTCATGTTGGTCACAGTGTTATGGTTGACCACGTCACCCTCGGTGGAGTTGTGGTTGTTTATCTCCTGCGGGTCTAGACGGGTCGCCGGTTCGAGTCGTGTCTGTGGCGAGTTGTCACCGATGTCGAAGCCGGTTGACGATTGGTTGCTAGACTCAGATATAGACCGCCACGTTATACTGATGTTACGTGTACGCGCTGACTCGCGAGCGGCCTGCAGTGTACAGAATAATATGAATCAATACAATATGTCATCTATATGTAAAATGGAAATCGAAAGGGATAGTGCAAATACAAATAACTCGCAAAAGACAATTCCGCGTATCTGCTTTCGAAGCAGTTGTACAGAAAATATTAAAATATTGAATGAATAACGTTAAAGTAATTTCTTTCACAATTACTAATTATTTGGTGTTAAATTTTTTAGTAATTGTCAAAAAAATTACTAATTAAAAAAAAAAATATTAATTCTTCTGTCAGTCTGCATCCAATGTAGATACGCGGAATTATCCAATGCTAGTTACGCGGATTTGCACTACCCCCTACGAAACATCGACATATTCACCTCCGCCATTCCAATAACGTCTGTGTAAGTTTCACAAACAAACACAGCTGGTTCCTCGGGCGAGTCGACTTCTAGTCTAGCGCAGGGGCTGGTCGGCGTGTGGTTGACGGGGTCGTTGTTCAATGTGCTCAATTCCATGGCCTCTTGGTTCATAGTGCTCATGTTCATAGTGTCATGGTTCACAGCGTCCAGGTTCATAGTGTCGTGGTTGGTTGTGATGGTGAGTGGTTCGTTTAGTTCCTCGTTGTCTGTACTGTTCGTGAGGTTGTCTTGTTCCTTGTTGTCGTCCATCGCGACGGTCGGCATCGACACTAGCTCCCTCTCCAGAGACGACGAGTTGCTTGTTATATCACGGAGATGGTTCTCGAAGTGGTCGGGATGAAGACCGTCCACCTTCATATGTTATAAGATTACGTTAATATAACTATTATATAATATAATATTTGTCATGTATTAGATGGTTGATAATCCTTAATGCAAAAACTAGTTAATGGATTTTGATGAAACTTTCAATTATGTAGCATATACATCAGAATAACACATCAGATAAAATTTATCCCATAATCATCAATTCTCGCAAAAGATGTCAAAAAAAGTATATTTTATTTCTACATAGTTACATAGCCCATAGATGTCGCTACTGATTGATAACTTTTTCTATTATTTTAAAACACGATATATTTGTCTCTGATCTCAATATTCTTCACGCAGAAGAAGTCTATTGATTCAAATTCACTATTGATTCAAATATTGAATCTTCTACGTGAATGAGGTCTATTAATTAACCAAAGTATATTATTCAAAGACTATAACAGATGTCTGAAGTATTCAGTTATAATATATATATTGTTAAATAATAAATAATTATTAAACTATCAACCCTCAAGCCACCTATATAAGTAGCGCCATTACTGACAATCTGACATTTTTTGTTCTCAACTATTAACTATTAAGAGAAGTAACTCTGCTCTAATTAGTCTCGAATATTAATAAATTGTCCCTTGACCGGCGAACGTTTGTTTTTAAAAATCATAACGTATGTTCATTTCTAACAATATATATATATATATATATATATATATATATATATATATATATATATATATATATATATATATATATATATATATATATATATATATCCATACCTGATCCGTGTCGGTGTCAGTTTGTGCGTCTGGTATTTCGCCTCCATTCAATAACGATAATTTCCTGTTGATATAAAATAATATTAATTTTAACATATATACTATATCAGTGATTTACACTAGTTAATTTATCATAATGTAGTGTAAGTATATTTCGATGTTATTTAAACTAGTTTAAAATCCATATATTTGATTAAAGTGTGTTTATTATACACTCACATAATATCAGGCGCCAGACTGGGGTCACTACACCGTCTCTGAGTCGTCTTCTTCTCGCCCTCGTGGAGATTATCACAGGATCTAGTCTTCGTCATCAGACCTGTCATTCATTACATCACATGTCATATCAATCGTTCAACAACAGTTTATATATTATAATGTATGTTATATATGTACATACCGTTGTGTATGTTGTTGGTGTTGTTTGTCGTATTGTTGTCGACGTGTGTCGTGTGTCGCGGCGGCTCCCTCTCCCTCTCGCCTATCAACAGCCCCCACCACACCTGCATCGACCGCACGCTACACTCCGGCCATATCACCTGGAACACACACACACATACACACAATTAATTATTTTGCTTCATATACATTTAAGGTTCATTAATTATACAGAACATCCCAACTAATATTATTAATTCGAAAGTAACTCTATCTATCTGTTACGCTTTCACACCTAAACCACTGAACTAATTTTAATGAAATTAAATTGGCACAGAGATAGAGTTGACCTCGAGAAAGAACATAGGATATTTTTTATACCAGACTTTTGAAAGGTTCTGTTGCAAACGCAATATAACCGAACTCCACGCGGGCGAAGCTGCGAGCGGAAAGCTAGTTTAAAATAAATGTTTGGATTTGTAATCGATAGCATGAGTGTATTTATTCAATGTAGGCAACCCTAATCGATTCATTTCAAATTTGGTTATGTAGAGAGAGGAGCTTGGACACTGCAGGTGAGCGTATAACACGCGTTAGATAGGGTGGACCCGACACACGCACCGTAAATACATGGAATGATGAGAGGTTTTGTGTCTATATCATATATATAACATTTTGATGAAATTTTTTGAGCATATTGAGTAAGTCTGAGAATCGGCCAACATCTATTTTTCATATTCCTAAGTCAGAAGAGTTGTTCACCCTTAGAAATTTTTCTTGGACGAAATGTTTTGTTTTTATTTTTTTCAAATATAGCATTAAAAATACATACAACCTAATATTTTTACTTTTTTATCACCAACCCTTATTTTGTGTGTGTTGTATGTACCTGATCCTCGTGCGGCGTGTATAGATGGTTCCTGTATGCGGGCGAGGCCAGCAGGCGCCACACGTGGGCCGTGTGAGCTGTACGATACTCGGCGCGCTCACGGCTCGAGTTACACAGGAACGTGCCGAACATACACGAATGGACGTGAACAGCTAGCTTTATCTGAAAATATATTGACTATATATTTTATTGGAAATTATTTGTCTATTAAAGAAAATGATTTGTCATTATTACAATTATCTGTTGACTGACTTAAGTATTCAATAGGTGGCGCTATGTTAAAAATACAAACGTCATATATGAGCGACTATTTAATAATAGCATAACCACCACGTATTAATAATTCTGAGGCTAAGGTATAACCCTAAATTTATTTATTAAAAAAATGTAACAGATATTTCTTGGTTATAGGGCGATACGAAGTTGGCCGTGTCTTCTATTATACATATAAAATGACGCTACGACTTGTATGACGAATAATATATATGTATAAATACATACCAGATAGGCTTCATTGAACTCGAAGCTGCACGGATACTGCAGCATGAGTTGATAGATACAATGTAACCACTGCAGGAACACGGGCGACCGTTCGTTGGGATCCTCGCCGCCGAACGAGTGACCGCAACGATCACCGAACTTGTGGCCGAAGTCCAACCACTCGCGCTCGATCAATGTACGGAAACCCTGGTACGAACACATACATCAATTAACTATCTGTTTGTTTTATGTTCTTGGCAGTGATGTCTATAATTAAGTCTATATCATCATCATAATATCAGAGACTACTGCTGAAAGGCATCTTCTCACATTGAGAAAGTTAGAACATTAATCGACACGCCTGCTCAAAATCGTTTGACGATTTCAAACATATAATTTGAAATTACATGTCTATATTTCCTCACGATGTTATTTCCTACATCTGTCAGTAGTGTCTAAATATTATTAACAAGTTTACATGAATCAGAAAAATTACTTTAGCACTTATCAGGTTTCAAACCCGCACCCTCAGGCACTAAGAGGCAGTTGTTTAACTATTAGCCCACCACTGATATTCAAGCTTAATAATTACAAAATAAACAATTGCAATTCACCAAGATACAAGCTGGGTTTGCTCAACATAATTTCCTTCATCTGTCAGTGGTGTCTAAATACTCTTAGACAGTACATACTCGTATAATTCAACTCGAACCCGCGTTCTCATGCACGAGAGGTGGGATTTTAACCACTAAGCCACCATAGCTTATGAGCTATATACATATATATATTATTTTACCTCTATAGTCCTGTAGTGTGGGTCTAGTATAATCTGTGCGGCGGCCACCAGTTGCGGTGTCCGATCCCATCCGTCTGAACAGTGTACTAGCACGGGCCGACCGGCCGCCGCCGCGCGACTAACGGCCGCCGCCGCTCTCAATACACCCGACACGTACTGGGGCCATAATGTACGCTCTAGAGAACTGTGCCAACTATAATAAGAGAAAACGTTTATATATTAATGATTAGCGATAATATGTTATAATTTCAATGTATGGAAATATATATCAGCAAGACTAGCAAGTCTAGAGTTCGATCAGTTTTAATAAGGACTTTAGAAGCAGTTTTAAACCAATAAAAAGTAAAAAAAATTGATAGTCTCAATTATATGTTTTATTTTTGTTCTATGAAACTTTGGAGACCTAGCAATGAGGGTTCGTACCAATTAGTACACGAATCGTTTAGAGTTTGATTACTTTGAATAAGAAGAATTTCGTGAAAAATCTGGTCTTAGGTTAATATTACAACTTCTATCACATTCGACGGAGCAGAGTATTGTATATCCTCATTTTTCTAGTTTAAAGGGATATGTAAATAGCAAAATGAAGAAGAAACTGAAAATAAAAAGAAGTTAATAAGAGTACCTCCTACAACATGAGAGGAGCCAGCTTTGGATCAATGTTCCACCACATTAGGTAAAACACAAAGTATGATTATTTTCTTTTTTTAATTTCTAAAGTAATGTGATTTTTGAATTGAAAATTTTCTAATAACATACGCTCATATCAAAGCAAGATGATTTATCAAACAAATTCAATGAGTTTGTGATCATAAAGGTCAGTATCGAATTTACGTGCAAGAACTAACAACTTTATTTAAGAGATAGTCGTCCTGAGATGGTCGCAAGTAAAACTTCTATTAGGTCACAGTACAAAAACACGAAGGCATATAATTTCGAGTATATTATTCTATTGATTTAGCATCTGCTACTAATGTAAGATCTATGGTCATAATTGTCATATCTCGATACTAACTTGGGTTGGTCCGGTGGTTCAGCAGCCAGCGCCCTCAATTGTTGGAAGCTCCTCCTCACGTGATGTATGTTCGGTAGCGACATGAACTGTATGTCGGCCGCCGGGTAGTACTGGGCACACTCACACCCGCCGCCGCGAGCACGGTTCGTTACGGCTGAGGCGTACGAGCGAGCGTCTACTATCAGGAGCTTCAGTTGCTGAAAACAAAACATAATTAGTATTATAAGAATCATTTGTTAAATGATAAAAATTAAATGAACATCGTTCTTCTTCTACCTGACAATTTCCCGGCTATAGCCAGGGTCTCCCTTAACATGTTGTGAATAGTTTTGGCTAATTGTTTTTTACGACCGGCCGCCTGCCTGACATCAACCCTCTTTTGGGAATGAGTTTTAGAGAATTAATCAGTGATGTCTTAATATTCTTAGAAAGTACATATGACTCGGAAAAATAACATTGGTACTTGCCCGGGCCAGGATCGAACCTGCGCCCTCGACAACGAGAGGCGCACCCTCTAACCACTAGGCCACCACTGACTAAATGAACATCGTTGTTTGGATAAAATATCATAACGCCAATCCGTGTGAACCAGAAGATTCCTGATACCACACAAGCTACTGAATGGTATTGCTATCCTAACATCGGGACAATCATGTAGTCTTAGATTAGGTATAGTTTATAGTACGTTTCGTAGTTATCCTGAAATTCCTAAAATCTAGAATTATTCTTAATATATGATCGTCACCTTATTAGGTATGGGTCTGTCCTGGTTGCAGGCCTGCACGAAGGCTGCTAGTAGTCGTTCGTCCTCAGCGGACCTCCAGCCGAGCCAGCCGACCTCCGGCTGACTGGACCTCGCTATGATACCTCCCGACACACGGTGACGCCACACCACGGCCGGGATACGACGCATGGCGCGGAAACTATATACATACAAACATATATATATATAAAGAGCGTTCTGTTACAACTAATAGAGGATTTTTAAAAAGAATAGACTCATTCACAAAGCTAATTATTTCATAAATTATTTTAAATTTTTTTCTTCGTTTATTGGTAATTCAACAGCGTTACAGTAGTTTTAGAATAGTAACAGTATAGCTATAAAGTTATTAATTAAAGTGAGATAATTGTGTAAAAGTGGTGTCGCGTAAGTGAGCTGGAATTGAATTAAGAATGAGGGTGGTTGTGTTGTTAGAAATAAAATCTGATTTGTTATTTATGTCTGGAATGTTATATGAACGACTTGTGAGGCCTAAATCAGCAATTAGGGTTACATTACACGGTTATAACTACGTCATATCACTGATGTGTATGCGGTGGATAATTTGTATAGCATCCTTTTTCTATAGTACTGGTATAATCAAGAGTAAGAAAAAACCGATGGATTGCTTCAAATGAATGTCATTTACAATGAATTGAAAGTGCACAAGTTGGAGTCACTAATCAGAACAATCGTTTATACTGTATATTATATCCTAGTAGTATATATTATATATTTACCGTGCTACTGATTCAAGGTCATCATCCCCCACAGCGGCGGGCACCACCAACAGCGGAGGGTAGGAGCCACACAACTTATACTCAACGTTAGCGGCTGACACGCGCCACGCACCCTTCATTGTGAAGCCGAGTCTGTCCAACTGAATAAACACTCATTTAAAACTACTATCGAGATTTCAAAGGATGGAAGAAAAAGTTACTCACGGGAAAATACACATTATTGGACTATGAAGTTGGTTCTCTTTGGTATTATTGTTTAATAAAGATTTAAAGATCTCCCAAAAAACAAAAAAAAAAAATACCAGATAAAGATAATAAATGTGTGTGCCTTACATTAGTATTTTTTGTAGATACGTATTAAGTTTCAAGACTCGACAACAAGACAAGTTTTCGTAATTATTATTATTAGCATCAGATGTCAATCATGAAATGATTTTGTTGTATATTCTGTTTTTCTACTTCATTTTCTTTTCAATAGTTGATTGTAGTGTAAGAGCCTACCTCAGGTTTGAACCAGTGTCTCTGAGGCGGCTGGGAGGCTCTCATGAGCGCTCTGTGGACGGAGTTGTTGGGTTGTTCCTTGGCCCAGGCAGCGTAGGCCGCGGCGAAGGTCTCCTGTAACGTGCTGACTGGCACGAGCGCCGTGTTCAACCTCCTCCACCACTCCACACACTGCTCGCCAGTGTTGAACGAACATCTGGATCACGAACGATCATTATACATACAGATTCTCCTGTAGACATACAACAAAACCCAAACAAACTCTTAAGAAATGCAAAAACATTGAGTTACACAGTTACACAGTACCAGATACTGTGTGAGAGTTTCGGTAAATATTTACGACGTTATGTCATCGTGCATGCAACCATCGGTGAAATTGTGAAACCTGCCGAGGTTTAGTACACATGCATGCAAGAAACCACTTAACATTTATTAAGACGTAAAACAAAATGCAATCATACATTGTTTACGGATAGCTATCATTATGACAAGAAGGTTTCGACTTGTTGTATTTCAGCAATGTGTCGTCAGCTTTATGATTGATATAGAAAATAAGTAGCCTAGTTTTGATGAACAACTATAAACACCAATAGATTTTTTATCATATTCAATTATTCATTCTCTATAGAAATGATGACAGAAATAAAAATCTGTTATCAGTTTATGAGGAAACAAAGCGAACTATATCCGTGCAGTTCAAAGTCAATTTATCACATCGATATATATAAAAAAAAAACTTTCTTTATTCATTTATCAGACACCAACACCAATATGTTAGGAAACTTTTTCAACGTTATCATTACCTTACACACGAGTAGTAACAGGTGGCAGAAAGAACAATAAAGCATACTATTGATTTGTTACTATTATGGCAAGAAATTGTTAAACATTTCTTTACGACACATTGTACTGCAACATTTAAGAATGAATGGAATTTATTTAAACATAACTCGTAAAAGTTACTACTTGACAAATAATGAAGCAATATGAAATTTTCTCAAGTATTGCAAATACTTCTAACCTTCGCAAGTTTCATTTTTATCACATAGACTACAACGATGATTAAAAGTGTATGTATGAATGTATTAAAATATTATTAATGTATTTACTAACTTGAGTTGTCGTCCGTGCTTGCAGAGTATAATGAGACATAGAAGGTCTCTGATCTCCAGAGCTTCGATCAGTCTAAGAGGCACGGAGGAGCCGAGGCTGCCGGTGCGTCTCCGAGGTTGGAGGTGAAGACGGTAGTTGGACATGGCGATCGTCCCGCCATCTGACGTACGCCCGATAAACTAAAGGATTTAGACACATTCAATGAGACGGCTTGTTCATAGTATTACACGAACTCTCCGAACTCTAAACTGTAGCTTCCAAGATTACACCGAATGTATGTTAATTACAAAGCTTATGTAAATATAGCTCCGGTGACGGACGCAGAGTATGTAACCTATATAAACGCTGCACATGAAACAGGTCAAATTAATGTTATGTTCATTTTCAGTCTGTAACAAGTGTAATGAGACTTGTAATGATAAAAATTTAGACTGGAACTAATGAATAATGTTTATTTAATATGTAGGCTAGAGTGTTATGTGTTTTCAGGTTATAGAAAAACAGTAAAAAGAAATAGTTATTATAGACTCAGCTTGTGTTGTAATGAATTTTATCAAAGACAAATACCATGACACTGTTTGCTTGTTTTTTTCTATATGATATGTATAAGTGGGTCACGTCTAAAACAGCTGCGCTATAACATATTAGTGTGACGACATAAGACGCTATCATTTCACGTAGGAGCTGTAGGTACATGTAGCTACTGGCACCGAGTGATACTGATTGATCAAATGATTGTTGATTGCAGACAGGAGTGCAAAAGGTTAAATATATAATACAATATCAAGCATCTGATTCATATAACTGAGATTTAACTGCATTTAATTGATGACATTAAAACCTTTTTAATTTTGTTATTATCGGTATTGTAACAGTTCAGTAAAGATTATTTTGAAAGTAAAATTCAAATTCGGAACTTAGTAATCGGTCTGGTAGTAAAAAGTAGTTAATCCTACTAATATTATAATTGCGAAAGTTTGTGAGTGTGTGTGTATGTTTGTTACTTCTTCACGCTCAAACGGCTGAACCGATTTTGATAAAATTTTGTATACACGAAGCTGACGTCCAGGAATAACACATAGGCTACTTTACATCCCGGAAATCCGCGTGTAACACCGCGGGGCGGAGCTAGTAATATATAATGTTGTGACGTACCTGTACAAACTCCCCACATATGGTAGCGAAGCCGGCTTCCAGGCCCGGTTCATCCAGATGAGGCCTGGTCCTCGGGTAGAGGTCCGAGGCCCGGACCCGGTGCGGTGGAGGCTCCGGCTGGGGAGGGGCGCGGTAACGATCACGCTCACTCATGGCGCTGGAGGACGCCGACTATACACACAAGAAGAGAATCTATCAGGTACATACATAGAGAAATATAGAACAGAAGACATGTATGGAAACAAGCGTCAGTATTAAATATGTTTATGAAGACGTGGAGTATACCTTGTATGGTAAGGTAATAAATGAATCACAAATAATATGCTCAAAGAACAGTATTTTAGTGAAGATGTGACATTCAGCCTAGAATAACTTGATTTAATCGTAATCGATTTTCGCCTCTTCTATTTTCATATTGAAAATTATTCAAGTTTATTTACGTGACAATTTAAAACACAGATATAAATGAACACACTCTGACCTGGCCTGTCTAGTTAGTACTTTTAGCATTCACTTAGTAGTTAGTAATGTAGTGAGCTCTATTTAACTCGTTAAGTTTTTGCTATTAAGTAATTCAGACAGTATCGTATTTAATATTCTCGTTTGAATCATTAAGGATTAATACAAAGGTCAACACGAATTTTGACTTTGAGAAGAGAGCATGAATAATATATAGATTTATTGATAGAAAAAGTATTCTTTCGCATCTAAGAGAACAGTTTATCTATATTAAACTAAATCTTAGTTTAATTTTTTGTTTATAAAAATTAAACTTATGTATTGTATTTTATCAAATTATAAAATAATAGAAAAAATATAAAGTGAATCCTGTTAATTTTTCTTTAGTTTTCATAAGAACCTTGTCTCACAAATATATGCACAATTACTTTATTAAATTCTGAACCATCAAAAAGTTATTTTTGGTAAAACAAAAATTCCAGCCAACCTTTGCTTCTGACAACCTATCACAGGTTTTTAAAATGTTAAAGCTTCAGCTATTTTATCGAGCTTTGTTAGGAATTGCTTCACAAAGCCTATTTTATTTTGTAAAGGTAACATTGATATATTTTTAGGTATAGCAATAAGTTTATATTTAACTTTTAAGTTTTCAAATATCTTAGTGGCTTTCATTTATAACCGTTGAATGCAGTGTTGATCGTCCACTCTTCTGTTCCATAAACAGAAAAAACCCGGATATTATTGTATATTGATATGAACGTGGTAGAGCCTAGTTGAGGCCTAGTGTCTGCCGTCTGCCGCTCGAACATGAGCTGCTCGACCGGGGAAGTACTAGCCTCTCATAGAAGAACGGCGTGAGGTACCTACTCTGTTAAGACTAGTTTCGACCAATGAGCGAGAGAGCCGCTTGCCCTTTCGCTTTTCACATTCTTTCCTTTCCTAGGTGTTGATGTGTACTATGATCTTCTTAAGTCTGTTCAGTGTGTTTCATAGACAAGGGGTCCATGCAGACACAAAACCGAGGGTCCGATCAGGGGCTTCGTCAGTACCCCATGTCAGTGACACACAAAACTCAGATCTCAGTTCAGACCAAGGGCATAGCTCTTTGATAGGTCATTAGACCATCAACACCCTTTCCTTCGCCTTAAGGTCGGCAACACATCTGCAACATCATGATGCAGATGTCCAAGGACGACGGTAACCACCTCCCATCAAATAGGCCGTCTGTTCGTTTGCAGAATTTACCATAAAAAAAATTCACTCTGTATTCCCTATGAGAACCCTACCATCTAAAAATTTTCAATGAATTGCCAATTAAAAATGTTATATTTCAATTTGTTTATTTAGAAAAAAAAAACATCCACTTTAAAGGATATAAAAAAAATGAATTGTCATATTAACAACAAAAGCAAGCTTTTACAAAAACGTTTTTTTATTTTATTTTAAAGTACTGGGAATGTAGAGAACCCTAAATAAATTTCAGGACAAATACATTTGTTTTTGTAGAGTTGTTTAAAATAAAATTTAATATTTGGTTCCAAAATAACGGAATATATAGTTGTCGCTTGAACTCAAACAAGAACATAGATCCTGTTTAGAGTGTGTTAGAAAGTTGGTACTGTACTATACTATAGTTTCGATCCCTCGTGGGCTTTAAATGACCTGATGCGACCTATGACCTTGGACAAAAACATAGTGGTAACGATCCTGTAGGTAATGTAAGATGTCCATTGGCTCACCCTCCCCGAGTTTACGCACAATTGGTACTTAACTTTAACGTCGGCGTAAAATCATCGGTGTAGGCATGTTGGAACACGTTTAGCTTTCTCTTTTGCGTCAGCCAGTTAAGTTTATGTAAGGATGTTAACTATGAGTTACAGTTGTTCTTACTAGCGAACAACAAACAGTCAAGGAAAGTTCTACATTTAAAAGCCAAACTGTCATAAATACTTTAAATTCTTCTAAACCGTTAAAATCTGCTGATTTGTTTTCACAAGACAGGTTATTGAAGATTCGACATAAATTACAAAACGTGGTCTATTGGTTTCATAACTTTTTGATCAGACTGTTCTGTTGGCCGGTGAAAACCAGCCCCCACTGATTGAAGTCTTGTAACTCGATACTGTTAGAGTCTAGGAATTAAAAAGTACCATGAGAATATAAAAAATCTTTTTTGATAAGTCTAAATCTTAAACAAATGTTTAACAAGTAAGATGCGGACAATATCATAGAATGGTAGCTTCTTATTCTAATAATTAACGATACTCTTTATTTTTCAAGAAAATAGTTTCATGATAGTATATTTTAATGAAAATCTAACTCCAGGGTACTAGAAGCTTTTCAAACTATATATAGATATATAAACCTAATATTTCCATTCGATTTCGTAATATAATGGGATCTATGATTCGTGAATAAAAATCTGTCTACTATTATTTAATTGGCTGCAAACTTTGGGTAAGCACATCCTTCAAATGCGGACATCGATTATGGTAAAACAATTACTCCATTCTAATAATTCAGATCACCGATAGGGTTTGCTTTAAACAATCGAATCGTTTAAATATTAGCATTAAAGTGCTCTGCAGTCTGGGACGTGACGCAGCATCCCGGAACGATACTAAAAGATTCTCTTACCACTGTAATGGAAGACAAAAACGCAAATAAAATTCAAATCTCAAATCTATACTGCATCTACATTGTACAGATAGGTGTTAATATTATGTTTATATAAATATGATGTTTGTGTCTGACACAATATACTCGTTTGGAACACGTTCTCACACACGTATGTATATTATATAAAACATGTTTACATAATTTGAAACATAATGCTCGGATCATTATAACCGTCTTCATCCTGGTCGTAAAAATCAACAACTTTTTATTTGATGGTCAGCGTATTTGTTTATCATTTGAGACAATTTAAAAAACATAGACGTGTGTTGTATGTATGTCTCAATGAAATCTTTTTTCTTTTGGTTTAAATTACAAGTTATAGCTTCTTACTTAACTCGCTAATTACACACATAATTATATTAGAACTTTGTTCATAAACAAGCTAATTTCAATTTAAAAAAAACTTCAAAACAAATTATTTCCTAGCAATACTATAAAAATACTTCAATGAAACTATTAGTGAATAATGTATTATTTTTAACCAATTTGAAGAATCAATTGAAATTTATATTATCACGAGGTTTATAAGTATATAGTTGGTATGATATTTCATAATAAACAACAAAAATCACTCACATATCTATTAAGACGACCAAATCTGTTGATTGTTATCTGAACGTGTATATATTCCTAATAAACCTTGAACATAATATTAAATGAGTAACATTATCTGATTCAGATTCGTATTATTTTATCTATTTCACGTATATTTTTATTATTTCTTATTGGTCGTGCCTGTGACCTTAAACTTTATCGATAGTTATTATTGATTGGACGAGAACTTGTGCACGTTGCGTCCCATTATATACACACAGAGGATGCAATCTACATATATATCATATATTAAGACATTCGATGCATATATTACTTAATAACGTATTAAATTTATTGATGACAACATTGAATAATATCTTAGTGTAGCATGACATACGTTGAAAATGGTCGACAAAGATTAATACGAAGGAGTTTGAAGAGAAATTGAATAATAATCATTGTTGGTGTACATTTTCAGAACTATCAATTTAAGATGAAATATCTAACAAAGATGATATAAGGATACATATTCGACCTAGTTTATATACATACATACTATTCTATAAATATAATTCAAATAGCATCTGATATAAATTGTAAAGTTCAGCAGCGGAGTTTTCAATAAAATATTATTTCCTCTTATGCAGATTAAATTCCTAGGAAGGAGCAATATTACGTCGACAGCATTCGAAACGCTGAATATGTATATAATTAAAATAGCATGTTACACAGAATTCCACTGTATAGTATTACGTTACTGCACGGAGTGAAATTCACCAGAAAAGCTTTTGGAATCATTATTAAATACGGAAAACAGTTCACTCAAAATTCTTGTTCGTTCTCACAAAGAATGTAATATTATAACATGTTAGTATTTTATATAATAATATTATTACGCTGTGTTTGAGTCGCTCTGTTTCCGACTATAACTGGAAGGTGTACACCGTACATGTGCAGTAATATTATTTTGGTTCAGCGCACAGAGACGCTTGCTCCATTTGTCAGGATCGCGTGGGCAATATTTTATTTTAAACCGGCCTCAAGACGCCGTTTCATTATTGTACGGACTAAATCCAAAGTTCCTTCGTATCGTTATGATTGCTACATTCAATACTATTATTACGAGAGGATTACAGTACACTAAAATATAACACGTTAAATAAACTGTCTGATGTGTAATAAATATCTATTCTTAGGTAGATTTAACCGCGGAGTATCAGATAGGTATATAATGTTCAGCTGTTAACAAATTATTATTCTAATTGTTCATATACTAATAACAACTATAGCAACATTTTTAAGTATATGTAGTAGTAAAAAAGGATTTATACAAACGTCTCACGTTATGTTTGTCGTACATTTAATTTATATTGATTTACTGTGAGTTTTAGTGAAATGTCCAAACAACAAAGATCTTTCAGTGATCTCTTGATGTCATCCTCGATGTTTCGCAGAGTCATTGACGGGAACAAAGAACACAAACACATGACGTAACAAACAATTTATTATTATGACTTCAGTTTCAATAAGATCGAACCGAATCTTGTATTTATACATACATACATTGCTAATTTAAATTTATTATCTATTCATATGAATTTCAGAACAAGGTTGGCATAATACTGCAGAAAAAGTATTTCTTTTTCATTTCAATTTACATAAATATGGATTACGTTTTTGATACATATGTATATTTTTAAATCCCGACCCATTTCCCTACTTTACTGATTAATCGATGAAACAAAATGAATAAACCTTCAATATAAAATGATTATTGCTTTTATATTTAGTTCGTTCTGTACCACCTTCACTGGCACAAGAGGAAAACCTTTGGGAATTCCTTGTTCCAGCTGCGTATGTATTAATATGCATAATATATTTAGTTATATCCCAGTATTGCAACTTGGCACTTCTGAATCCTTTGTTACTGAGAATTCAGCAAGTCGCTGTGTTCTTAACTAAATCAATACTATAAGGCTTACGGTTTAAACGGTTCAAAGGTCATGTGTGCACATATCTTTGTAATAAAAGATATTAAAAAATCCACAGGAGACATAATCTCAATGCCAGCGTATAAAGTGTTCGTGTAAGTGAAAGAAATGTCCAATCTATTTATAAACTGCAGTGTTTCCAGTTCAATTGGCCTGACATTCCGATGTGATGACGTCAGCCACCGCCGGCCGACCGCAGCCTGGCGCCGCTAACACAGCATAACACATTACAAGTTAAGATAGCGACGTATCGGGACATGTCCGGGTCCTGTAACATCAGTAGAAGTTCGAAGCTGTTCATATTGAACGACGACACGAGTCACAACAATCTACTACATACAACATGAAATCATTTTGTTCACGATCCATTCAACTCTAGCTATCAACCTCCGTCGTTGTGTTCTCAGGAGACTTTGTGTTTCCGATGCGACCTTCAATCACATCGTGCACATCACCGACTGGTCGCCTTCAATGTTCTAAATAAAGATTGTTTATGTCTGTCTCAACAAACTAACTCGAGAATAGACTTTCGTTTACTCAAACTACCTTCACCAGCTATCCAAGACGATCTTGTACTTCAACTATTTATAATTTCCTTATAAAGTATACAAACAACATTAAAGCCGTTGAATCAGCCTTCACAAACGACTCACTACTCAGTACTCGTGACAGACGAACAACAAAAACAAGCAAGCCAACACAACGCGGTATTTTTTTAACGAGACAGAGTTTTGAAGATTGGACGCGTAATAGTTAAAAATATAGTTCATTCAACCCGCTTCCTATTAGGTAACATTAAAAAACTCGTACCCACACAGAGAATTGTCGTTAGGAATAAAATACGATATGCTAATGTACTATGAGACTTGGCGCATATTATTTAAGGTCCGTTTTAGAACAAACGGTTGTTGGTGTGTATTACGTATTCTACGATCATTCGTTGTTGTGTCGGCGGATTGATAAATACAAATTATAAAAGTTAAGAAGGAAGGCATTAACTTTTATAAAAAAGAAACAAGTAAAGAATGCAGGACTTGTGTGTTAGAGGTTGATGTTCGAACAATACTTATCCTAGTAGGATATTGAAATGAAATATATGTAGGGAAACGAGGTATAAAACTGTATAATAAAATGTTTAAGAAAATGAGTAACAAATAATATTCATAGTAATGAAGTTTGACATTGAAACTCACTGAGCATGTTAACAGTGATTCCATTAGTCTAGGAGGTCATAAAAACGAAGGTACTAAAACAAATTATATATACGGAACACTTGCTAAACAATCTGTCAGATTCAATATAATTTCTATTTGAGGAATGTAAAGATGCAGCAGAGACATTCAAACGATGGTAATACATATAAAGATACTGAATACTGCATTGAGTGTTGTAGCAAGAATTCTTGTTGAGTATACAAGGTCACTGTTAAAGGAAACAAACAATTTATTATTAACCTCATACGAATAACCTCTATTACATATTTCTTTTGATTTATAACTTAAAGAAAACAAAACGAGGATTTTGTTGGTTGAGGAGATGATAATATGATGATGGGAGTGAGTTGGATAACAATGCGACTAGGTAGCACAGAAGACGAGTCATCAGGTAGATTAGGAAGATGTACAACTAGCACCAGTCCTTAAAAATAATTATGGTGAAAGTACAGTAGTTAAATTTAAAAGATAAAAAAGAAAATCTTGGTAAATTATTTAAGTTTATTTTCAAACTAACAATATGTTCCTTTCACTGATTCGTCAATAATGTTATAGTACAAATAAAAATAAAATATTTGAAAATTAAAGATAGATTAAGAAGAGATAGATTATAAATTTCATTCATTTACTTAATTTTCTTTTAATTTGACCAAAACAAATATTATTCGAGTTCCTTATGAATGCTCTATTATATATAAAGAAAACAAAACAAAGAAATTTGAATTTATACACAAATATTCTCTTTAACAAAATAAAAGAGACTATAAGAAATGTTGTCATTGAATGACGCCAGATGCGATGAGTCATGAAGAGACCCTTCATCAATGAACAAGGATCACAAAGACATTCACGTTTTATACCACAAGTCTTTATTGTATAGTAAACTCAGTTTGAACTTTCAACTTAAGCCATACACACTTCATGTTGTACATTAAATGATCATTTAATTAGACATTATAGTAGTCAAAAGCTATTAAAATTCATAAAGAAAATAAGCATTAATGTCATGAAAAAAAACAATGAAATCGTACAGTCATATGAGCTGTAACCGTTATTAAGCTGTAAGCCAACCCCTGACATTCATCTCAATTGCTCTTGATGTGCTTTAACAACAATAATATTGTCCTTCGGTACGAATTGGACTCGAGTGACGTCTGGCTTATACATATGTATAGAAAGAGAAACACTCCACCTACCCTGTCATAACAAGAGAAATAATTCGTAATAGAAATGGAAATTTAACTCAAATTAAAACGATAGCTAAACTTTCTTATGGTGTGACCCATGTATTGTTACTTGCTGACTCCGTTTCATCATCAGTAGCAGGTGTCTGTCGTAGTATGTTGTAGCACCAGTGTTTACCTGTTTGTAGTCGGGCGAGGGCGGGCGAGGGTACTTGGAGGCGAGGCGGGCACCCGCGCCACAGCCCTGCGCTGCCGGCGCCTCATCCTCTGGATAGTACAGATGTACGAAATCCTCAGTGTCCAGAAATGTATTGATCAGCATACTCCGGTTATCACTTAACTAACTTCTAACCGAATCAGACTTGTCACTATGCCTACTATATACGAACGACTCACTAACTAACTAACTAAGGAAGCACGTTAGCAACAACAGCAGTCTGTAACATTCCATCTTCGTGTCTAGATTTCTATACATCATAAGTTATTTATTCACTACACATTAAACACATTTGCACCCTAATATATTATATATATCACTAAGTACTTCTGAAACAATTCACGAACCGGTTAATAGGTTGTTGATAGCTCGTTGTGTGTATGACCGATCATACACAGCGAACCATTCCTCTTTGTTTTTGTTCGATGATATCGATCTCAATGTACCAGCGGACAGACGATTACCGAAAACACTGAATACAAATCTCTCCTACTATAACAAGTGTTTTATTTTGTATGTAATATAATTGTTAATTAATTGAAGAGTAATTAAACGTATAGTATTATAAGGGTATGTAATCGTTATCAAATACAATAGTCAGTCACGAGGTCGGCGTCCTCCGGCCAGCTTCAATGACTCACATATGAAATGACGTGATGTACAGACATACGAGTACGAGGCAGCTTCCTCGAGGGGAGAAAATTGTATATTCATAATTTTTTTTACAATGGAAGTAGCCAAATGTCACTGGCTTAAAGATTGGCATAGGAATATATAATTAATGATAGTAAATTCTTAGGTTTTCCCAAATGACGTCAGATTTTGGAAACAAGTTTAACTTAAAACATTACATGTTTTTCATAGCGACCGTATAAAAACGATAATAATTTTAATTCCAAGTTTTAATAATTTTAATTTCCCAGTAGATAGTATATATATACAAGTTAGTATAACAGAGCGTAACGTCCACGGTCTTAAACGGATACTTGTTCCACATTGAAGGCGGCTCTATCGCGAGGAATGCGGTGACACCCACCCTAGTACTCAGCGAGATTTCATTCAATTTCACCCCCGTTATAAGTATCCGTACATTTTTTTAGCTCGAGCTATTATTACTTTAGTGAAATTCCACGTACAGCGAGCACAGTCGGTAATCTTTTTCATAACGAAGAATTATAAATAGTGAATTATTTATTGAAGGAAATATGCAGAACGATTCATAACATAAGTTAAGGTGGAACAAAATGATGTAATTCCAATTGAAACATACGTGGCTATATGTACTGTGTTTAGTTGTGTGTTTATATATTCGGTGTATGTGAAGGTCGTGTAAGGTTGTATGATCGTTGTTTTTTCTCGTTAAATCCGACACATAACAGATAACACCGTGTATAAATAAACAGCTAATCGCATGCAAAATAATTATAATGATAAAAACTGAAGCCAATAATAACACATCAAATCATATTTTAAATGCGGAGTTATTTTCTCGTATAAAAACTCATGTAGCCGTATGTGTGTGTGTGTTTGTATTACACACACGCACACACCGATACCGTGGCCGCCATTCACCATTCTCACATTACTGTCAGCGACATTCCTTTACACCACGGCTACATGAAATTAACACTTCGCTCAAAAAACAATATATCATATAATATAGAGGTTGTCATTTCAACCGTTGGACTTTCGCGCGGCTCAGTGTCAGCGGTCATCGGCCATGCGATACATACGACGGACCAGTCTCTGATGAGCTCCATCGAGTATACACTCAGTTAGTTTATCATACATTACACGCGACGTCACTTTGAAAGTATTCGAAGCATTGAGAAAGGGTGTCAAGGTCAACTTTCGGTGATAACACGAGTACAGAACTTGATGGAGCCCCTCTCACAGACTGTACGTATGTACATAATATTCGCTATATATTTCGCAAGAGCAGATATAAAGACAAGATCGCATCAGCATTAACACACTTAAAAAAAATCACTGACCCTTATCATAAGTATTGTAGAAACTCAATACTATTTTGCGTAGAAACTGAATACAATTTCAATCATTCCATTAAATATTTTCGTCATATTGAGAAAAACTACTAAGTGCTATTGATTAAGGGCATCAATAATTTCTTTCAAAGTTTTCGCATTTATACATATATTGACTTATAATTAGCAATATAAAAATTGAGGATTCTGCTCCTCTAACTACTGAACTTAATCGAAATTATAAAAAGCATAAAAAATCTAAAAATACATAGCAACTACAAGTATAGAATGCAAATTATAAAATCAACATTGATTATGACGTGGTGTTTATCAAAACCTTACCGGCTCTGGCAAGATATTCATATGAGAAGGTCGGAAAGTTGTATTGGAAATAATTGACCTTGTTGGGTATATCAATAAATATAAACATAGACAACAAAAAAGACAACATTATAGTAATAAAAAATGGGAAAACTATAAGTACTAGAAAGAACAGTACGAGGGTCATCTTAGACTAGCTATCAAAACAATCCGACACACGGAACAATGTTCCTTTGGTATGATCACAACGGGAAAACCTGACTAACTCTGACTATGAACAAAGCTATGTATCATATAATTAATGCATGCGTACGTACAGGCATAGTATACTAGTCAAAATAAAATAAGGGCCACCATGTGTTTTTAGTGGATTAAAAGAAATATGGGATTTAGGGATATGAAAATGATTAGATTAAATTATTTAATCAATTTTTAATGTAAAGAGCAGCAGATATTGTTTTATTACTCTAAAATTATCATCCCTTTCTTTTTTTTTGGAAAAATTGACTTTTTAACCTAAAATTCACAATATGAAAAAAGTGTCTAATTTAAAAAAAACTGAACATTTGTTGAAATTTTTATTTTTTTCAGTAATGTGTGTGTCCTCTCCTTTTTCGAAAACATTCTTCAAGCCTCGAAGGCATACTCTCCACCAGGTGTCATATTGTCTCCAGAGGGATTTATTCCCAGCTTGTCTTTAGCACGTTGATGAGCTGTCGTTCATTAGTTACCGTTTGATTTGTATCACAAACGCTTTTTTTTAATAAATCCCACATGTGCTTAATAGGGTTAAGGTCCGGGCTATTGGCGGGCCACGGAAGCACCTGTACACTAGCTTCTTCTAGTGCTTCGGCAGTAGCTCTAGCTGTATGAGCGCGGGCATTGTCATGCATTAATTGGAATCCTACACCAATTCTCTATGAAAATGACAACACGTGGAGTCTTATGACCTGCTCAATGTACCGTTGAGCCGTTACCGTGCCTTCGTTAAGAATTACGAGCTTGGTTCGACCTGATAGTGAGATTCCGCCCTACACCTTTACGTTAGGACCCCCGAATCTGTCACTTTCGTGTATGCAAGCATCCGAAAATCGCTCTCCTTCTCTTCTACAAACTCTAATGCGACGATCATCACTAAAAAAAATTAACTTTGGATTTATCTGTGAACAATACCTTGCTCCAGTCATCAATGTTCCAGGCCTGGTGCTGCCTAGTGAACGTTAATCGCCTTGCACGATGTGCGGATGTCAGTGGAATACGCACTACTCGTCGTCTAGAGAACTGTTGGTCTTCATGCAACCGATTCCTAATCGTTTGGTCACTTACGCGGGTGCCCGTCGCTTGGCGCGAGCGGTTTTGTAAGGAACGGGCGGTGACGACTCGCTCTCTACGCGCAGTTAACCGTATGTAGCGGTCTTCCTGTGTTGTGGTTGCTCAACTCCTGCTTGATCCTAGTCTTCTGGTAACTCTCCCAGTCTCTTGAAACCTAATCCAAGCATTCTGGATTGCTTTCCGTGAAAAACCCAGCTGCAGAACTACAGAACGCTGCGAATGGCCCTGTTGAATCAGCGTTATGGCCATAGTTGTGATCTGTATGTCCATATGTCTTCGAATCCTCGGCATTGTCCTTTAAAAATGATAATCACGCACTAACAAAGAGAATTCCTGCAGTTCACCAAGAACTCGACAGTTTAAATGCCTTCAAAAGTCTACTTCAAATAGAGTAATTTTTAGTGACTTCGAAAAAAAAATTCATAATCGACCCACTTCAAAAATTAAGTAAGTGATATACTCTCATAATGTTTGTCAACACTTAATGTAACGCCATAAAAAAACTTAACTCTTAAAATTTATTAGATCGCTTCAAACGTCAAAATAAACAAGTGGCCCTTATATTGTTTTGACTAGTATATTTGGACTTTGACAATGCCTCAAACATACAAATCCTACTAATATTATTATTGCGAAAGTTTGTGAGTGTGTGTATGTTTGTTAATTCTTTACGTTCAAACGGCTAAACTGATTTTGATAAAATTTTGTATACAGGAAGCTTACGTCCAGGAATGACATATAGGCTACTTTACATCCCGGAAATCCCGAAAATCCTCGGGTAACACCGCGGGGCGCAGCTAGAATATATATATATATGTAAATATCTAGTTTCTGTTTTCCAATCTCCGTCTAGCCACGTAGTTGTACAATTGACCGTTAATATAAATGCTCTCAACTGTGCCGCTAATACGGAAATAACACACATTCTCTGTCTACAAGGTCGTCGACGTGCGACCGTCTAGAAGAAATGAAACTGCACTCGCATACAACTATACATGTAAATAATTACACATACAACAAATAATAAAACAAAGCCTTTATAATACTGTTAAATATATTAATATATATTCAAGGAAATTTTAAAGTATTTTGGCACGGATCCACAAACGAATATAACAAACACTCCTGCATTTAATGTTCTAGATAACAAACGGTTATTGTTTAATTCACAACAAAAATATTTGTACACGTGACCCGAATTAAATATTGATTATTAATAATAATACGGCGCTATCATACTTAAATGCCAACAGAAAATTTTATTGGTTGGGGGCAAAGATATTTACTATCTAAATTTGACATGTATGTAAGTGACGCTTATCTATATAGGACTTGGATTTTACTTCCAAAAGCTGATAAATCATGAGTCGAACGTTACTGATAATGTCCATCAACAACAACAGATTTCTTTAGATGCTTGTATTAATGAGCGTGTGTGATCATTATCAGTATGTAACGCTAACGATTTTTCTCTATGACAGCTGTATCCCGTAGACCTGCGCAATACTCATCAGATACACGTGGAAAGACGGCGGATAGAGCAGGTATGATGACACATTAACATAGTTAAAAAATTAAAAATATATATGACAAATATTCAGCTATCTAGATTTCAATGAAGCTTCAAATTGATTTGTTTATCAAAGTAATAGAATAGTAATTATCTTAATGAATGTAATGATTCCGTGCAATCCTATCTAGCGTACTGTAAAGTTCAAGTGTTACTACTATACTATACTATGGTGTACAGTGTACATGTACGTGTATATAGCATGTATTTGGTGTGGCGTCGGGCATGCGCACCAGTCGCCACAATGCCACGTGGCACGCTCCCGTTGCATAACCTTCCCTAATGCGCCAAGAATCTAAGTTCGTGTAATAAAGTTTTGCAGCCAAAAACAATTTTGTCTTTTATAATATAAACTTCGTTTTAGACGTGGATTAAACTCTACAATACAAAATCATGATTGACTCCAAGACTGTTTTACCAGTTGAAAATGACTAATTAATTTAGTATAATTTCTTAAATTTTTACAACATATAAAAACTAAGATTTATATGGCGTAATATATATTTATAAATAATTCTAAAATATCTCTAGCTTTTTTTCAATGTGCAGTTTGTATTTTTCCGTGATTTTCATTTTCACACTAATTAGGGGATATAATTATATTCAATACAAATAATTAAAATATTCTGAAATCCGTCCAGATTTGGCCAAAGAGAAATCGTCATTTAAACTATTAATATTACTTTAAATAGATAATTCAAGTTGGAGATATTCTACTTCACGTTTGTTACGTCCTTATTGATTTTTGTTTTCTAATTGGTCAAATAAGAAACCAAAAAGAAAAATATTCCGGTTTGAACTAGGTACAACAGACAAGATAATATGAAAATTTAATTAGAAAGAAGCACCGAAAAAACGTGGTTTTAGAACGTTGAAAAAGGAAAACGACTCTATTTTTTCTTTTGAATGCAAACCGAACACAATTTTCCTTCAATATGCGATGAACCGGCCCGCTCTGAAACATCTATGTTTCTGTTACAATAGTAAATAAAGGAATGCAATTATTAAAAGCGATTCATTGAGTGGATCTGAGTGATTAACTAACGTCTTGGAGCCAGTGACCTCGGGCTGGATTGTACTTTGAACAAAGCAATGTTTCGCTTCAAGAATCACAATTTGTTGCAAAACCGATGGTCACTCTCACTCGCATTTATTTTTAATTCATTTCGAACGGCGGCCGGTAAACACACACCACCAATTATTGTACTACAGACCGGTATTATGTTGATAAACATTATATATTATATGCATGTGTGTGTCATACTTTAGAATGATAATTATGCAACTGTTATACTTGTAAAACGAATTACAACAGCCCGCCATAATGTAACGTGGACGCCACGAGTGCGGCGACACTGTACCATATTTAAACAAACCGCTCACTCTACGACATACGTAACGGACGATCATCATGTATAATAATAATAATTATTATTATTAGTGATAGTATACAACATAAGACACTTGTATTTAGTGACGTATTCGATTCAGTCTGCCGCGGTAACGTGATGAAGCCATGTGGCCACCACGTCGCGTCGCCCGCTCGCCGCTCGGTTAGAGCCGTACACGGTACAGCCATACTAGAGATTCCATTGCGGAACTTACAAATCTATCCCACTCCGGATGCGATTTACAATATAATCCATTTATACTTGTCGGAGACTTCGCAAAACCACAAATAACAGAAGTGAATGTTGACGAGGGCGCGGATGTTATATATATCCATATTATGACTATATAGTGAGTACAGCGTCGCAACAGACGTGCGACCGGCGCGCGCGACAGCTGCGGACCAACTGGAAATAGGCAGCGGCCGGAGGGCTGGGGAGAGACGGGGACGGGGGCGGGGGACGGGGGGGGGGTGTGTGGTAGGCGCCGGCGGTGAGGAGGGGTGACGGGGCGGGGTGCGAGGCGGCGGCGTCTAAGTTTTGCTTCATCATAGTACACGAAAACGACAGACTGATGATCACTCATGGAGTATGGAGTAGGTGATACGTCAATGATTATTGTAAGAGAGCGAGTACGGCGTGTGTGAGAGAACACAGCGCGGCCCGCCCGGGGGCAAAAACTATCGGAACATTAATATTAATTAATACTCACGAACACTACATACACTGTAGAGTGTAGAGCGTAGAGCGCTTTGATACATTAATATTTAAAATATTGTAACTGAATATATAGTTTTTTTAATTTTAATATATTGTTGTGTTGCAAGACTAACCCTGTATCAAGGGATTTTTTTTAAACCACAAATGAGAAAAAACTCTCAAATTATATGCATTTCTCTAATAAGAAATTTAAATACAATTTGAACACAAACGAAGTCATATGCAATGGACAGTTTATAATGGTGTTTTTTGTCGTCAAAATAATAGTATTGTAACAATGGTAGTTTAACGATTCAACAAGGACCCATACTACATAGCGTGTAAAGTGAACGAGCGATAATGTATTGATGGAAATACAAACGGTACAGAAGGTAAATAGAAATATAAAATAAATGCACAGACAGAAATAGGATTCCGTATTCAAATACCCATGAAGAGAAAACACAACAGGCGGGAATTTAATACGTACGGAACCAAGTTATGTTGAGAGAGCAGCTTCTAAAAGCTTATACAATACCAATAACAAAACCTTAGAGTTCCTTACACTACGTACTGTGTATTTAATAGTTTTTACTACTGTGTTGGTAGTAACGTAGGTCAACAAGGACTACATCTTCCGCTGAATCAACTTGTATTAATGAAACGCTGCTTCGCTTCCGACTCCGAGGATAACAATATTATAGAAGCGAGTGAGAAAATGCAATTTGTACGTACTTTATTATTATGGAACATTTTATTAATAATCTTTGTACAGTCGAGTTGAAAACATTTACATGCGATCAGAGTTTCTTTACAAAATAATAAGGAACGGTTGAATTAATATTATATGAAGTTGAAACTGAGAATTGTTTGTGAGAATCAAGATGAAGATTTGTGGTAGTTCACATGTTAAGAAGCTTGATATTCATATACACGAAATGCATCAAAGACGTTTCAAATCGCCTTAAACATACACATACTCTGAATGCTAATTGGCCACATCTCTTCAATCTTCATGAGTGTAGCTCTCTCGTCAAACGAACTTAGCATTTCAAACTGTAATACCTTCTGATGTTTCATTTCACGTCGAGTATTCAGTTTGTGTACTCAATTAAATCTTCTAGTTCACACACACACACACACATTTTACATGCAAATTACATAACAATAGTGAAAACTTATAAATTACATGGAAACGTTGCCATTGTATTATGTATTTTAACTCTCTTTAATATTTAACCATTTAAAAATGTGTATATGTATGTACAACTCTATTATACGTGTGTATGTCAGTGAACTCCTAAAAGGATGGATCGATTTCAATTAATTTTTTCATATGCATTTGGGCGACGCCCCGGATGGTTTAGATTCATAAATAAGGTCGGCAGATGGCGCTGCAGTATGTATCTAGGTTATATAAAAAGAAAGGCTTTAACTTAAGTTACCTATGTATTGTTTTAACACACTCAATACTTGTCTCTCTGAGCTCAAGTTTTATGTTCACGCGAGCGGACCCGTGGTTAAAAACTAGTATGTTTATATATTTTGAGTGTTAACTTTTCGTAAGACACTTGTATATGGGTCTTAGATACATACTTGTATATTTACCTGGCTCTACGTTTCAATTATCATTAAAGTATTTGTCGTTGCAACAGTAACTACATATATTTGTCCAATCTTACAAGATCTACCCTCTAGGTTACTATACTCCAACTCCGAGTATATTTAGAACGTCCGTAGCTTCCAATAATGGGAGATCATTCTAGAAGAGTACCAAAAAAAACAACAGCATCGTGTGTCGCGTCACGTACACACTGTTAGTGGGTTAAGGGCAGCGGTGTTTTGATGAAGAAGGATCACGATGATGACATACGGATAGAGGGAGCGTCGAACATACTATAAATATTTATGTATACTTGATCTTTCTAATTAATTTATAACTCTATATTCAGCATTTTATACATATTTGTTAATGATATGTACTGAACCACTGTTACTCCTTCATATTCTAAGACCTTCTTCATCACAAACCCCATGACCTTAACCCACTAACAGCTTGTACGCGACACGCGATAGATAGGTCTTTTGTTGGACTTCTAGAAGCATCCATTACGTTGTTAAAAACTGCTATACACTTTAAACCCATACCAGTTAAATATTTTAAATGTTATTTAATTTTGAACCTTCCACCATATATTTCAAGTGTTACTTTCATTCGTCGTTGTATTGTTCAGGTGTTCAATTTATATGAATGATCACCTTTCGTTTCTCACGCCGCGCCGCGCCGCGCCGTCAGTTCGGTGAGTGAAGGTAAAAGTTTCTTTATCACGTATAGTATTCAAATGATACAGTTTAAAACAAGTTGTAGAGGTACGTCGCTCAGGTACGGCCATTATAAAATACTGGACCCATCAATGACCTCTGTCAAGGACCTCTTCAACTAATTTATTTGGTATTATTGAAAGATAGTCATACTATTCAATTTATATTATTTATCCGTATATAACATATACATATATAATCGCTTTACTGTAAATGTATGTACATAGAAAATAGGCATACAAATATTTTTTTAAAAATTTTTTTTTGGCTCTGTCTTTTTATTTTCTCTTATCTCTGAAAATGCTGAGCAGATTTTAACGTTACTTTGTTTGATAGGTAACTAATGTAATTCTACAATTTTTTTAAATATTTATTAATATAATTAATAAATAATCCACGCGGGTAGAGTCGCTGGCCTAGCTATGTAGTTAAATTTCTCAGCGATCAAATATTATATTAAAAATTAAAATAAAAATGTCATGAATAATATGTACTTTAGGAACGCACTGTAAATTATGTCAATAACAAACGTCCCGTAACTAACACAAACGAAATTTCATATAAATCTTAATAATTTTGTCACGTCAATATAAATACTATAAAAACGATAATATATCAGTTTGTTTGCAGCTGATTCACTGAATAAATCATTGTTAAACGACGGATTTACTAATGTATGCAGGCAATGATAGTAGACAGAACATTTTGATGTTTAAAATTTATCAATAAATATAATAAAACAAGTCAAAATTAAGCACATAGTGTGTAATATTTTGGATTACTGTACAACTGTCAGTGACGCTGTTATAAACAGAGTACTTTACAGTTGAAAGTATTTAACCAGACACTCGGTGAAAGTTATGTTATGTGTGCGTCGTAAAACTTCAAGGAGACGTGACCGAGCGGCCTTGAACCCTGGGGGCTCGTAGGCCCATGACAGAGAGAAGGGACTGGTCAGGTTTGAAGACGACACAAACATACATACATTACGTACGATCATATATGAGGTGGTAGAACTTACCTACAGACGGCTTACCTGGAAACATAGAGATAGGGAATTAATATTACATGATTAAAAGCAAGAAAAAGATTCTGAAATGTGTGTGAAAAGTATTTGTATTTCAATGATTGTTTCTTTATTAAAAATCATATTAAATATGTTTATTACATTACAATAAAATAAACGAGTGGATAGGACGCTAAACGGCTCTAGAATCTAAAATAATTACTAATGATTCAGACATCTGTCTAAACGAATTAACGTGCAAAAGATATATAGCGATTACTGGAAAGACATCTTGACGAAAACGCCATTATAAAAAATATAAATTAAATTAAATTTTGGAAGAATCTGTTAGAACATTTTAGAATCACAAAAGCGGTACTTTAAAACACAAGTCACATCTCATTATCAACATTACAATGTCACTTTAAAGTAATTAATCTCCAGAATTTGGAGCATCTTAGTTTTAAACAGCAGCCCAAGGGCGTCTCAAGACATGATGGTACAGAAAATATATTTATATACCAAGAAGGAGGATGAGAATTGAAGAGACGGGAGCATTCATTAAAATATTTGAGAAAATTTTCATCATATAGATAAGGATATTAAGTATTAAATTCAATTTATATTTAACTAGCTTTCCGCCCGCAGCTTCGCACGCTTGGAGTTCGGTTATATCGCGTTTCTAAGAGAACCTTTCAGAAATCTGGGATAAAAACTATTCTATGTTCTTTCGCAAGGTCAACTCTATCTCTGTACCAAATCTTATTAAAATCTGTTCAGTGGTTTAGGCGTAAAAGCGTAACAGACAGACAGACTTTACTAGAGTTACTTTTGCATTCATAATATTAGTAGGGATTTCTAATAAAGAATAATGACAACTGCAACAGAATATTACATATTTAACAATCATCGTTGCAAGTCCGGCTTTTATTACAGTCAGGTGTGTCTTATCAATATTGAAACTCACAAATAAAAAGTGTAAACAATGTCCCTATAAAAAGTTGAACACGACGCCCGCGCCGTAGTTACTGTTATCGGATGTGATAACGTGGACTCTTATCAATGGTAATGTGGTCACACACACACACACACACACCAACACACACACACATACAAACATGTGGCTGACCACACACACTGACGTCATATTCTAAATATAATTGGTTAAAAACGTCATGAGGAATCGTATAAGGAAACCAAACTCTAAGTAACTAATATAAATAGTAACCAGTCCTTTATTTTCTACTCTTACTTCTCTTCTTTATTTTCTACTCTTCTTTATGAAGATGAAGGTTTAACAGAAGAACACTACAGCTCTTTTCTTTATTATTTACTAATAGAACACGACAGTTTGTTTTCAAAGTCACGTCATGAAATATTTTATCATAATGTACATATTAGTTGTAGACAAACTTGTTTCATACTTCACATACCGATTCTTAAAATTCGCTTACAAGTACAATAATACAGAAATATTTTGTATAATGTTATTGATATCAAACTGGTAGTTTTATGTAAAATTTCG